GTCAAGCTATTTTTCCAAAGCATCTGAAGGCAGGACAAGAAGCAACAGATGGAAACTAATCAAAGAGAGAAGCAGCCTAGAACTAAGGAGAAACTTCCTGACAGTTAGAACAATTAACCAATGGAACAACCTGCCTCCAGAAGCGGTGAATGCTCCAACACTGGAAGTTTTTAAGAAGAAACTGGACAGCCATTTGTCCGAAATGGTATAGGGTTACCTGCCTGAGCAGGGGGTTGGACTAGATGACCTCCAAGGCCCCTTCCAACTTTATTATTATGATAACCTCACGGGGATGCAATGAGATCTAGCTGCCCCTCAGATTTATGGAGGAAAAAAAATGGATATTTTATAAGCCTTGAATTTGGATACTGTCTCAATATAAAAGACAGGCAATATATTTTATTAGCAGTATAAGTTGGGGCAGGTAAGCATTTTTGTGGCTAGGATCAGGTTCATTAAAGAAAAAAACCTGGTTTTATATAACATAGGAAACATGCCAACTATTTGTTTTGTGAAGAGGTGGGGGTTTTTTGCAGGTGGAGAAAAAAAAAGAGTTGGAGGTTGAGAAGAAAGGAAACAAGGAATATTATGCCCCCCCCCCCAATCAGTGTCATTGCTACCAAATTGAGGAACATGGCAACTTTAAGGTGTGCTGACTAGAGAATTCTGGGAGTCAAAGTCCACATGACTTAAAGTTGCCAAGAATGAGAAACATTGACTAGAGGGTGTTCTGGAGGCCACAAAAATATGGTGTTTAGACACCAGCATGATAGTCACCGAATAGCAGAGGAAAGATAAAGAGAACTTAGCAAAAATGCTGCAAAAACTGCAGCAAGAGCAACCTGGGAAATAACCAAGAAATACAAAAATAAATCAATAGCTAATCTTATGACAATGTGGCAGCCAGAGGGGTTATTTTGAAAGGAAGGTTCCTGAAGCAAATAATCTGAGTCAAAGATTGCTATAAGGTCATTGGCCAAAGAACAAGCTAAGAGCAAATTCAACAAATAGCCCGGTTGAGAGCAAAGCACAAATTACCACCTACACAAGAACTGTCTAATATAATATGGAATAAAATGGACTATATTGCTTATATGATACTGGAAGAAGGGGAAGAGAATTTTGATCAGATCAATTTGTTGATAAACATTAGTACTCAAATACTGAGATTTGATGACATAGATATGACATTATGGAAACCAGCTTGGTATAGAAAAAAAGCCAGAGTTAGATTTAAAAATGTGATTTAAAATCTTAATTATTGGGTCAAAATTGCTTTAGAGCAGTGGTTCTCAATCTTTTTAATGCCGCGACCCCCAACCGGTCGTAAGTTGAGGACTACACAACCAGTCATAAGTCGAGGACTACTCAACTGGTGCAGCACCATTTGCAAAATGGGACTTTTGGTGGGCTCAGCAGAGCAGAGACAGCCTGGACAATTCCTGTTGGCTTTTGAAAGCCAATAGAATTAGACTCTATTCAAGAGAGTCTATTCTATTGGCTTTCAAAAGCCAATAGAATAAAAGGGAGTAGCACAGCTAAGGAAAAGGGAGAAAAATGGTGGACTGCGTTGTTTGGCGACCCCTGTGAAATGGTCGTTCAACCCCAAATGGGGTCCCGACCCACAGGTTGAGAACCACTGCTTTAGAGATTTGGACTGATTTGACAATCTAATTGAGTAAATGAAAGCAGTAAGATAATAATTGATGTAATAATATGTTTGTCTTAGATACGATAGTTAATTTGGTTGAGAGTTAAATTTTATTTAACAGGTCGAAATGATTCTTTTTTTGTTTTTTTTACTCTGTTTATATAGAAAACTATTTTGTTAATAGCAGAAGAATTAGAGAGATCTATGATAAGAGAAGAAAGGGTATTAATTAATGATGTATTAAATTAAGAGATGGAATATATGTGAAAATATTAGAATGTTATTCTTGGAATATTATGTGTGTTGTAGAAGGGATACCCAAAATTTTATTAATATGTTTGTTTAAGATCAATTGGAATATTTTAATTGAAATTAGTGGAGCTTAAAAACAGGAGTGATTTATGTAGATGTAATAGTAGGGATGATTCTGTGGATTGATTGAATTTTAAGAAGAAATAAATTAAACTAAATTTGTTATATCATGTGAGGAAATAGAAGGGGGGAATTTTTTAAGGTATTAATTTTAGTTACATATATATATGACTTGTTTTGCTATGATTGATTACCCTTTCACCACGGTGTTGTCCTGAGCACTTTGATGTTAAAATTAAAAAAAAAACAATAAAATGTATGTATGTATATATGTATATTTGTGCTCCTAGAAGCACGAAGCCGAAAGCACCAGCCTGAAGATGACGAATAGACTTCGTCCAAACGTCGCCAAGACACTTCCAATTTTACGTGGGAGAAAACCCGAATAACCAAAGACCTATATATGTATATATGTATATATGTATATATGTATAAAAGAACTGTCTCTTCTCTCCTTTCAGTCCTGTTCAAGATGGAAGTTGAAGAAGACCAGAGCATAACCACCTCTGCAGAAAGGTTACACAACTTACCATTTGGCTCAAGCTCTTAACCCTCGGGGCATTTTTTACAGTCTTTGACTTACAACAGTTTTTTAGTGACTGTTCAAAGTTACAGGTGATCAAAATTCAGATGCTTGGCAACTGATTCATATTTATGACGGTTGCGGTGTCCCAGGGTCACGTGACCCTCTTTGGTTACCTTCTGATGAGCAAAGTCAATGGGGAAGCTAGATTCACTTCACAGTCGTGTTACTAACTTAACAACTGCAGTGATTTACTCAACAACTGTGGCAAGAAAGGCTATAAAATGGGGCAGAACTCACCTACCAAATGTCTCGCTTAGCAACATAAATTTTGGACTCAATTGTGGTCATAAGTCGAGGCCTACCTGCATATCCAGAGAAGTAAATCTGGGAAGGACCTTCTAAACGTGCTCCTGTCTTCCAACAGAGCTAAATGCACCTGTGAGCAGACTCATAACAAGGCGAGCTATAATGACAGAGACATAGCTTAGCATTTAGTTTTGTTGCCTTGAGGGGCTTTTATAATTAGGGTTAGTAACTTAGTAACAAAAATTTTGTGGTCATCAAGTCGAGGCTACCTGTATTTATTTATTCTATCTCTATAACACATTTCTATGACCATCCCTCTCACAAAAAGCAATTCTTAGCGGTGTACAACCGTTAAAACAGCAAATAGATTAAGAAAAGTCATTTTAAAAGGATAAAAAGAATGTCATCAAAATTTTTAAAATATACAGGTTCCACAGAAAGAGCAAGAATATCAATCACAGTGATCTAAGAATGCCTCGGGTTCATAAAGATCTCTCAGACCTCATGAGGTAACCGGGTCTTGGGGACTGCCTAAACCACCTGGTGTCAAACGTGATCACATCACATGATGTATCATGACGCATTGTGACATTTTTTGCCTTTGTGGAGCTGGGGTGGGTATGGCCTGCATGTGACGCATCCGGCCAGTTTGACACCCCTGTCCTAAAGGATGGCATGGAAAGAGTGAGCCTAGCTTCAGAGGGGAGAATGTTTCTCAAGGAAGGGTGCCACATCAGAGAAGGCCCAACTCCTGGGACCCAGCAAATGGAAGTCCTTACCTGATGGAACCCATAACATGCTTTTTCCCTGCCATTTCTAATGGGATGGGCTGAAGTTATCGGAATAGATCATCCCTCAGATAATTCTCTCCATGCCTTGAAGGGCTTTAATGGGTCAATAGCATTTTGAATTGAACCCAGAAGCAGCCAATACAGCTCATAAAGCAGAACACACATAACTGCTTGCACCACTGCTTTCTGCACTAGTTGAACCTTCCGGATACTCTTCAAGGGCAGCCCCATATAGAGCATATTACAGTAGTCCAATCTGGAAATGACTAGGGCATGAATGTCTCAGTGGAGCCTCCTTCCATGTAATTTTCCATGGTAGGACGTTGCTTAGCAACGCTGGTTGAGCATCACTGAGATGCTCAGTTTGAGCCATAGAAGCATCCCAGCAAGAGGAACAGGTTGCAAATAGCAGCCTAGCAGCTTGCTTCAGCCCAACCCAACAGTACTCCTGGCAATAGTGGAGATTGATTGACCGACCCATGCCAACTTCCAGGAAACCTTGTCTCTTGAGAGTGGAGGGCACTGCTTCTCAGGTAGCACTGGGATCTTCAGGGGAACCGAGGCAAAGCAAGACTTGGCTAAGAAAAAGGGGTCAGAAGCTGACACTGCCTGAGCAAATGGGGAACAAGATGGCCAAGGATGGCTGGGTTTGGCTGCTCAGCTGTAAGGGTCATTCCACCAGCCCAGGAGGTGAAAGATCTACTAGGAGAAAGGACTGCAGCAGGCAAGGAAAAAGAACTAAAATTGGGGTAGTTTTTTGGGGTAGGCTTTCTAAATGATCTCATGCTATATAAATCAAGGGTGGGCAACCATGAGAACTTTACGACCTGTGGACTTCCAACTCTCAGAACTCATAGTTGGCCACTTATAAATTCTCATGACAAAATAATACAGTATGTACCAACCCAGAAAGAAAACCAAATATTGGTATACTGGTTAATGAAAAAATTGCCAGCCAAGTGGCCACAATGAAACATTTTAAGTTAAAGGAATAAAATTGTATTTAATGCTCTAATTCGATAAAAAAAATTGGTTTTTAACATTTGTATCAAGTTATGAAAAGACACCAGTGTTGCAGTTTTCAGGAGCTGGTACTGTTATGAGATCCCTGACTTACGTGCAGAGACATCATTTTTCACTTCTCCTTTTATACAAAAAGCATCAGGCTACCCACTTCCTTCTCAGGAAAAAATAGTTCTTCAAAAGTTATTACTGCTCTGTCTTGGTCTTGCTTGATAGGCTTTGAAGTTCGACCCTCCAACTCTCTGCAAATTAAAAAAAAAAGCTGAATTGTTTTTTCCCATTTTAAGAATCAAAATGCGAGGGGAAAGGAGAGAAACAGAAACACCTGCACTTTTGCATTAACACATTTCATTTTATTATTTTTTTTAATGTTGAAGTACCGTACAAAACTTTTCATTTTCTTTTTATCTTACAGTAACAAATTCTGACGCAAATACTGGAGCTTACAATGATGTAATAAACATTTCTTTCCTTTTTTTAAAGTGAAGGAGCCTGGAAAGTATGGCTGGAATGATGTGAGGAAGGGAAATAAGAGAGGTGCTTGGTATTATTGCATATATCTAGAATGAGAACACACAAAACAAAGAAAACTTTTGCTGCTGGAAACCATTCACTCGAGCTTCCTCCGCCCTGCATGGGAGGAACATGCAGATCCAGAGAGGCATATGGCCGTGAACCAAGACAGAGCCCTCCTCCTTGCTAACTGGAAAAGAATGATGAGAATTAAAAAATAATAATAATTCCATCCTTTACTGGAGGTCAGCAATGACATCAAAAAGGGCCTTTAATAGGAAGACAAAAGAAAAAAAAATGCAGGCTCAGGACAAAGAGCATTGCATGTGCCCACACAAGACAAAAATCACAAGGGTTACGTCCGATATGAGTTGTACAGATCGAATGGCTTTAGACCAGCTCTTAGAAATGGAAGCCAGCACTATATAAAGCAGGCCAGGTAATACAGGTGGACAAAGCCTAGTATTGAGAATTACCAAGAACGTCTCCCCCCGCTTCCTTTTGGGCACAAGTGGGAAATGAGTTTATGGCTTTATGCCAAAGAGCATGCAGTCAAACCACCAATCTCCAGGTTCATCCAGAAATATGGACAGGTACAGTCCTGAGAAGCAGGACCGGCTGGGATGCTGAAGTGCAGTTCTATCAGAAAGGTGTTACACCTGGTCTCACAGGAAGGCTGAGGGTCTCCAGCACGGCCTGTTAGCCTCAGCATCAGTGTTCAAAGAAGAGGCAGGCTCTGCATCCTGCTTAAATGGAGCCAAGGGGGAAGGCTGAAGTGTGAGGGCATTTGAATCTGCCTCCATTTCCCCCCCCCCACCCATTCAGCAGCAGGTAAAGTGCTTGGCAAGCAAGGCAGATTGAAAGGATGGGGAGAAGCTTCCAAAGGCTACTATAATGGAGTTTTCTTTCCTGCTCTCCATTTTTGCATATTTAAGAACAGAAGCAGCTGCATAGGAAGCTAGAACGGATTACTGTCATATCACTATACACTGGGGAAGGAAGAGGAAGCCGGCACAAGGGAGGGAGAGTCACTACAAAGCAGGCTGAGTTGTGCCAGGTGGATGCCAACATAGATGGATGCAAGGCCAGAGGAGTTCTTAACCATCTCATCCCGCCCTTCCCAGGCAAATCCAGGAGGGAGAAAGAGAGGAAAGGAAATGATGGTTTCTCCCCAAATTCTTAGGGATTGCCAGCCTGCAGAAGCACCTTTAATTCCCAAGAATAGCTTGTCTGCTGAGATCGTGCCCAGCGGTGTAAGGTAAGATCCCTAGCACCAAAAAAGCCACTAGGAGAAAATGAACAACCAAAGACCTACATATATATATATATATATATATATATATATATATATATATATATATATATATATATATATATATATATAGCGCCTAGGTGATTTTCAGCCTTAACCACTTTACGATGCATGGACTTCAATTCCCAGAATTCCCCAGCCAGCATGCAGACTTGAAGTCCAAGTATCTTAACATTGTCAAGGTTGAAAAATACCGGCTTAGAGAAATGAGGGTAGGCAGGAAAATGAAGTAGAAGAGGAGAGCCACCGATGAAAAGCAAGATATTGAACAACAGGCATAGTTAACGGTGAACACAAGAAGGAAATCTGAGGGGTTTTTGATCCTATGGGGCAGTCAAGGAAAGGCAAGCCATTCATCGAAGATTCTGGAAGGGTAGGAAGTGGAAAGTGGCAGAGAAGACAAGTGTTCATCTTGGTGGAGGCTGGGAGAGGATCGGGTGTGCCAGTGTGACATTGAGTGAGTCATTGTGCTGCACGAGGGAGGTGTGCTTGTAGTGCAAAACCAACTCCTTAAGCGAGGCGTAGAGGTTGTAAGGTTCTGCAAAGCCATAGCCTGTTGCTGTCTTGTAAATCACGCAGTGTTTGGTGTCTCCATCCACCCTGCAAGAACAAGAAATCAAGAACTTAATTAAGAATCGTATATTGTGTCATTACACAATGCACAAGAAAAAGAACCACATAAACGCAATGTGGGACAACCGGGGGGGTAGGATGGGGGGGCACAGGAAGAGAGAGAAAGTGGATGTTATCCAAGATGCAGTATTTCGAATAATATTGAAAATTTCTTGGAAGAACAGGTAGTCCTCAGTTAACAATCACAACCAGGCAAACAGGTCTGGCAACTCTGTCGCTAAGCAATGCGGGCATAAAGTCAAAAATCATGTAACTGCACTGACTTATGATGGCAATTCCAGTCATTAAGGAATCACGGTTGTTAAGTGTGAAATCATGTGACTACTACTTGTGGCAAAGCTTCTCTACTGGCTCTACTCATTGAAAGTTAGCAATGAAGGACGCAAATGACAGTCACGTGACTATAGGTTGCTATGTGGACTTGCATGCTGGTTGCGAACCATCTGAAATTCAGTCGTGGGACTGCTGGGATGCCGTGATAGCTGCTACTTCAAGGACTGGCCATTAAGCTTCCTCATATAGCACCATCATCACTTCAAATAGTCGTTGAACAGGTGGTTGCCAAGCCAGGACCACCTGCATTTGTTAAACAAAAAAGGCAAATATTGCATCTAAAAGAAATGCAGGCCTGGTTCCAAACGAGCCACAGCCTGGTATCATGACACACCCTGGGGACTGGGGACCCTTATATTAGGTCACGTGTTGGCAACCCATGGCTCGGGAGCCTCGGACAAACTGACAAGCTTATTGGGTGGGCTCCTGCCTTTGCTACGTCTTAGCAGGAAGCAGCATCCCCCCCCCTCTCTCTCTCTCACACACACACACAGTGGGGGAAGAGGACTGGCAGACCAAGGGCAGGAGAGAGCCAGCCCAATAAGAATGTGTGTCAGCTTGTCGGAGAACAGCGTGAAGCCAATTTGCCAGGTGAGCAGAAGATCGGAGAGAGGGAGAGAGAGAGAGGAGGGGGAGAGAGAGAGGGAGGGAGACAAAGAGAGGGAGAAAGAGAGAGGGAAGGAGGGAGAGAGAACTCATGCACAGCAACCTCTATTTCTTTTTAATTAAACTCTTCAATCAAGCTCCCCCCCCCGCGTGCAAGTTTTGCAGCTCCCAGTGTTTTCTTTTCTCTGGGAAATGGGTCCAAGTGGCTCTTTGAGTGTTTAAGGTTGCTGACCCCTGGACTAGGTGATAGAGAACAGGTACAATGGCTTTTCTAAGATATAGTCTAACGTTTTTTTATGTTTTTTTATATCCATGTTTCATTTTTATCCTTGTTAAGCGTTGGAATTATTTGATTAAGATAGGCAGCCATATAGTTTTGCAAAAGAAATAAGTAAATAAATTCATTATAGACGGTGCACGCTCCTGGCAATTTATGAAAGTGGTTGCCCCGAAAAATAATATTTCTAGGTGTTACAAAGAAGAGCATCTTGGAAGAGGCATCATTTACCGTTTGAGATAAAACAACTTTTAGAGAATATTGGCTACATCCTTTCAAAAAAACAAATGAAGGCTGCATTTGAGTTTCACCACAACACAGGCACCAACTAATTCAAGTCAGCTGATAAATCAAGTCAGCTGAAATTAACGATGCCTGGTTTTTAAATGAATAAAAAAAATACTTTAAGACAACTCACACAACAGAGCAGGCATAGCACCCTCGCTGGCTGCTCTCCCGAATAAGAAAGGTTCCATCACGTTTGCCCACCAGCATTTCCTCTGCCTGGATGCGGTTGATCTTGCCTACATACCACGTCCGCTCATCGTGATGGGGCAGCTCTTCTTCATCCTCCATCATGGAGTATTGGCTACAAGGCAGAAATAAAGATGAGAACACAAAGAGAAAGCCTAGCCAGTTTCCCCAAAAGCAGCTCTGTAGAAAGCTGTCCTTCAAGGGCACGGCCACCAGACAATCCCGCCGCCTTCTTGCCAGAGTCCTGAACCACTGGCATCATCCTGATTTGTATCAAGATATTTCCTATTGCGGATCCTACGTATCTTAAGTATCCTATTAAGATACTTCCTATAGAGCAGGGGTGTCAAACTCAATTTCACTGAGGGCCGCATCAGCATTATGGTTGCCTTGGAGTGGTGGTGGCCAGAGTGGGTGCAGCCTACTGAGTGGAGTGGGTGTGGCTATGGGGGGCGTGGCCAGTTCTAAATCACGTCAAGGGTGCCTATGGGAGCCTGGGCAGGAGTGGGACAGATCTGAGGGTCTCTGGCAGAAGGGGGTGGGACTGGGGCAAGTGCCAAGGCATGGTCCACTGGGGCAAGTGCCAAGATGGCCACCACAAAATTGTACATTGGTCCTGGCTGGCCTGGGCCAGGCTCAAAGCAGTGGGGGTCGTTCCCTCACTGTTTCCAGGATGCCTTCACAGGCCACATGAAACCACTTCACGGGCCGCATCCGGCCCCCAAGCCTTGTGTTTGACATGTCTGCTATAGAGAGCCATGGTGGCACAGTGGTTAGAATGCAGTACTTCAGGCAAACTTTGCCCACAGCCTGGAGTTCAATCCTGACGGGGCTCAAGGTTGACTCAGCCTTCCATCCCTCCGAAGTCAGTAAAATGAGGACCCAAATTGGTGGGGATAAATATGCTGATTCTGTAAATCGCTTACAGAGGGCTGTAGAGCACTGTGAAGTGATATGTAAGTCTAAGTGCTGTTGCTATTTGCCTCTAAAACACCAACAACTACCCTCTAATCTCCACTTTCGGGAGATGAGATATTACTAGGGAATATCCTGCCCTTCTACAAAGTAGCAATGTCCTTCCTTAAGAGGACAATAGATGTGGTGGACTTCTAGAACTATGTAAAACAAAAAGATCTAGAGCTCAGAAGTAGTATAAAATTCATTGCCATGAATTAATAATAAAAGGATAATAATAATAATAAAGTTGGAAGGGACCTTGGAGGTCATCTAGTCCAACCCCCTGCTCAGGCAGGTAACCCTATACCATTTCGGACAAATGGCTGTCCAGTCTCCCTTAAAAACTTCCAGCGTTGGAGCATTCACCGCTTCTGGAGGCAGGTTGTTCCATCGTTTAATTGTTCTAACTGTTAGGAAGTTTCTCCTTAGTTCTAGGTTGCTTCTCTCCTTGATTAGATTCCATCCGTTGCTTCTTGTCCTGCCTTCAGGTGCTTTGGAGAATAGCTTGACTCTGTCTTCTTTGTGGCAGCCCCTGAGATATTGGAACACGGCTATCATGTCCCCCTCGTTCTTCTCTTCATTAAACTAGATATACCTAATTCCAGCAACTGTTCCTTATGTTTTAGCCTCCAGTCCCGTAATCATCTTTGTCAGATAGCTCAATTGGGCAGGGATTCTAGGTTGATCCCTTTGCTTTTTATGCTAGCCTTATTTAAAATCTTGGGAACCTGGTGTTTATCCTGGGGGACCAATGCAATGACTTGATGTAGGACTGAGATGGAAGGCCATGACTGATCGTAGAACCCATGCCCAATTGTGCTATCTGATCCTTTTATTATTAATTCATGGCAATGAATTTCATACTCCCATTTTTCAAAATCACTCCTGGTAATTCCCGACAAAAAACAAAATGAAAGAAAAAGCAATGCCTAAATAATAAATTCATTAAAACCAACACCTCATTTAACTATTTATTTTTGCATTAAGGTGTTAGGTCAGGGGTAGGCAACCTTGGCTCTTTTATGAGCCAGCCAGGCATTCTGGGAGTTGAAGTCCACGAGTCATAAAAGAGCCAAGGTTGCCTACCCCTGGGTTAGGTGGTCTGGACAGCTAGATAATAAATAAAGGCTCTCTTGAACAGCTTTGTTTTAATGACTTTTGTGTACATCAAGGGTAATGGGGTCATTCAGGTTTCTGGTGGAAGAAACATCTAAATCCAGGACAGCAAAACAAAAACATCTTGTTCCATCTGCACACACATACACACACCCAATCTCTCACAGGAGAGAAAACAGCAATTCCTTTTCCAATTATTTCCAATTAAAAAGAGTAGGATCCTCCTTTCCAATTCAAATCAGCAGGAACCAGGATCCAGTGGAAGGAGACAGTCTTGCAGATATCCAGGTCTCAAGCCAGATTGTTGGGAACCTCCTCTAGCATCTGTTTGTATTCGAAGCACTTGAGAAAGACCAATTGAAAGGCTTTCCCTGCCCTACAGGTGTCTGAAGCAGAAACAAAATCAGAAGAAGCACACCTAAAGGTTAATAGCCACTTCTTCTGCCAGATCATCAAGCAACTCCAAATCCCATCCCAAGACATGGAGTCCCCCAGGGAGACTGTGAGAGGGCAGGCTGCCTGAGAGTAGCTGGCAACTGGGCTGATGCCCTGTCCCTTTAAGACCTTTTCCCAGCCAGCCCAGCCGCTTAGCAAAGAGCAACTATAACAGCCTTGCAGCAAAGCAGCTGGGTGTGGCATGATGGTGGTTGTGATCATTGTAGTGGAGCAGTTGGCAGTGAAGGGTTGTGGGTTTTGCTATTCTGTATAGGAAACTGAGAGCAACCTGAAATTAAGGAGAACTGTAATTTACTTCTGCTAGTAAGGAGAGTAGTAAACCTGGGGAGAGTGTGATAACAAACGGAGACTACTGTTCAAGGATCTGCTGGTGTGTGTCCAGGAAGGCTGGAGTGGACCCTCTGGGGTATGAGAACCCACTGAATTGGGTATAGACAAAAGGACCCTTTGACAGTCTCCAGCTCAAATAATGAGGTTTTATGGAAGGGATTCTGCCATCATTAGATTTTTTTCCTTAGGAGGACTATTACTTCCTTGATGTTGTGGTTGATGCTGGACCCAAAAGTTGTGATGCTAGAACTCTAAGGGAGGTACCAATCTACCCATTTAGGCCTTGGTAACATTTCTTTTAACTGGGGATATCAGGATTTGAACTGCTGCAAACAAAATAGCAATAGCACTTAGACTTATATACCATTTCACAGTGCAATACAGCCCTCTCTAAGCAGTTTAGAGTCAGCATGTTGCCCCCAACAATCTGGGTCCTCATTTTACCAACCTCAGAAGGCTGAGTCAACCTTGAGCCAGTGAGAATCGAACTGCTGGCACTGGGCAGAGTTAGCTGCAATACTGTATTCTAACCACTGTGCCATCACAGCTCTTATAAATAATAAGCACTTTTCCAATTGGGTTGGCTTCCTGATATAGGAATTAAAGCTAGACCTCCTACAGCACAGATCAGGTTGCAGAAGATTGTAAGAAGCTCACTGAAGTCTCTGGTACAGAGACCCCTTTTCATTCCCTTACTTGCTGGCTGCTTGTAACTAGACACAACAGAATTTCAATCTGGAACCTTCTGAATGCAAAACAGTCTCCTGTACAGACACTTTGAGATGATGAGCCCTCTCAGAGCAGAATAAGAATTGAGCTGCTTACTCCTCAGTTTCACTCTTGATGCCAAGCCATTCATTGATCTTCTTCTGACGAGTTCCCTTCTGGGTCAACCATCTGGAGGCATTAAAAAAAAGGAACAAAAATGGCTCATTTTTAAACAGCATTTAAGGGACACACACAAAGCTGTTCTTCCAGACTACAGCCAAGCCTAGTAACTTAAAATGAAAATGTTGACCACATCAAGGCGGCACTGGTACATAATTATGAAACGGTAATTATTTGCATCACTCCAATGGGTTGGAAAAATTCTAACCGTTAAAAGAACAGTTTTTAAAATTATAATTAAATAACTACTGCAAAATTAGCTGTCCCAAGATCATGTTAATTTAATGTTCTGTTAGCTAACTAGAAAAAAATTACATTTTACAGGCAGGTCACACCCCCTTCAGATAAGCAAAGGAGTCATTGGACAGCTTTCATCAGCACCTTTCTTAGGCTTTTAACTATTACACAGAGTGGCAATCAGGTCGAAAGCCTTGCAAGTCTGTACTTGCTTAGCACTGAATTGTGAGAGCACATGCATCTTATGGAGAGGCCACTAGGGGGCAGGATTACACTATCAGAACGGCAGCTGGAAATTAAGGTAGTTCTTGATTTGGAACCCAGAATTTCCATCGTAGGTCACGATGGTCCTACCTCAAGGCACCCACATGATTGACCCAATTTTATGACATTTTCTGCAGCAGTCTTTAACCAAAGGCGGCCACTGTTAAGCAAACCCACTCCCTGAAGTGGGCATTTTTTTTGCTTGAAACTGGAAGAAAACACTATTTTTTAGCCAAAAAAAAAAAAAAAGTTGTAAATTTAGTCATGTGATCTCAATAGGCTTCAAATATCTGCAGATGAGGGCTAGTTGTTGAGTGCCCAAAAGGTGACCACATGACTGTGTGTGTGTGTGTGTGTGTCCATTATAACTTTGGGTCTTAAGTGCTTTTGGGGGGGGTTCCATTGCAACTTTGACTGGTCGCTAAGTGCTCAGTTGTCAGATGAGGACTACCTGTACAGAAGTCCAACCCATTTGGCTATGGACAGCAGATTTTAAACCACATTTATGCTTGTGTTTCTAGGATATGCTAGCCCTTACACAAGGTATTGGTCACGGAGTTTGCGCAGCTGCAACAAGTCAGGTTTAAGACTGTTCATGCGCTTGTCGATCTCCCGGTTTTCAGAGGCCTGTTGCTTGAGGTCCTGCTCCAGCTTCATCTTGCTGTCATGAATTTCCGTAATGCGAGACTTCAGCTTTTCTGAATTCATCATGATCCTAGGAAGAAAAGACGGGGCTGTTAAGAAGAGCAAGAAAATCTCAGAAGTTGCCTTAAACAGAGCCTGTTTAGTGAAGTGCTGGCCTAGAAACAGAGAGACTTGTGAGTTCTAGTCGTGCCTTAGGCATGAAAGTCGACTGGGTGACTTTCGGCCAATCACTAGGAGACTGAGTTCTAGTTCCATCTTAGGGGCTAGAAAGCTGAAAACTGACTGGATGACTTGGGCCAATCACCTGGAGACAGTGAGTTCTAATCTCACTTTAGGAATGAAAGCCAGCTGGGTGACTTGGGGCCAGTTGCCAGCAAACTGTGAGTTCTAGTTCTACCTTAGGCACAAAAGCTGGCTTGGTGACTATCAGCTAGTCATTCTCTGTAGCCTAAGCCACATCATTAAAAGTTGTGTCAAGGTAATGATTTAGGAGCTAACCAGCTTGTATAATGTGAGATGAATGATGCAGTATTAGGAATGACTCAGCAGGAATCTGTATCCCTTTAAGAGCTTGAGTATAAAAGGGAAGGCCTTGCTGAGTCTTTCTCTCATCTGTTTCCTGCTGTGACTGCTGTGTGTTGGAGTTTGCTGTATTACCACATGTATGTATTTTTTTCCTAGTGTATATTGTAGATAGTGTAATATAAACCACCATTTAATACAAACCATTGTTTACTGTATTTACTTCTGGGTTACCTCAGCGCAATAAGATCATGCATGCTCTGACAAATTGTTGTGGAGAACATAGGAGGAGGGAGGAGTATTTAGATATGTTTGCCATCTTGAGTTACTTATAAAGTAATAAAGGTGGGGGTAACAATCTAATAAATAAATAACAGCTCTGTTAGCATGGGTGATGGAATGTAATGAGGAGATGGATCCCCAGCAGGGAGGGGCTGCATTCCAGAGGAGTAAGAGACAATTTGGCCCAGATATTATGTCTGAGAACAAGAGGGTGAAAATGGCCCCTGCTTAATGGTTCACAGAATATACAGTATTGTAGAAGCAGATAGTAGAGTCTTTTGTCTGGCAAGATTTTACCTATAGGTATGAAAGAATAAAGAGCTCAGCTTGGAAGAATTATCACATGGCATTCTTGGTTTGGGATTTGACAAGATGAGAATACGGTAAAAATGAGAAATTCTTCCCCAAGTTTAGACACAACCACATTGCCTTCTTGACAACACTACAGAAGTGGTTTGTCCCAGCGTTTTCCTGGATTTTTAAAATTTTCCAGTCTAACCTACAATTCTGAGTTTCCTGGTGCTTTCCCATCCAAATACTGGGTCTAGTCCTGCTGAGATTTTTCAAATCAATAATGGTGGCTCACAATAAAAGCATTTGGAAAGGCCACAGAGCACCAAGAATTGCCTGCAAATTCTAGCTTTTAACTTGACAGCTGGGGAAAATTAAACACATGGGGATTAACCTTATTAACTGTACTTCATTCATTTCAATTAACTGGAAATTGGTGTTTGTCTGGGCCCCACCCCCTTTTTTTCTGTTGTGAAGGGCAGCCCATGGGGGGGGGGGGAATATCTAGCTTAATTCTGAAAGGGTCTCACCGCTGCACCTCCTTCTCGTTCCCTTCCCTCCGGAAGCGCTCCACGTAGTCCCGGCTGCATTTCTCCTGCGTCTGGCACTGCTCTTCAAAGATCTTGATGGTTTCATTGAAGGCCTCAATGGCCGTCCGTTTCATCTGCAGTTCCTGAGCAGGAGGGAGAAGGAGGGCGATGAAGTCAAGAGGAAGGAATATCTTTGCAGAGGGAGGGAACAAGGAAACCCACAATAAATAAGTAGCAGGGGGTCCTTAATGACTGTAATGGAGTCTGCCCAGCACGGTTGTAAATTGTGACAGTCGTAAGGTTGATTTTTGCAGCAGCTGTTAAAGTGAAACAACAACTTGCTATGGGTGCCGTTTTGCCCCAAACCAGAAGGGCAGGTTTTCAGCGAAATTGTTATAAAATGTGGTCATGTGACTCTGAGATGCTGCAAATGATCATAGATGCTGTCTGGCTGCTGAGTGCCTGAAGTTTGGTCACATGACTGCAAGTGGTGGTGGCACTGTTGTAACTGTGAATCCAGGTTGTAAGGACTCCCTAATACAGAGGTCTCCAACCTTTCCGGGCTCGAGGACTGGAGGGAAGGAGAACAGCTTCAAAATTGGTGTGCGCACATGCGAGGCCACAAACATTGTTGCGGCACTAGCAGCCTGTTCGCACATGCGGTATGTGCTGGCGCCATGCATATGCACGAACGGCCGCGCACCCTCTATGGCAGCTAGCAGCCCGTTCACACAAACGGGCTGCGGACACCCACCCTACGCTAGCATCTCCTTTTGCGCCTGTGTGCATGTGCAAACAGGGCCGCGGGCGCTAGCATGAATGGGGGGGAAATGTCACAGAGCATAGGTTGGGGATCCCTGCCCTAGTAGGATCCATCATAAGCATTCTAAGTTCTAGACCAGGGGGCCATGAAAGCGTCAGGTGAACATGTAGTTCCACTTGTGCATGCAGTGGGCGAGTGACCCTGCCACTTGTGCAAATGGAGCTGTGTGCTCACCCGCCGCTTGTGCGGAACCATCCTCTCTCCCCTCATCCTCCACTGGTTTGCAACACCAGAAAGGTTGGAGACCGCTGTTCTAGATGCTTGATTAGGTTGTAAGTCAAGGACTACCTGTAGTCTTTAAAGATTTTAAAGTGGGTAGGCTAAGTACCTGTGAGGTGCGTGTGTATTCTTCGTACAGAAGGTCGTACTCGCGGCTCTTGTCCTGGTACTGCTGGTGATAGACTTTCAGCTGCTCCCCAACCGCTTCCACGCTGTCCTCTTTCACTACCTGGTCCTGCCAAAATAGAACAAAGAATTAAGAGAATGAACATTACCATCCCTGGAAATGATATGAGAGAGGTTCATAGGGAGCATCCTCCCCCAAAGCAAGACACTGCAAAATACTTGGCCAAGTTTCTCTTTAAAAAAAGAAACCCTCCTTAGCTTAACTGCTCTGGGAAAAGGAGAGTTGGCAACTTTCTGTAATTTAACCTTCCTGGGTTTTAACATTCTTGGCTCCTCTTTAGTTCAGAGAAAGCCATTTTTCCCTTCTTTGTTCCAACAGTGAATTGCTTGCATATTCCTCCCTTTCCATGTTCTTTTGGGTAAATTACTGAGGCCAGCAGACCAATTCTTTCATTGATTAATTGAAGATTAATGTCTGGTCACCCAAGACAGCCTTTTCAAGTCTGCTGCCTTCCAAATGTAGGGATAATGGAAATAGTTACACATTATACCTCCAGGTTGCCGGGACAGCAAGCATCTAAGATTGCCATGGTTAATTGCTGCCAAATGTCATTTTCTGATATATTACTTAGTCTAAATCCATTTTTTAAATTTAACAGCTCTAGCAGTTGAGGTAACCAGCTCAGCATTCTCTTTCCAAAGAGAAGGCAGTGAGGGCAGTAAAGAAACAGCACAGGGAAGCACATAAATCTAGGAAACAATTATTTTCCCTTCACGTTGCTTCTTCTGCACAATTAGTTTACAAAGACTGACTGCTGCTAGATATGGAGGCTTTGCTCAGTTCAGCTACCTCAGCTTGTTGATAGGAAAATTCCCCTGTGAATTTGCCTAATCTTTGGATAGTAAATCCAGCTGAGTCCCGTTTGGACCATAGGCCAGCTGTATCCTCCAATGGGCTGCACACCAAACAGAAAATGGAGATAGTTATCTTCCATGCGAGTTCTTAATATCCAGCATCAGACTGCTTCTTGAGGAAGACATTTCACTTAGCAATCATAACCAACATCTCTACCCACTTCAGATCGGTCGAGTTCCTTCCATTCAGGAACTGGTCAGGTTATTTGGCATCCTGTTTCTGACAGAGGCCCATTGTGTTGGTGCACAGTGAGTAACAACCACATCTCACCTGCTGGTACTTGGAGATTGGGTACAGTAACCGAGTGTCCAGCTTGGCATTGTACTGGGCCAAGGACTCGTGCCGGTAGTGGTTGATGAGTTCCACCACAGAGCCAAAGGTCAGCGGCTCTGAGAAACCATATTTGCCTTCCCGGTGGAAAATCTTTATCAGTTTGTTGTTTCCCCCTTTCCTGTCAAGAGAGAGAGAGGACCTGACATTCGGCCCAAGAAAGCTTGGAAGCGACACAGCGCCCCTCTGCCTCATCTCCTTCCCCAGTGCATGTCTGGGCCCTCATCCTCTCTAAAGCCCAAACCCAGAGAAGAGACAGTGAGATGCGGTCCAATCCTCTATTGCAGTGACGACAAACCTTTGAGAGACCGAGTGCCCAAAACCTGCCCTGCCCCGTCCCACCCCATGCCCCGCCTGCTCCATCCCCACCCACCCCGCTTCGCAGGGCCACCCGCCGCCTCCATGGCATGCCGCAGATCGCCCAGTAGCCCTGCAGCGCCATGGCGGCCACACCTTCCGCCCGCGCCCTGCAGCATCATCTGCACGCGACAGAGCATGAGGGCGGAGTCTTGTCCCTGCTGCCCCGCTGCCATGTTCTTGGCTGTGCTGCTCTGTGCAGTTCCCGCCTGGGGGTGACTCTCCTCCGGGGGGGCTGCTGGTGAGGAGGGGGCCACGGGGGGAGGCGAGGCTGAGGCGATGGTGCGCATGCCCACAGAGAGGGCTCCGACTGCCGCTCTGGCACCCGTGTCATAGGTTCACCACCACTGCTCTATTGCTTACATCCAATGGATAGAATTTTGCCAAGCTAAAGCTATAACTTTCTAACCCACTAGATATATTTTGAGAGATTCTAGGGTGTGGCTACCCTAAACCTCTTCCCCTGTTGTCCCTTCTAGTCTGGAACTATGCAATCTCTTAACTCAGGCTTTCTCTGGGAAAGCTCTGTGTCTCGTTCCCCCCCCCCCCAACTGCTCTTCCAGGTGCATATTCCATCACGTCAGCCCTCCAATCAAGTTAAACTGGGGCTCACCGGAGAGTCAATGTATATTCACCCTGGATCTTGCTAGAAGCATCCCTCACCAGAAAGGTACCATCAGGAGTGTCTCGGAGCTTTTCATTCACTTCCTCTCTGAAAAGGAGGCAGGAAAATTCGGATTGTTTCAAATATTTATGGTCCCCATGCACACAAACGTATACAAGCATGGCGGCAATGCTGTTGGGAGGAGCCCCTGTAAGCGCCAGGTCTCATCTAGAAAGCTAACCTCTCAACCAGAGTAATTTGCTTAACATGGGTGGCCATATCCATTTCTAATGTGTGTTTGTTTATACAATATCAAGGCAGCCCAACTGAAAGAAAAGTAAAGAAAGAAGGGATAGAGAGAAAAGAAAAGGCAAAGGAAAGGAAAAAAAGAAAAAGAAAGAAAGAACACCAGTCTTCTTGTATCCTCTGTCTGCTCTATTTAGTTCCCTGATACTCTCTATGTGAGAAGAGAAGGGAAGGAAATGGGTGCGATTGGCTAGCCATGGGCCAGGAGAAATGGAAAATAACATGGCTGTTTTGAAGGCACCAAGAATTGTAGGATAATAATAATAATAATAATAATAATAATAATAGTAGTAGTAGTAGTAGTAGTAGTAGTAAAGTTGGAAGGGACCTTGGAGGTCTTGGGAGAAAGGGAAGGAAAGTTCAAATTCCCTCTTTACACAAGAAAAGAATATGGTGGTATCATGTCTCAGAAGGAATTCACAGAATAAGCCTCAAATGATTGTGTTTGTGTGTGTTTGCACTGCACATACACACCCCCAACCCACCTGTAACCGCCGTTTAGTTGCTGCTTGATATTCGTCTTCCTAATATTCTCCTAAGAGCCAATCCCCTCTGATTTTATTTTATCCTCACGACAATCCCACAAGGTAAGTTGGGTGGAGAGACAGGGACTGGTGGAAGAAGCTTTGCATTGACCCACGTTTTGCAATATTGTTCTTCGAATGCTAGTGCCAGCCCTGGCTTTCCAGGAGTGAGATCCTCTCTACTCCATTCTTCCTCAGCCCCAAGGAAATGGCAAGTGGGACAAAGAATACCAGGCACCTTAATTGCCAAGGAGCACCTGACTCTCAAAATCCACAAGGTGGTGTTACTTTCTGCAAGGATCCAAATGGTTTAGAGTCCAAATGGTTTAGAGTCCAACGCTGGCCGTGGAATTCTGGGAGTTGAAGTCCACATGCCTTAAAATTGTCAAGGTTGAGAAACACTGGTTTAGACAACCATTTGTTTGAAATGGTATAGGATCTCCTGCTAGAGCAGGGGGTTGGATCAGAAGACCCCCGAGGTCTCTTCTAACTCTATTATTCTATGTTCTAAATCTCTTCTTTTAAACAGTTTCCTAAAAATAACATGGAGGTGTCATTTTTGACAGAAGAAAGACTGCCAAGACCTACTGTGTTTCTCCGAAAATAAGCCCCACCCCCAAAATAAGCCCCAGTTAAGATTGTCAGCCAGACGCATTTAGTACCATGTTTCCCTGAAAATAAGACCTAACTGGAAAATAAGTCCTAATGGGTCTTTTGGAACAAAAATTAAAATAAGACCTGGTCTTATTTTCGGGGAAACTAATTAACTACTGAATAGTTTATCAACAGAGCAAGGAAAGTCTCAGCAAACTCTTCTGTTGCACTTCCAGAGAGTCCCATTCTGAGCCAATTGTTCCTCCCTCCTACTCCCCGTGTTACATTCTAGCTGACTTGGGTCCCCCTTTACCTGGAGATGTCTCCCCAGTACCACTCTGCATCCTGCAGGGTTGTGCCATTCCCGTTGGTTAGAGAGACTGCTGCAGGTTTCGCTTTGGGTGGCTTCGGAGGCAGAGCTGGAAAAGAGAAGACCAGGTTGCTGAAAGGGAGGCACTCTTCAACCCTGTGCTGGAGGACCACCATGCTCTTTGAAAGGAGCATGGAGACCCAGTGGTGTCTCATCAAGAAAGTCCTCCCATTCCTCTCAATTATAAGCAGAAGAGTCAACCCACCCTGGAAGGGTTTAATGAACTAGGGACCTGGGCATTCAGCTTTGGCGTACACTTACACTCTTTCTAGCCTTCCTCAACCTGTTGCTCTCCAGATGTGTTGATCTTCAACTTCCTAGCCAACTAGTTCAGTACATCTGGAGGAATCGCTGGGGAAGGCTGCTGCCGTGTTCCAACTACATCCACTTGCCTCCTTGGCCAAGCATCCCATCCTCACAATCTTCTCCTGCGCCATACACAAAGACACAAGGGCTTCCTACCTGGAGGGGGAAGATCTGGCTCAGTGTCCTTGGTCTGCAGAAGGGTCTCCAGGAAGAGGGTTGGAAAGTCAGGTGTCGTCTCAGAGCTGCGGGAGGAAAAGGATAATGTTATGCATCAGAGGTACATGGGGATAGCGGCTTAGCACCTCGGCTATTGAAAGGAATTCAGACCCTGAGTTCCTCACTCTGGGAAAATAATTTCTGAACATACAGGCTTTCCTCTTTCATTGACATATTTGATAAGCTGAGGGTTGAAATGAAGGGTCCTCGGTGCTCTCTAAGCTTGGTTGTTTTCTTGCAGGCTTTTTATTACCCAAGCTAAGCAACATCATTGGTGCCTTTCATGCCAGAAACTGCCATCTGTCTGATCCACCCTGACCCCATGCAAAACCTGAGTTTTGACTGGAAATCCAAACAGAATCTAAATCAAATAAAGGAGAATATTTGCTGCTCAGGGTTTGAAGTGAAGGTTCCTGGGTGCTCTTTGCGTTTGGCTGTTTTCTGGCAGACCTTTCATTACCCAAACTAGGTAACATCATCAGTACTCATTGGATAATGAAAAAAACAACTAAGCTCAGAGAGCACCAAGGACCCCTCAGAATCCAAAGCCACAGATTAAACATGACATCATAAAATTGTGACAACAAGGACCATCTAATCCTACCCTTGGCAATGTGCCCCAAACCAACTAAACCAGGGGTCTTCAAACATGGCCCTTTTATGACTTGTGGACTTCAACTCCCAGAATTCCTCAGCCAGGCACGTGGAATTCTGGGATTTGAAGTCCACAAGTCATAAAAGGGCCAAGTTTGAAGACCCCTGAACTAAACAATGCGGATAACCACGGCAGCCCAACATCTTCTTACAAGCTTCCAAAGATGGAGACTCCACAACCTCCATAGGCCCGCCTGCTCCACTGTTGTAAAGGTCTTTTTTCTCTTCTCTCCTCTAAAAAAGACCTCCCCATTCCATCCTCTCTTTATTTTTATTAAATTTATATGCCATTCGTCTTGCTATCCAAAGTAACTCTTACAATGCAAAAAAAGAAAAGAAATAGAACTATAAAAACAATTATAAATATAGGAAGCATTAAAATTACAAAAATTAAATACAACTTTAGTTCCATTTTAAACAAGGATGGGCCACCTCTGGCCCAGCAGCCTTCCAAATGTACTTCCAGCCCCCTGTTGTATTTTCAGGAATGTTGATATAAAAGGGAGAATCCTTGCCCCAAGGCAGAGGGGGATTTGGGGCCACCCACCTGGTAGCTGCAGGGAGCCGAAGGAGCAGAACCCCAAAGATCTCACTCAGGGTTCGAGGCAACAATCCATTGCTTTCAGCTTGTTCAGCCACCTTGGAAAAGTGCCGGAGCAGGAACTGGAAAGTGAGGAGGTGTGGCAGAGGCATGGCTGGAGACTCCAACACCGAAAGCAGTTGCTTTTGACAAAGCTCTGTTTGGGTAACATCTACAGAGGAGCAGGAGTCGGTTTCCAAAAGAAAAAGAGAGTGAGACTTGAGAATCTGTGCATCTTTGCACCAAAAGGCTGGGCATACTGAAACATGTCTATGTCTGCTAGGAAGATCGAGGAAGCAGGCACTCCTTACATACCTAGAACCCCACCAAGCGTTCAAATTAAATCCTGGGAGAAGAAACCATGGAGGGAATCCAGAAGTTACAGGGCAAATTACTGGGGGGGGGGTGTTTGAGAAAACAGAGGCTGAAGCAAAGGTAGAGAAACAGGATATGATGTCAATCCTGCTGACCGATCAGCTCTTTGGCTTCTCCCGTCTCTGAGATGTTTTTATGAGGGAACTTTTAAGAGCTGATGCCTGGATTGATTGGCTGATTGGGTCTTTTCTTCTCAGCCATTTCTCTTTTATATTGTGTATTTTACACTGTAAGCTTGCTTACATGCCAGGACGGATATCTTTCTTACCTTACCGATTTTACATAAGCTGTGCTGGTACAATGCGGGCAAAAAGGATTTAAGTCAGTGTTTATTTTTTTTAAAAAAGGCTCTGTTGTGCCAGTCCCATACTTCCTGGTCTTTGTCCCAGCTTGCAGCGGTTTGTGCCTCTCTCCTCCATAATCTCCACTCTGAAGCCTTCCTTTCCCTAAAAAAATCTCCTCTCACCTTGGAGCACTCGTAAGATTTCACCCTGCACACAAGGGGGTACCACCGGGGTTGGCAGATCTTGCAGGTACCCCTTGAGAGCCTCGCCCAGGGAATGCACATCTAAGGCCTCCAAATCGCCAGTCACAGCCCAGTCTGCAGGGACAGAAAGAATCAGAGAGAAAAGGGATCTGTTCCAGGAAGCAACTCAGAAGCTGACCCCGGTTCATTCTGGCTGGGTTTCCATCTCCCAGCTTACAGCACTGATTCTCCTAACAATTCTAACCATGGGAAACGTAAGCAGAACTCAAGCAATGGCTCTGCCATCAGTTTTTGGCACCCTGACTCTAAGGTAGGGGTCTTCAAGCTTGACAACTTTAAGACTTGTGGAGTTCAACTCCGAGAATTCTTCAGCCAGCCCTGGTTGGCTAAGGAATTCTGGGAGTTGAAGTCCACAAGTCTTAAAGTTGCCAAGTTTGAAGACCCCTGCTCTAAGGTCTTAAATATGGCATGGTGGACTACTGTTGATCCATTATGTCATCCAGCCTTGCACCCTACCAACAGCAGACACCGCTCATAGACCTTGTTACCACACCTACTAGGCCTTCTGACTCTCAAATTTCCTTAAAGTTCCTTTTAATACAAGCATTTCCCAGATGACATAAACTAACTTGCATGGGCTAAAGCAAATGGAAGGAATTCAAAACATGGCAGCTGAAAGTTCACAGATGCACCAGTGTGGCTGCTGGTGATTTTGGCATCCACGCACGTGGCGGCCAATCTAAGCAAAAGTTGACTTTCAGAAGGAATCCAAGAACAAAGCACCATCAAGTATCAGCTAGTTTAAAAAAAAAAACAAAAAACCTCAATGTGAGTTTAGAAAATAAAAATGGGGGGTGGAATGTTTTCTACCAGCCTAGGATCAACATTTCCTGACAAAGCTGAACTGAGATGGCCAGAATTCGGCAGGATTTTAGGGATGGTGACAAAAAACAAGCTTATCTGTTTTTCTTCTGGTAAGTGGTAGTTTGATGACTTTATCTCTATCGTGGCAGCCATGTTGTGAATGCATGACACAGACACCCACCCACTCCCACCTCCGTGGCATCCATTTTGCAAGAGGGCCCATAACATGCTTCCCCAATTTAAATGTGTGTAGCATTTCCAATTTATTTTCTCTTCCTACGCATACAGAAAATCCAAGTGGAGTGAGATCTTGAACAAGAGTGGCCTTCTGCCAGTCAAAATAGTCCATTCAGGGTGAGGTGGCCAACTTGGCAATGTCCTAAGATCTCCTGCCTGCAGAACACAAGGCCACACAAACCCAGAGAAAAATATTCAGAATGCTGCAGATGGGTGGTATAACCATCTGGCTTCCCTCCGCTTTTGAATTTAGAGTGAGTTAACTAAAGGAGCTCATGAATCACAGAGTGCTTTCTGGCTTTTTAAACCGGAACAAAGTGCTCTGCCCCTCTCTACCTGCTCACCCTTTTGCTTCTGCCCTCCCTGCCTCGGTCTGCTGCTGAGAAGCTCTGAATGCAGGCGCTGCTGCTGCTGCTGCTGCTGCAGCCTCTAATCTCTTCCATCTGATCAGCCTTGCTTGCTCCCCGCAGAACTGGTTCTTACCGGTTCTCAATGCTTGCCTTAGTTCGGAGCCAGATGTTCTGTAGAGCATCTTGCTGTCTAACCCTGTGAAAGCAATACACAGCAGATTGGATTAACTTCACAAAGGAGGTTTTTTTTTTTTTTTTCCTGGAGGGGGCAGGGAGCTGGGGACGCTGCACTTTGGGGGCAAGGGAAAAAAAAGGGAGGAGGAGGGACAATGCTTAGAAAAAAGAACAGTTTTCTTTTTCTGTTTGCCCACCTGCACATCTTCATATTTATACTTTGTTGTCCCATCGTTTCCTTAAATTGCTCAGGACACTCATTTCATTCGTGCACCAACAACCCTGTAAGGCAGGGAGTCTTCAAACTTGGCCCTTTTATGACTTGTAGACTTCAATTCAGCCAAGCTGAAGAATTCTGGGAATTGAAGTCCACAAGTCATAAAAGGGCCAAGTTTGAAGACCCCTGCAGTAAGGTTAGAGTAGGCTGAAGGGGACTGATTGGGACAATGTCACCCGATAAGCTCCCACAGCTCAAATTATGAATCTGGTCTCCCCATTCCTCGCCTGTTACTCCAATCATTACCTCAGATTGACTCATGGAGGCCTACCTACTATGGCCACAGAGCGGAAATATCGGTAGTGACAGCATCCCAGGGGATCAACCCTTCCAAAAAAGGAGAGAAGAGAGCTTTTCCATGCACCCTCCCTCTTAAGAGAATTAACCACAGGAAGGACCCTGCCAACATATTTTTCTGTTCAACTCCACTTCCGCTGATTTGTCTGTGCACCCAACATGCTAAATCTTAACCAGGCTTTTGAAAAGATGGGCTGTGCATTGAACATAAGCCATCATCACGTTTGCCAATTTTGCCCACAAGCCTCTTTTGAACCAGCAACCCCTCGGCCAGACAGTCTCCGAGCCACCAGCTCGAGAGTATGATTCCTCCCATCTATTAAGTCCTTCCTACCTAGAAAACAAGGGACTAATAATACAAGTTTAATATTTTTTTTAAAAAATGGCTACATTAGAACTATTTATACTCCATTAGATATGAACAAGCCATTTATTTGCTTGCTTTTACTTATTAACATTTATACTGTTTTTTGCTCAGGAATTCAAGTAAGTATCAATAGGGCTCTGCTCCCTCCCTCATTTTTTCTACAACAACCCTGTGAGGTAAGTTGGATTGAGAGAGTGGCTTAAACCCATGAGCTCCTGTGGTTGAAAATGGACAAAAATCTAGGTCTTCCTGATACAATCCAATCCGTTAACCAGTGGAAGAGCCTGCCTCCAGAAGCGGTGAATGCTCCAACACTGGAGGTTTTTAAGAAGAGATTGGACAGCAATTTGTCTGAAATGGTGTAGGGTTTCCTGCCTGAGCAGAGGTTGCACTCGATGTCTTCCAAGGTCCCTTCCAACTTTATTATTATTAACCACTAGGTCACACTGATTCCTTATTCTCCATCATCTAACTCAGTTCCCATATAAAGCACCAGGTGGTCTCCCATCCAGACTGTCTTAACAGCAGCAGGGAAGCTTCAAGAGGTACCCTCCATACACCAGTATTCCCTGTATAGCTTGCAGAAGCTGCCCCTGGCCCCAAATCTCACACCATTCTGCTGTCTCCCTTGGCTCACCTTTCTTCTCAATCACATCCACCAGCCTACACAGCAGAGGTGGGGCGACCTCGGGTGGGGCAAACTGCTCAGAAAGTTCTGGAAGTGTCACCCCTGAAACATGGGCAGAAAGACAGGTCAGAAAAAGGCCTGAGATAGTTGGGGAAAAAGAAAAGCAGATTTCAAAATGGAAGACTTTTTAAAAAAAATATTTATTAAATTTTTAATAAATTGTCCATCACACTCTCCAAGGCAACTCTGGAAATAGAAGGAAAAAACATGCATTTTTTTCATGGTACAGAGAAGGGATTCGGGGCACTATAATGCCCCAGGCAATTGCTCTGGGCTCAAAATTAGGGCGCAATAATAGGAAGCCACAATCCTTGTGATTAAGTGACAATTTCTAGACTGGTTGCCTTGAGTTGCTCAGCTCAGCAAAATTCCTAAATCCAGAATTTTGATAAAAATGGAGAAGCTATTACAGTAACTGCATATTAAAGTACAGTTTTGGTACATTTTTCACTATCTCATCATTATATGAACAGTGGCAAGTATTTTTAAAAGAGAAACATGGATATGTTTAATTGTTTAATTAAACAATATGTTTAATATGTTTAATTGTTTCTAATGTTTTATACTTGTTATTAACCATTTGTGACAAAGGTGGCTATATCACTAGCTCTTGATGTACGACTAGTTGCTTAGCAACCTTCTGAAGTTACAGCATATCTCAAAAAAGCTATTTAAAAAATCTAACCTGAATTCGAAGTTCCAACATCCATATCCCTCACGGTTACATGCCCGCATTTGGCATGCTTGGCAACTGGCCCACATTTATGGCTCTGTCCCGTAGCCATGTGAATGCAATTTATAATGTTTTTGCCAAAATCAGCACTTTTGCTATGTTTACACAACATACTTTACCCCAAATTTGAGGGAGCAATATTTCTCGCAAAAAAGCCACACAATGGAACATTGGATTTGCTTAACGACCGTGGCCTTTGCTTAATGACCATAGCATTTTCTTTACAACTTCTGCACAAAAAGGCTGTACAATCAGGTGTGGTCACATGGAAACTTGCTTTATGACCCATCACGGCTTTTGGATGAAATTGCAGGTTTAATTACAGTTGTAAGAAAAGGACTACCTGTATAAATTTGATAAGTAACTATGTCCAGTAATAACCTATCATTAATACAGCTACTGTGACCTATTATTAATACAGAACCACAATGAAAGGAATGAACTATATAACCCAGAACCAAGGCTGAATTCCTACAACTCAGGACATTAGTTCAAATGACGTTCGTAGTTTGTGATTCAGCAAGATATGGGACATCCAATGATTGTCTTAATGTGTTGTGCGATTAGGTCATAACAGTAAGCAAAACAGGTTTATATGAGGATGATATGTGACCCGTGCAAGTGTGGGACATTGTTATCTCAAATTTAGGGTAAATTATGTTGTATAAATGTAGCCAATCAGTGATTTAGGGATTAGGATCCTTACAACTGCAATTTGGGATAATAATACTGGCATGTTTTGAACAACTGTTGCAAAGATTATCAATGATATATAACTGAAAGGGCTCTGAGGAGTCAAAAGGCTAGACACATTTTTAATGAACTCAATGTAAAAAAAAAAAAAGGCTGGATGATCATAAAGGTGGAACCTGTCCAGATGCTAAGGGCCAGAATTTTAATCTTTATATTTATACATTTATAATCTCTGAGAACCACAAAAGCGGCAGGGAGCTTCCACAATGTCCTGCCAATTCTCCTGATTTTTTTAAAATAAGGTCTGTTTTTTCTAGACTCTACTGGGCATCTGGCAATCAGTTGGCTTCACTTGTAAAACAGATGCCAATTCCTCCTGGCCAGGAGTGCCCTCTGCAGCTGCCTTGGGCTCTACTTTGCACTCTGTAAGAAAAAGGGGTTTTAAAACTATTCCTACCTCTTTTAAAGAACCGTCAGTCACCCCGTTCAAAAAATGCCAGAAACGCTCTCAGACTGTTTTCCTGCAAGCTGGCCTTAGGCCAGAACTGGCCCCCAAGCCCCACAGCCGACAGCGTCAAATCCTCTGGCTCAGCCAGAGAATGTCAAGTCAGCACATTCCTGCTTGTGAAACAGTGTGTGCATGCACGCACGTTTATCTGTGCCTCTCTCTCTCTCTCTCTCTGTGTGCGTGTGTGCGCGCGCATGTGTGTGTGTGTGTGTGTAAAATGCATACACCAAGCTGGCCATTCCCCCCCTCCAATGGTTCAGCATTGAGCCTCTTTTCTTCAATGAAAATTACCTGATAAAAAGGAAACCTGATCGTGGCTATCTGTAAAGAATTTTGCTTCTGTTCTCAGCCACCTTGATAAGAATTTTTTAAGGGAAAATGGGAGAGAAATGGGCCAAGAGAACTTTTTGTTTCTGGTGCTATTATTTCTTTTTTTCTTTTTCCCCCAGCGAGCACTCAAACCACCACCCCTCCCCCCATTGCTCACAAATAGATGTAGAAAGTTTTTCAAATTAGTTTCCATCTGGCGATTGTAAACCAAAAAATCTCACACCTGCCTAGCAAAGGAGAAGAAACAAAATTTCTTCCTAGAAATATTTGCCTCAATTGGTAGCCCAGATTATTGTGTTTTCTCACAATCTGTCCAGACTTTTTGGGGCCAGTCAAGAAGTAACAAGAGTCATCACAGCAAGGCAGGGATTGGGGTTCAGAGAGAGCTCAGTCCATAATCCACCAAGGATGATATTAGTAGTAAAGTCACATGTGAAAAAAAAGAAAGCTGAGTCAATCATTCTGAAAAGCAGCAGGAGCCACACAGGTTCTACAATATCAGGAAGGAGTCATTATCTCCCAAAGATGTGGTTGACAACCACAATTAAGCCCAAAATTTCTGTTGCTAAGCAAGACAGTTAATTGAGTTTTGCTCCATTTTATGACCTTTCTTGCAGCAGTTAAGTTAGTAACACGGTTGTTAAGTAAACCTGGCTTCCCCATTGCCTTTGCTTGTGATCAAAAAGTGAATCTGTTGCCAAGTGTCTAAATTTTGATCACATGACCATGGGAATGCTGCAATGGTCATAAGTGTAAAAAATGATCATAAATCACTTTTTAGTGCCATTGTAACTTTGAACGGTTACTAAATGAACCGTTGTAAGTCAAAGACTACCTTTAATAGGAAAGGAAGAAAATATTTATTGAGAGAGAAAAACTGATAGCTGTTTAAAGAAAACTTCTCTTTAGTTAGGCTTTAGAACAGTGGTTCTCAACCTTTTTAATGCCGTGACCCCCAACCGGTTGTAAGTCGAGGACTACTCAACTGGTCGTAAGTCGAGGACTACTAAACTGGTGCAGCACCGTTTGCAGAATGGGACTTTTGGCGGGCTCAGCAGGGCAGAGACAGCCTGGACAATTCCTATTGGCTTTTGAAAGCCAATAGAATTCGACTCTATTCAAGAGAATCTATTTTATTGGCTTTCAAAAGCCAATAGAATAAAAGGGAGTAGCACAGCTAAGGAAAAGGGGGAAAAAAATGGCGGACTGCGTTGTTTGGCGACCCCCGTGAAATGGTCGTTCGATCCCAAATGGGGTCCCGACCCACAGGTTGAGAACCACTGCTTTAGACCAACCTTGTCTAACCAGACATCCTCCATTCTGTTGTGGACTATAAGTCCTAAAATTCTTAGTCATAGGGGAGTCCACACTATATGGTCAAAAAACTCAAGATGGTGGCTGCAATGGTACAATCAAACTCTACCTGTTTTTTTGTGTGTGGTTAACCACATCCCAGCTTAGCCAGCTGGGAAATCCAACTCTCCCATTTTTGAAAAGTGCCAAATTGGGATGCCTCTATCTATCAACCATTTAATTTTACACGCCTAAGATCCTCGCTTTTGGCATTATTTATAAGCATTTTTACAAAAATAAACCCATCCTTCTTTTTAACATTTGCAGCTCCCTGTTGGAATACCTGGTTAGTCCATTAAAAAAACATATAAATAGGTTTACAATTTAATGGAACAACAACACATCCTGGCAGGACATCCTCTTCTGGACTGGCTAAGCGCTGGGAAGCCTAATGAGAAAAATGGTCTCCCTCGGCTAGCTTATGATTTCTTTTCAGACAACCTAAAACGCCTCCCTGCACTTTGAGGTGGTAGTTGCTGTACATGACCCCGAGGCCACACTGCTTGCTGGCTTCAAGTGTGCACCCAGGCATCACCTCTCTACAGATGCCCCCTATTCTGGGCAGGGCATCTCAAGCCTGAGGGCTGTTCCTGCTCTGCGGGAACAGACGGCAAGTCCAGCCAACAGGAACCAGGAAACTGGTTGGAACAGAACAGTGAAAATGGTGTGTACTTGTTGCTGGTGACTTTCCCTGTACTGAACATTTCTGGAACAGCATTTTTCAAAAGCCTGACCTGAAGCCGCACCGGTTCTCTTTCTTCCTCCCTCTTGCAAGCCCTTCCTCTCACTTTGCACCCTGATGCAAGTACTCACCTTGATCCTCCGGAGCATGGGATGCTCCTGTTCCAGGAGTCGCGGGCAGAGGCCTGGTGACCCTGGGACGATGGGATGGAAGAGTGATTTTCACTGGCCCCACATACTCCACATAGGTGCCTGGGAAATCCCCCTTTTGTTTGGTGCGCTCGTTGACCCCCAGAATCCAGCCAATCTGGTTTGGCATTTGCTCATCTCCATCCTTAAAGCCCAGTGCCTGCAAGGCCCCCTTGCTCACCACCAAGGTGTCACCAGGTAACAGATCGATGTCTTCGTTGCGTTCCTTACGGTAAGGGTAGAGGGCCCGATACTGGAAGCCTTCCGTGCTCCCCATAGTCCCCTGGAAAAGGCCAAGCAAATGCACCAGTGAGGGAAAAAATGGAAAAGAGGAGTGGGCTGAGGGTGGCTGTCCCACTTCCCTCTCAAAAACTCTGCATGAAGGTGAAACGACAGCTCTCCTGGGTCCGCTGGCATGAACGGCTGGGCCCTAAGTACAGCCCCGTCGTTCCCGTAACTTGAAGCCACGATTCAACCAGATGATGAAGCAAAGGCAGAACGTGACGAGCATAATCCAGCACTTGGAGGTGGGCTAGGGAGGAGAGGCAAATGACAGCTCAGGATCTCAAAGGCGTCGTGGAAGAAGTTGTGGTGCACAGGATTCTGGAACAAGTAGAGGAAGGGAGATGTCACTCAGACAGCTTCAATAGCATGTTCCCTGAGTAAGAGGGCTAACACTTATATTTGACTTTACAAGGTGTCCCAAGCAGCTAGCAGAAATGGAGCTCAGCACTACAGCAAGATAAAACACCGAGAATAAGGCAAACAGCAGAGAAAAACATGATTGACATTGCAGAAAGGACCGTATCATTTATATTAGCAAAATTCACTGGACTCTTTCAAATTCTTTAACCTTAAAGGGGAATTTTTTTAAAAAACATCTATTTTAAAACTTTCCTTTAATAATATTTGTAAAATCAATAAATTCTAATGCATCTTTAACTTCCTCTTAACATAAATTCTTTTAAATACACTTTCAATAATACTTTACAAGCTTTAGGAATTACTCAAGCATTTTATATTTGTTGTTGTTGTTAATTGCGAAGTCGTGTCCGACCCATCGCGACCCCATGGACAATGTTCCTCCAGGTCTTCCTGTCCTCTACCATCTTCTGGAGTCCATTTAAATTCACACCTACTGCTTCAGTGACTCCATCCAGCCATCTCATTCTCTGTCGTCCCCTTCTTCTCCTGCCCTCAATCTTTCCCAGCATTAGGCTCTTCTCCATTGAATCCTTCCTTCTCATTAGGTGGCCAAAGTACTTGAGTTTCAACTTCAGGATCTGGCCTTCTAAAGAGCAGTCTGGGTTGATCTCTTCTAGGACTGACCGGTTTGAACGCCTTGCAGTCCAAGGGACTCGCAGGAGTCTTCTCCAGCACCATAGTTCAAAGGCCTCAATTCTTTTGCGCTCAGCCTTTCTTATGGTCCAACTTTCACAGCCATACATTGCAACTAGGAAAACCATGGCCTGGACTATACGTACTTTTGTTGGCAGGGTGATGTCTCTGCTTTTTAGAAAAGCATTTTATATATATACCTATAAATAAACTACATTTTCAAACCCATTTTACAAATACAAAGCTACATTCAAACTTTATTTCAGTTACATATATCAGACTAGTAAAAATCTATCCTAACTCCAATTAATTCATTAAATTTAAGTCATTCCTTCCAGTTTATCCTCACAGAATAGTGCAAATAGAAACATATATTATTTTTCACAGTGAGAAAAAAAAATAGAGATGGTTAAATTGATTGTTTTAATAAAAGGAAAGAATATATCTAATTTTGTTTTTATTTGAAAACCACTCCTAGATTTTGTGCTTGTGATGAAAAAAAAAATGAAACTCTATGATTTTGGTTTTGCTGATTAGATAGGTTCGTTGTTATAGAAATGGCTAGTATATATTACTGTATAAAAGTAAAAAGTAGAAGTCGTAATGTTATTATCTTCTACTGTGCTAAAAAGAGTAAGAAGTCAATGCCTTTTTTTCTTTTTCCCTTTCTACCCCACTTTCTCTTTTTTCCTCTCCCCCTAGCTTCCCATTATTTTCATTTTCCTTTGTATTTTATATTGTAATAAACTAATAAAAAAATGATAACTAAAGAGATAGCAGAAAAGAAGCAACAGAAGGGGGAAACATCTCAATAAAAATACAGAAAGTTCTTAGAAATACAGTTGTGCAAAAATGGAAGGGCAGAGAAGACCAAGTAAAGGTACTCCTTGACTTACAGCAAGCAGTTCCTTTAATGACCGTTCAGAGTTACAACAGGAGAGAAAAAGGTGACTTATGACCATTTTTCACACCACTGTTGCAGTATCCCCATGGTCTTGTGATCAAAATTCAGACGCCTGGCAACTGGTTCACATTTACGACGGTTGCAGTGTCCCGGGGTCACATGATCACCTTTTGCAAACTTCTGACATATGAAATCAATGGGGAAGCCAGATTCATTTAACAACTGTGTTACTAACTTATCTACAGTGATTCATTTAACAGCTGTGGCAAGGAAGGTCGCCAATTCCAGAACATTGGGGATAAAAGCAGCCAGATGTGCATGATAGTGGTCAGAGATCTGACCCCTTTTGTTCTCACCGGAATCTCTGAAAACAAGGATAGAATGGCTTAACTGCAACGCGAAGCGATCTCAGTTCCCAGCCTGTCATTTATGAACAAGGCAAGTTTTACCTCCCTTCTCCCTCTTAAGATGGATATCTCAAGTTTTCCTGCTCCCAATTCTCAGTATTTCTTGTAAGCTAGAAAATGTATGACAATGGATGTATTTAGGACATAAAAAAAAAAAATGGTTGGAGAGACTTGGAGCAAGCTGCAGAGAAGGGCATTAGAAGTTCACACTGTACTGGGAACAGAAGCCTGGAATTCATCTCTCTTTCACTCTCCCCTCTTTCAACCAATAGCACTCCCCCCCCCTCATGCTCTCTCACACGTGTGCACAAACAAAATTGAAGAAGGCGGCAGGACGAACTTCTGCCCTATTGTGCCTCAGAAATTTCTATCCCAGGGAACGCTATCTCCCATCAGCCCTTCCCCCAACCAACACATATAATCTCTGCTACTGCCTATATTAAACAGGCTCTGTGGAGAGAGAGGGGGGGAGGGGGGGAGAGAGAGGAGAGTGTGTGGAAAGAGAGAGAGGGAGGGAGAGAGGGAGAGAGAGGAGTGTGTGGAGAGGGAGGAAGGGAGAGGGAGACATTAAAACTCCTGTCCAAGTAAAACAATCTAGCATTATCCCTAGAAAATTGCTGTATGGATAGAGAATGGGCTGGGAAAGAAATTGAGTTAGATCAGGAAACAGCAATAGCAATAATAATGAGGATGGTTAAACTTCCAGCTCTTGTTTAGTGTACCTTAGAGTCTCTCTTACATAAAAGAGTAGTGTTACTTCCTTGTGGGCCTGTTTAGCCACTGTCTAAAGCAGTGGTTCTCAACCTTTTTAATGCTGCGACCCCCAACCGGTCGTAAGTCGAGGACTACTCAACCGGTCGTAAGTCAAGGACTACTCAACTGGTGCAGCACCGTTTGCAGAATGGGACTTTTGGCGGGCTCAGCAGGTCAGAGACAGCCTGGACAATTCCTATTGGCTTTTGAAAGCCAATAGAATTAGACTCTATTCAAGAGAGTCTATTCTATTGGCTTTCAAAAGCCAGTAGAATAAAAGGGAGTAGCACAGCTAAGGAAAAGGGGGGGAAAATGGCGGACTGCATTGTTTGGCGACCCCCATGAAATGGTCGTTCGACCCCAAATGGGGTCCCGACCCACAGGTTTAGAACCACTGGTCTAAAGTCTCAGCATTATCTAACATGGTGGAGCAGATGAATACTTGGATGGTAGACAATTCCAGGTATATGCTAATGTAGAAGGCAAAAAAAGAAATACAGAGAAAACCATGGCAAACTAATGCCATACCACTGCCAAGAAAATAAACTTCCAACAGGCCTTTTAATCCGATTTGGAAAGATCCTTCCCATGTTCTTAATATATGCTGCTTTGAACTGATTGGCTTTTGTTAACTGGAGGGCCTCCTGATCTGCAGCACCTTGGTGATTTATTTGATTACACTCAATATATTTCCTCCTGTTCCTAATTCAGCCTTTGCCCACCTGGATATCTCTCCTACTGATTTCAAACTCCAACATTGCTGAGAATTATGTAAATCAAAGTCAAACACCAAATATCTGGATGATTCACATCTTTGGTTTCACAGAATTTAATATAAACCCATGGCTACCCTCAAGAGGCTCTTAAAATGGCAAAATTTCCTTCCAAAGGTGTCCATTTCACCCACTTGGAAGTAGCAACTGTAGGAGTGTGAGAATCCCATTCAGAAGCTATTTTAACCTTGCCTTCAGAGATAAATTTTATAATCCAGAACACCAAAGATGGATCCTGTCTATGTGCCTCTTCTCTGTCACCAACTTTCATGAAAATGGTGGCTAGATACTTACAGCTTGTTTCTTGTCTGTTGAGCTGAGAAAGTGAACCAGCAATATCTAGGCCAGGGGTGGGCAACCTTGACTCTTTTATGACTCTTGGACTTCAACTCCCAGAATTCCTGAGCCAGTGTGGCTGGCTCAGGAATTCTGGGAGTTGAAATCCATCATAAAAGAGCCAAGGTTGCCTACCCCTGATCTAGGCCTTCACATTTTCTTTGCTATCTTCTCTATCGCTATTTAACAATATTACAGATAGTCCTCAACTTGCAACAGTTCTTTTAGTGGCTGTTCAAAGTCACATCATCCCTCAAAAAAGTGACATGACCGTTTTTCACACAACCGTTTCAGCACCCCATAGTCATGTGATCAAAATTCAGATGCTTGGCAACTGACTCATGTTTATGACTGTTGCAGTATCCTGGGGTCATGTGATCGATCACCTTTTGCAATCTTCTAACAAGTAAAATCAATGGGGAAGCCAGATTCACTTAACAAAATGTGTTACTCATTTAACAAGTGTAGCGATTCACTTAACAACTGTGGTAAGGAAGGTTGCAAAATGGAGCAACACTCAATTACAAATATCTCACTTAGCAATGGATATTTTGGGCTCAATTGTGGTCATAAGTCAAGGACTAGCTGTAATGGGTTTGGAGTGCATTCTAATATATAGAAGCCACCAAACATATAAATACTGAGAGGGTAACTACAGGTAGCTGAACAGAAAAGGTAGACTTATTTTGCAAAACAGAGGCAAAAAAAGCAAATACATCTTACACAAGCTTGCAAGTTTTCTTCTTATGTCCCTCTCTTGAGAGCAGACCTGGAAAGATCCCAGTTGCTCATATCCATCATCTCTGGTTGATCATTCCTGTTCTGGTGGTCCTGGAGAGAAATCCATGATTCTTGGACAACTTGCTCCTCATCCCTTTGAAATAGTTTATTTTTGCCATCTCCCTTAGCAAAAGGACATCTTTTCTCTAGATCAGTGGTGTCCAACCTTGGCAACTTTAAGACTTGTGGACTTCAACTCCCAGAATTCTCCAGCCAGCCACAAGTCTTAAAGTTGCCAAGGCTGGATATCCCTGCTGTAGATCTCAAATGTCTCCAAAGGGGACTTTAAATTTTAATATTCCAAAATCAAAAGGCTTCTAAAGGGACCTTTTCAGATGAATATATCTAATGAAAACTCGTAGGTTTTCAGTGAACAGCAGGTCACTTTATCAGATTCACCTTCGGCTTATGCCTTATAATCATCTATTAGCCTGAAAAGATGCTGTCAGATTCCTTCCGATTTTTTGATATGGCTTTTTCCCTGCAAATATCTTTGACTCTCCAAAAACTCCTGTGGCTTTACAGTATCCTCCTCTGACCCTTCCAGAGCTCATGAAGAGGGCCTCACTCCCTCAGCATATTTAATAGTTCTACTTTAATTAAGTCCATATGGGCTGCATCTGAAATTGGCTCTTTGTTCACAGTTTCTAATTTAGTGCAGAATAATCACTGAAACCTGACATCCCTCACTCCCTAAAATAAACTTGGGGCCATTCCAAATTTTATGCTCCCATTAGACATTCTAATATGCACATGGGCAACACAAAGCCCTCTTGGTTTAGTTTCTACATGGCACAAACGCTCTTGCCTCGACCATGTTGGTTGGCACTGAAGACAACTGAAGCCCAAATCATCCAAGGCAGGGGTCTTCAAACTTGGCAACTTTAAGACTTGTGGACGTCAACTCCCAGAATTCCTCAGCCAGCCTGAGGAATTCTGGGAGTTGAAGTCCATAAGTCTTAAAGTTACAAGTTTGAAGACCCTTGATCTAAGGCAATGGTTCTCAACCTGTGGGTCGGGACCCCATTTGGGGTTGAATGACCATTTCACGGGAGTCGCCAAACAACGCAGTCCGCCATTTTTTTCCCCCTATTCCTTAGCTGTGCTATTCCCTTTTATTCTATTGGCTTTTGAAAGCCAATAGAATAGACTCTCTTGAATAGAGTCTAATTCTATTGGCTTTCAAAAGCCAATAGGAATTGTCCAGGCTGTCTCTGCCCTGCTGAGCCCGCCAAAGTCCCATTCTGCAAACGGTGCTGCACCAGTTGAGTAGTCCTCGACTTACGACCAGTTGAGTAGTCCTTGACTTACGACGGGTTGGGGGTTGCGACATTAAAAAGGTTGAGAACCACTGATCTAAGGGCACCAGGTTTTCCGATCTAGTGTCCAACTGCTTCATTTCTGCTCACAATCCTCTTCAACTATATCTTAAGAGTCACTTATTTTAACTTGCCGGGGATGGAATACCAGTAGTCCTCAACGTATGACCACAACTGAGCTCAACATTTCTGTTGCTGATACAGTTAACTGAGTTTTGCCCCATTTTATGACCCTTTTTTGCCACAGCTGTTAAGTGAATCACTGCAGCTGTTACACAGTTAGCAACACAGTAGCTTCCCCGCCAACTTTGCTTGTCAGAAGGTTGCAAAAAGTGATCACGTGACCCTGGGAGGCTGCAGCACTCATAAATATGGACCAGTTGCCAGGCATCTGAATTTTGATCACATGACCATGCAATGGTTGTTAAGTGTGAAAAAGGTCATTAGTCACTTTTTTCAGTGCCACTGCAAGCTCCAACAGTCACTAAACGAAAGGTTGCAAGTCAAGGACTACCTGTACTGCAAATAACTTTTAGGGCCACACTGATTTTGGAGAGAAGAGAGTGCCGTTTCTTTTATGCAGGCTCTTACTGGAACAGTAGACCTGGAACATGGTTCAGATGTCCGTCTTTGTGGGATGCAAAAGGGAGAGAAGCAACTGAAACTCCTGGGGGAAAAGTTTGCTTGAGCGAGCGACATTTTGGCTGTGCCAGATGCAGCCTGGAATGTGGGCAGCAGCTGCTGCTGTTCAGAGTAAGCCTGCTCTGGGAGGCAGATCCTTCTCCAGCCCAACTTTTTACGACAGATGTAGCCACTCATCCAGGATTTGTGCTGAAGGAAGCACCAGGTGCACGCAAGACACAAAAGGGGTACAGTCTCTTGCCCAGAGGGCTTAATTTTACCAGAGACAGATACATGTTGGATGGGCATAGGCTGTGGGAACAGGGAAGGTGGCCCTAGGAGCTGCAAGGAAAGATCCTGAGAAAAATGGAGTTGCCTGAGGAGCCGGGGAGGAGAAGAGCTTTGTTGGCAGGTGAGCTTATGAAAACACAGGGAGCAGAAAGAAACACAGGGACCAGAAGCAGGAAGAGGAGGAGCCCTAATCAGGGATAAAGAGGAATAAACTTTTAAAACTGAGGACTAGATTCTTGATGTGGATACTGTATGAATACTAGATAGGAAAATCCTATTGTATAGCTCCAGGGGGAAGGACGAGGAAATAAGATTAGACTGAGGAAATAAGATTAGACCGACTTTGAATATCAGGTAGAAATGACAAACAAAACAGATAACCCTCTTGACCCTGGTATCTTTCATGAAGAGATTGACAATTGCAATCTCAGCACTTGTGAACAGCAGCAAGCTTTAGAAGGCTGGTCCAAAAGAGTGGAACACCAGCATGGCCAAAAGAGCAGAAATCAGATTGGAAAAAGACCCTGCAACACCATACCGCCATTTCTACATACACCACCACAATTTCTACACAAGCCGTCTGCTAGGCCCCAAAACATTTAGCAACCAGGATCACCCAAAATAGTTGGCTTGTGCCTGCAAAGCGTGGGAATATTGTCTATCCCTTTTTTTCTTGAGCCATGGAAGACCATCAAAAAGGAAACTCAAAAGACATGCCTCTTTCAACTCCACAAAAAGATGCTCTTGGCAAACTAAGTTCTGATTTTTTTTAAAAAAAAAGAAAACCAATGTATAATTCACTTTAGTGGAATATCAGGATTCTCCCCCCCTCCTTTTTTTAAAACTTGGAAATCCTGAGAGGGCGAAGGCAGCTGCTCCCGCCCCATTAGTCTTGGGTTCAAGAACCAGATTCAAATGGTAGAGACCATCAGGCTCCACTTTGCTGTTTTTTACTCCTATTCCCACCACAAGCACTCCAGAGAGGGTAGGCAAAGCTAGGTCCTTGTCTCCCCAAGTTCACTTCAGCTGTCAGGTTTCCCTCTCCTGCAAGCGATTTTCTCCTGCAAAAATATTTTAAAATTTATTGTACTTCTAGGCTGGTGAGGGCATTACAGTACCAGCGCAAAGCTCAAGTAGATTAGGAGGGACAGGAATGCACAAGTCCCCCCTCCTTTTTTTCCACAGATGGGGAGCGGGAAGGAAGTAGCACAGAAAAAAAAAAAAAAATTAAGCAGAAATTCTCCCCTCCCTACTCCTTATCGCAGAGTCCCCCTTCCTAGCGCCCATTTCCCAAACATCTTATTTTAATTTTGTTTCCAAAGTGGGGGTACAGACTTGCTCCCCCCGGGAACCCACGTAACAGTCGACGGCTTCAATACAGCACAGAAATCGCCCCTTTTTTCCCCCAATCGAATCTCCCCCCCCAACCCCCCCACCCCGGCAACGACTGGAAATGGTGGATTTGCATGGCACAAATTTCGCACACACCCCCGGGAAGGATTTTGCAATGCACCGAGGCTCTGGAAAAGACTGACCGTCAATTCTCCCTGCATAAAAGAGGGGGGCTATGTGAAACGATCAAGTTAAACTCCCCCCTGCACCCTTAAACTTACCTTTTGCCCACGAAGCGCTCCCGTTCCTCAGGCTCCCCCCTTCCAGCCAGCTCCTGGCGCTGGGAACGCAGCTGCAACCCAGGGAAAAGAGGGAAAACCGGGAAGGGCCGAGAGTTGACGACCAAACCCGAGAATAACCGAAGTCTCTTCTTCGGAGAAAAAAAAAAAAAACGACCCGAACGTTGTCGTCGGAAAGAAACGAGTCTCTGTCCGAGCGCGCCCGAAGAATCGGAAAAGCCAAACTCCGGGGGATTCGTCCTTTTGTCTGCAAAAGTTGGATTGTACGCTTCCTTTCCCCGCACTAAATAAATAAATAACACTCTCAGCGATACCAAGTTTTCTTATCGTCTACTGATAAAGGGCGGGGAGAGCAAATCTAAGTTTGTTCTGTGAATTTTCTGGCCAGCATTTCCTGTCTTACCAAGAACCGTATTAATTGGGGTGCTTCCGGGCAAGGCTTTTCAATTATGCAGTCGTGAGAATAAGGTTTTTCTTAGCCAGGATGTCGCTGGGTTTGAAGCAGCCAACACTTTTTGATGTTTTAGTTGCCATTGGGAGACGCTGGTCTTTCTTCGAGGATTAATCGCACCAAGCGGTGCGTTGGTGGAAGAGGAGTTGAACCGAGCAATATATCCATAAGTACTTCCTGCCTCCTCTTTTATAAAATATGCAAAGCCAACATTTGCTTGGTATAGAAAGAAGCAACCCGTGGCAGGATTTTTCCACTTCGAACAAGCAGGGGAAAGGCCATTATCTCCCGGAAATAAGGGTCGCCTCGATTTTTCGTTATTTTTTTCTACCTCTACGGTGAAAGCTAAACGATGATCCCTAACAGGACCGAAGGGATTTACGTAGATTCCGGAGAAAGCCGAAAACATCCGAATTGGAGTTGCTCGCGTTCACCGAAACGGACACGAACATAATCGACGGGACGCGGAAATGGGCGAAACCTCAAACTATGTAGACGCGGAACTGCTCTGCTACTTGGTTTTACGTCATCTAAAGTCATTGAAATACTCTGATGGGGGCGGGGGAGGAGACGGAATGATTTGTGGACTTCGGCTCTCAGAATTCCTCAGCCAGCGTGCTGACATGATTTTATTAGCAGAGGAGGATGGTAATTTCAACTAACAAGCATTTGAAACATGCAAGGCGGACTGGAGGACGGAGGACGGTCCTCCACATGAAGCGCAGCTCATCAACCAGTTTTCAGTACCTTTGGAGTAATTGTAACTTAAGAGCAGCTCTGTGACCTGTGCTGAATGTCTTTGCCTCCCTGAGTCATAAAATGATTAGTTCCCTCCTGGGTTAAACTGGGAAATTGAGCAAGCTGAAGCTGAATTTTTGTGGTTATCTCCAGGACTTGAACTTACATTTGAATACCATATATTAAAAATAAATACATCCATGTAGTGTTCTTGCCAACTGTGTGGGAGAGGTTCACACTGCCACTTTCTGAGAGTTTTCAACCTCAAAAGGGAATCAGGGCTGCACCTGCCTATGGTCCAAGCTCAGTATTTGCTTTAAAAAGCCTACAGGATAAGCGTTATACATAGTCCTCGGTTTATGACCACAATTAGGATCAGAATTTCTGTTGCAAAGCAAGGCATTTGTGAGTTGTGCCCAATTTTGCAACTTATTTTTGCTACAATTAAGCATATTGCTTCAGTTGTTGAGCGAATCATGCAATTTTAAGCCAATCCAGCTTTCCCAATTGCTTGTCAGAAGCAGGCTTGGAAAGTTAGAAATGGTGATCACATGACCCTGGGATGCTGCAACCATTATAAATATGTACTCACAGTCAAGCACCCGAATTTTCATTATGTGATCATGGGGATGTTGTAACAGAAGTGTGAGCATAAATTCTAAGTCACTTTTCTCATTGCCACTGTTAACTTTGATCGCTGAAAGAATGGTTATAAGTTGAGAACTACCTGTACTAATTATTGCCACGTTTTCCCGAAAACAAGACCCAGTCTTACATTTATTTTTTTTTTTGCCTCCAAAAAGGCACTAGATCTTATTTTCAGGTGATGTCTTATTTTTTCCACTGTCTCGCCTCAGGGCGGTGGCACCAACAGCCCCATCTGGCCGGAACCCACGTGGCCGCCGGCAGCCCACTTCTGTAGCTGCTCACCACCGCTCACACACATCACCCTTGGCCTTCGTTTCATCAGCAGAGGATTCTCTGCCAGCATAACAGAGGCTGGGGCGACGCGCGCAAGCAGTAGCAAGTAGCTGAAGTGGGCCAGTGGCGGCTACGCGGGGTTCTACTGGACGGGCTGTTGGTGCTACCGCTGTAAGGCAGGTGTTGCGGGATGGGAGGCCTGGTTGTAGGGCCCTGAGGTAAGCAGGTGTGGGGCACATGGGGCAGAACTCCACCCCTTCCCCACCTGCCTCGCCTTACCTTACCTTGTGGTGGCAGCACTGCGAACAACCAGACAGAATGGGCAGCTGGCCAGCTGCGCAGGCTCTTTACTAGGGCTTATTTTGAGGGGTAAGGCTTATATTAGGCACATACCCAAAAATCAAGCTAGGGTTTGTCCTTTCCGAGCCAGTTCAAGCTCATTTATCTAAATCAGGGTGTCCAACCTTGACAACTTTAAGATTTGTGGAATTCTGAGAGATAAGTCCATAAGTCTTAAAAATTACCAAGGTTGGACATACCTGATCTACATGAAGCCCAAGTAATCTGTGGGATCTACATGAAGCCCAAGTAATCTGTGGGATCTACATGAAGCCCAAGTAATCCTGTACAATCTGTTATGTTCATAAATCACTTTTTCTCATCACACCATGGTTAAGACCAAGACCCATAACTGTTTTCTTTTTCTGTAATGCATGTTATATTACAGAACAGACTCCGTGATTGGAACAAATATCCTCATCTCCAATCTGCCTAGAGCTTTTATGAAGTCTGAATTAGTAAGCAAGAGAAAATGAAAAGATCAATAAACCATGTCTTGTGGGGAAGCTTGTCGGTTGCCATTTGCTCAACATGCTTCATGGAGTTATGGAAAAAAAATGGAGGGCTCTGCTACATATACCACCTTATACTCCTGGGGCTAAAGTGGGATAGTGATTTCTTAAATATGTAAAAATAGCAGCAGGCTTGTATTTTCGTTTAGGAATAAAATGTAATGTAATTTTTGAGTAAAGGAATGCAGTTTTCTCCTTTAAAAAACATTTCAGATATTTTATGTGCAACATGTCTTATTTTGGGAAATTTAGTTCCTCTCTTTTAATACTTCGTTTCAGACTTGCTGCTTGTGAAGGGATAATAAATAAATTTAAGTTATACACATTGAAACCTATAAGGAAATTTGTCATAATGACTCACTAGTCCCATTCATTTTAGGTTTGATTAACTTAATCTGGATGTTACTCAGAAATTCTCGAAATAACAGGCACACATGTCATTCTAAAGTCTTACCATGTGCTTTTTATTTTGGAGTTCTTTGGATGTTAATGTTAACTGACAATCTGCTTGCACCATTCATTGTGCAGCCCAAGTCCCAGAGTGGAAATATTACAGAGATGCAGTGAATAAAAAGTATGGAAACTTCTGTCAAAATTGTTCTTTCCACCACACCCAGTGACAACTGCAGGACAGAAATATTACTATTTCCAGGAGCTGTGACATGCAGACCCAAATATGCCTAAACTCTTTTTTCCCAACTCAATGCCTTCCAGATGTGTTTTTTGGCACCTGAAATTCCCAGGCCACTAGACTAATTCTGAGAACTGTAGTTTCAGTCCCTCTGAAGGGCATCAAAAGGCTGGTCTAATATGTAGAGTTCCTTTCAAAATTCAGTCTTTATCTTGGCAGTGAGGGAAAAAGGGATACAGCTCTCTGGGATCTTTCAGAGGTCTCCAACTTTGGCAACACTTAAACTTGATGACTTCAATTCCTAGAATTCCTCATGCTGGCTGTGGAATTCTAGGAGTTGAAGTCCACAAGTCTTAAAAATCACCAAGGTTGCAGACGCCTGCATATACTTTGAGATTTGTCTTTTCCTGGCCCAGCTGTTTTTTATCACCTTTATTTTTTTACCTTTATTAACCTGAAGACTTAAGCGTTTGTGTAAGCAGCTCAAACCATTATACAAGTGGCAGACCTAGAAATCCATCAAATAAATAAATGCAGCATCCAATACACACAGAAATATATAGGTCCAGCTCCATTTGTTTTATGTCCCATTTCAATCAGGTTTCTAGAGGGAGTTATGATACTATTTTGTATAATGCAATTGTAAAAAGTGTGGGGTATGGTTAAATGCAGTTTGTTTCAAGGAAAACCTGTTTTGGATATATCTTGGTGAGCTTTGAGAGAAAAAGAAAGGACATAAGGAGAGATCAAATTTTCCTCTCCTTCCCCAGTGTAAACCTCCTCAGCATTTACAGGTAGAGAGAGGAAGCTGAGGAAACCAAATCCATTTGGAAAAGCATAGAAGGCCCACAGAAAGCAAATTTGGGGGAATTATTTGAAAAGCAGCCTACCTCGTGAAACCCACGTAGCCTCTGTAAGAAACACAGCTTATGGCTGATCTTGAGAAGCTAAGGAACGAAGGTCCAGGTTAAATGCTTGGATGATAGGTCACTGAGAAATCCCTAGTTGTATGCTCAACTGGAAATTTTAGACAATCCCCCAAGAAAGAAATGACAATCCACATCTGATTGTTGCCAAGAAAACTACAGGGACATGTTTGTAAAGCCAGATGAAACTGAGCTTTACACTTTGTCCTCCTTGCAGACCATGAGGAGCCATTAAAGGTTCCTGGCTGAATGTGAGCCTCTAGGCCAGGGGTAGGCAACCTTGGCTCTTTTATGACTTGTGGATTTTGACTCTTAGAATTCCTGAGCCAGCCATGCTGGCTCAGGAATTCTGGGAGTTGAAGTCCACGAGTCATAAAAGAGCCAAGGTTGCCTACCTCTGGTCTAGGCACAGGGTTTCCAGCACCAGGCTGAATTTGATCTCTACCAAAAAGACCAATCAAATCCTGCAAACTATTTCCAGGCCTACAGCAAAATATTTTTGCAGAAAAAAAGCCAGACCAATCGGCACAGTGGCTCAGCTGGAAGGGAGAGCCTGAACTGGTGCCACCTTATCTTGTTAGCGCTGAAGGGAAGTACTTTGAATAAAAGGAGGAAAAGGACGACACAAGAGACAGTGATGGTGGGTCAGCAACTCCCCACCTTAGTTGAGTAAGGAGTACAAAATCTCCTTGGCTTTTTGTTCTTCTTCTGTGTCTAGATCAGCGGTTCTCAACCTGTGGGTCGCAACCCCATTTGGGGTCAAATGACCATTTCACAGGGGTCGCCAAACAATGCAGTCCGCCATTTTTCTCCCTTTTCCTTAGCTGTGCTACTCCCTTTTATTCTATTGACTTTTGAAAGCCAATAGAATAGACTCTCTTGAATAGAGTCTAATTCTATTGGCTTTCAAAAGCCAATAGGAATTGTCCAGGCTGTCTCTGCCCTGCTGAGCCCGCCAAAAGTCCCATTCTGCAAACGGTGCTGCAAGTTGTCTGCAGCGAAGGCGAGCTGTCTGGAAGTTTCCACCCCTCCCTGCTGAGCAACTACTAAAAATGTAAGTAAAAGAGGGCCAGGGGTGGGAGGTGGGAGGCCGGCGGGTGCAGGGAGGGTTGCTGGCGCAGGGGTGGGGCCCGGTGGGTACCTTACCTCCCTTGGGCTGGGCCAGCTGGCGGCCCAGCCGGTGGTCGCCCTGTGCCGTCGCTGCCCCTTGCCAGCTACGCCTCGGCTGGCGCAGGGGGCGGCACCACACGTGTGGCGCTCCCGGGCAGGGAAAGTTCTCGACTTACGACCAGTTGGGTAGTCCTCTACGACCAGTTGAGTAGTCCTCGACCTACGACTGGTTGGGGGTTGTGGCATTAAAAAGGTTGAGAACCACTGGTCTAGATCAAACTTTAAACTGCCAGAATGAAGCTACCTTCTTGGCTTTGTTGTTGGCCAAAAATAAGTCATTATTGGTTTATGTTTCAGGTAGTCCTCAGCTTACAACCATTCATTTAGTGACTTGGAAGTTACAACAGCACTGAAAAAAATGACATGCCCGGTTTTCACACCGTTGTAGCATTCCCATGGTCACATGATCAAAATTTGGGCACTTAGCAACCGGCATATATTTATGCAGCCACACTATCCTGAGATCGTGTGATCACCATTTGTAACCTTCCCAGTTGGCTTCCAGCAAGCAAAGTCAATGGGGGAAGCCAGATTTACTTAACGACCACATGATTCACTTAACAACTGCAGTGATTTGCTTAACAGCTGTGGCAAAAGTAGTAAAATAGCAAGAGCACTTAGACTTATATACCACTTCACAGTACTTTACATCTCTCTCTAAGTGGTTTACAGAGTCGGCATATTGCTCCCAACCATCTGGGTCCTCATTTTATCCACCTCAGAAAGATGGAAGGCTGAGTCAATCTGGAGCTGGTCAGGATTAAACTGCTGGCAGTGGGTAGAATTAGCCTGCAATGTTGCACTTTAATCACTATGCCACCACGGCTCTTATGGAGAAAAATTCACTTAATAGCCGTGTTGTTTAGCAACAGAAATTTTGAACTCAGTTGTGGTTGTAAGCTGAGGGCTACCTGTACATTGCTCATTCCTTAAATCATCCTTTTAAAGAGGAACTCTGTGGGGCCAACTCTTGTAAGCACTGGTGTAATTGAGAGGTTACCCGGTGATGAAACTAAGAATTCAATATTCTCTATTTTCCAAGTATAATGAGATTCTTGTGAAAAATAGCTTCGGAAAAAGGATTTGGAGTTCTTGCCCCCTCCTTCCCTCTGGGAAAGCATTTATCATGTGCAAGTGACAGATTTCTATGAATTTTTACTTTGCAAGCCATCAAGCCTAGTTTCCTCCCTTCTGTGAGAAAGCAGCCAGTTTTCCTTCATGCGCTGGACAACCTCTCCAATAACAGCTTAAAAAGCAGAGAGAGAAAAAAAGGAGGGGAAACGGAGCTTTCCCCGCTGAAAAAAAATGTAAAGCGTGTACTGCTGCCAGCAGTTACACATGCACTTTGGATAAAAAAAGTTATTGAGAAGACCACAAACTAGAGATTAGAAGACAGCTGAACATCATGAAATAACTGCAGTTCAACTGCTGTGTCTATATCAGACTTTGGCCTTGTGGTTTTACAAAAGGATAAGGAGCCAAGAGTAGCATTTGAGGAAAAGACTATTATCGGGGGATCTCAGGGAAAGATGAACAACTTACAATTGCTTATTTAACAATGGTTCAAAGTTATGACGATCTTGGAAAAAACAATTAAAAATGTGTACTCACACTAATGACTGCTGCATCAACCCTGCAATCACATGATCGCAATTCAGGCGCTTGGCAACTTGCTAACACTTACAACCAGTTGCAGTGTCCTGTGGTCATGGGAAAGTGATGTGCAAACTTTTTTTTTTTTTAACCAAATTCCAGCCAAAAAACACCCATTGGGGAGATGGATTTGTTTAACGACTGTCTAATTCGCTACATGACCCAACAGAAAAATTATCATAAAACTGGGTTTACTTCTACTTATGACCATGATGGTTTACATTTGAAATTCCTGTCCAATTGGGGCCATAAGTCAAGGATTACCTGCATTCATGTTAGAAAGAGAGAATGCAGAGCTGGATACACACTTTCAGAAACATCTTCCTTCTGACTCTCACCCAACTGCCTTAAGCCACATTCATCTGGCAGGGACCCATCCTTACATCCAGATTAAACTTTAAAAATAATGCTGGATAGCTGTTTCTGAGTAAAAAGGACAGCCTGCTCCAACTTGGCACTCTGTGGATCTGTTGCAACTGCAACTTCCCAGATACTATTAGGAACTTTGAGAGAAGCAGCCAGGACAAAATAGGACATGAAATGGCCAATTAAGAGTTGTCCTATACCAGATCAAACCTTTGAACCATCTAAGCTGAATCTATCAATGCTGGCAAAGTCTCACGCAGAAAGAAAAGTATTTCTTACCCTGATACTTAAGATCCTTCACTGGAAATGCCAATAAGAACTGACTAATCCTCAACTTATGACCATAATTGAGCCTGGAATTTTGGTTATAAATTGTTGCGGTCGTAAGTCAACTCACCGTGTGACTAGACTGGATTTTATGACCATTTTTATGATGGCTGTTAAGTGAAACACTGTAGTCATTAAGCAAATCATGTGATCATAAATCTGAATCCAGCTGGAAAATGGCAAAAAATGTCATAAACTGTGATCATGTGACCACAGGATACTGCAACTGGTTGTAAACGGAAGCCAGTTGCCAAGCACCCAAACTGCACTTGCATGACTGCAGGGGTGGCAGTCATAACTTTGAGGACAGCTGGTAGCTTTTTTGAGTCCATCATAACTTTGAACTGTTGTTACACGTCCAGTCCTAAGTTGAGGATTTCCTGTATTTTGCTGAATGTGAACCTGTGCCTGCATTCGGCTGTGATCTCCCGAGAATGAGTGCATCATTTGGAAAGCGTGTTGATGTGTCTGACTCATGTTCAAAGACAGAGACACCTTCAAAGCCTTTTTGAGGACATCTCCCCAAGAAGTTTCCATTTGCTGCAGAGGGGATGTAAAGAAGGAGAAGATGCTCTCTCATTCCCCTATTTTTTTGGGGGGGGGGGCGGTTTGCAGTAGATCTAGAAATGGTGCAGTATGAGGAACCCCACCTTATTCTTTCACAGTAACTATCATACAACCAAATGGAAACCCCCACAACTGTCCCCCAAAAGCAAATCTCAAGGTCACATATAGAAAAGATAATGCAAATGGAATCAAAGATTTCTGAATTTCTCCAATGAAAGTTTCTGGATATAAACTGATCGGGACCACGCTGATTTTCTTTTCTTGTTTACCCCCTTGGCTTTTCTCCTCAATTCTTGATCAAACAGTTGCAAGACAAGAGCTGGCGTTAGGTTAGGGCAGGGGTAGGCAACCTTGGTTCTTTTATGACTCGTGGACTTCAACTCCCAGAATTCCTGAGCCAGCCATGCTGAGGGGAAAGGGAGAGGTTTCCAAGCTGAGCCATGCTGGCTCAGGAATTCTGGGAGTTGAAGTCCACGAGTCATAAATGAGCCAAGGTTGCCTACCCCTGTGTTTAGGGTATCAACGGCATACACTGGCACTGCAATGTTTACAGATGTCACAGGTTTGGGATTTGGAGTTTTTTAACCATTGCTAGCATTTCTCCTTTCACCAGTTTCAATGCAAGAGAAAAGACCCCCTGAAATGAGCAGACTGTGCCCCTCGCTACTTGTACAAGGCAGCAAAGATATTTCATATCCCTTGCTATTTCATTTATTCTCACAATCAGCAGTAGCCAAGGGGACAGTGGGAAAAATTATTAATTGTGGAGTATTCACTCTCCAGAAGGATAACCGGTGCACGGATGGGAAAGCTTAATTCTTAGTTTTAGGGCACCCAACGGAACCAAATCTGTTAGCCCCAAATCTGACTGAAATGGGAACTTTTTTCTAATTAGTAGAAAAGCAGCATTGCCTTTATCTCCAGCCTGAATCACCACTGACCCTGCCCTGTGAGGAGGAACACAGAGTACCTCCCAGGAAGGAGGAGGAAGTGGTAAACAGCTAGGAAAGACCCCACCAGCAGAATGAAAATGGGATCCCAAAGTTCTCAGTCCTTGGCATTGGCTTACTTTCTTTGAAGCACCCCCTTTGGTCCGCTAGGGACAAGTGGTTTTAACAGGTCTTCCAGTCATTTTTCCGAATTCTCCTGCAATTGCCACTTCAGGGAGGGTGAAGGTGAGTTCACTGCCTTCTCCCCATGGGTTGTCCTGTGTGTGACTCCAACAGTGGGTGAAGACTCCCTCTGTTCCCAATTTCCCCAGTGCTGGGAGGAGACACTCTTGTACTCAACAGCCATTGTCCCATCGTCTTGCTCAGTGTAAACCCGGGCCTCCAGCTGCACAGGATATGATCCTTGGCATTCCCACGTGGCTGTGATTCCTGCTGGCTCGTCACCTTGCACTGCAATGTGGGGCACGAGGGGCAGCTGGGGATCAGGGGCAGATGAGCAGCAAGACCTGTCCTCCACCCAGGAAGCTGCATGAGATCCATGCTGCCAGTCTCCAGGTTTACTCTCTGCTTGGGCCTCGCCACTGGATGCAAGTTCTGGCTCATCAAAGCTCACCTCCTGAACTGCTTCCTGCTTCTTGAAAGAGTCCCGGCGCTCAGACAAGTTCAGCCGCCGCATCACCACCACTTCATGGTCTCGATCATAACGTTCCTCAGACCAGTCCCGAACTCGAGAAATGCCAGCATCTCCCAGGGTGACCATGCCACTCTCCCTGGCACCTCCGTTTCCCAAGATCGGTGTCTCCAGCATGAGCTTTCGACTGCCAACCACTTTTTCAGCAAGACAAGTAGGGATTTTCTCTGTTGACTGGACTCGTTTGAGAAGTGGGGAACGGGAGCTGTCTGCACTGCGAGGCCGGGACACTTGACGGACCATTGTAGGCGGAGACAAGGTCTTGCCTTGGAATGTCTGGACGTTTTTTGTAAACAATGGAAGTGGTGAAGGGGATCTTTGGGGGGAGGGAGGTTGGGGGACGGCGGAAGGAGTGCAGGCCAATGGGGAGGGTGGGATGCTGCTTGTTGACTTGCGGCGCCCAACCTTGTAGCGATGACTGTTGACCTTTGATGCCAAGCCATGTAGGGAACTTGGTCGGATCTGTCCTGCTGGAGAAGTGGGGGTGCTGGAGGATGGGGAGGGACTCTGGGGCGAGATAGAATCTGACAAAAATAGAAGCAATTAGGAAGAACATACTGTATATATCTGGTAGCAGAAGATACCTCTACCACCACTGACTTGCTTTATATTAAATACATACATACAAAATATGTATTTCAAACTGTTAGTCTAGAATTAGTTTAACCTAAAAAGCCTTTAAAAGCTTGACACATTAATACATGGCTACAGACACCATTTCCTAATTAACCTTCATGCTTAAAAGTTATTAACCCTCATGCTTAAAAGTTTTAATAAATCAAAAACATTTTGATTAAAAATATCCTCAAAATAATTATCATCCTACATGACTTAGGGCCTGGATATCTTCAAGTCCATTGCTCTGAAATGAATGCACCTGTTCAGCTGGATCATGAAGAGAAACCTCGTTGAGACTCCCATCACTGAGGGAATTTTATCTAAAAAAATCCCATGACTGGGCCTTCTCAGTGGTGGCACCTTTGCCTTATTTTGTTCCTGTCACTTATTTTTTGTATTTGCATTGTTTTTAATGCAGTCTTTTCTAAAAGCCAATTTGTAGTAGAGTAGCATAGAATTTATTATTATTACATCATCATCATCATTTATATACTGTTATTTTACAACTTGCTGAAAAAGGACTGTGTTTTTATGAATTCTCTCTTTTAATAAACCAAGGAGCCTGTATAATTTCTCTTTTCAAGCAGTTGGGTTTTGCTTGTTAAGACTTTTCTACTTTGATAAAGAAGACAAATCTGTTAATAATAGAGATAAGATTAACCTTTGGGCCAAAGTGAACAAGTAATCTGAGGAGTCCAACTTTCCTTTTCAGTGATTAATTCACAGTTACAGCAGGAAACATTAACAAAATCTGAAGCTTTACTCTTGAATGAAAGTAATCATTCAAGCAGTAGCTTGAGAAGAGAATCCTACAGAAGGAAAAATAGGATGTGCTGATAAAAATCTGGGGCAACCGGGATGTAATAGACTCATAAACATATGTGGTAAATTTCTTAATAGATGTTATTTCCCAAAAGCTTCCCATAAGTAACTTAGAGAAGTACAGTTAATCCTCGACTTACAACAGTTTGTTTAGTGACTGTTCAAAGTTATAACAGCACTGAAAAAGTGATTTATGACCTTTTTCACACTTACAACCGCTGTGGCATCCCCTTGGTCACGTGATCAAAATTCAGATGCTTGATAACTGACTCATATTTATGACGGTTGCAATGTTCCAGAATCATGTGATCGCCTTTTGTGACCTTCTGACAAGCGAAGTCAACTAGGAAGCCAGATTCACTTAACAACTGTGTCACTAACTTAACAACTGTGGCAGGAAAGGTAGTAAATGGGGCAAAACTCATTTAACAAATGTCCCACTTAGCAATAGAAATTTTGGGCTCAATTGTGGTCATAAATCGAGGACTGCCTGTACGGATTTCTTACATAAAGGCTAACGTGTTCCGTTTGAGTGGCAATGAAAATAAACCTGGTGGGCTGCATAACGGAATTTATTATTTTAGGAAAAAATAATGCCCGACCTTTATTCATCACAACCAATCACAAGAAATCTAGATGGAAAAAGGACTTGGTAAGAGGTTCACAAGGTCCTACCTGGCACAAAATCTGGGACAGGGCTGCGGCAAGAAGCGGTAGATCCTGGGGATGAGCTGTGCGTTGGGGATCCGGGAAGGCTCTCACTGGACGAGAGAGAGTGATGGAGACCAGAGGAAAAGCTGCGGCTGGTGTGCAGAACGGATGTTTGCTTTGAGATCTTCTTGAATAGGGATTTCCGTCTAGGAAGGAGGGGGGAGGGGAGAATGACGCTAAGGCAGGGGTCTTCAAACTTGGCCCTTTTATGACTTCTGGACTTCAACTCCCAGAATTCCTCAGCCAGGCATGCTGGCTGAGGAGTTCTGGGAGTTGAAGTCCACAAGTCTGAAGATCCCTGCACTAAGAGTTCCAACATCTGAAGTAGCAGGCCGAGACTTACCAGAATAACAGTTGATTTGAGGTTGATTTATCAGCTTTATCTTGATGTAGACTTTAAATCACTATCCTGTGCTACTCAGCCAGTTTTAGCATCAACAAATAAAACATCACTGAAGCAAGAACATAAGTGGAGCAAGAAATTCTTGTGGTGAGGGGATGTATTTTTTATTTTATTTTAAAAGACTGGAGCTCTGAGGGTTACAGGGCTGTGGCTGAGTCACTGCAGCTAACTCAACAGACAAAAGTCTCGTGAGATCTTACATACAATGGTGCCTGCTTTGAAACTCATCAAATTTGGTACACAACACATTTTGATGTGAAAATGTTGTCTAGGTACTCATAGTTTCTTTGGTACTCAGCACACAAGCTAGAACCTATCGCTATCTATTGCCTTGTGACTCACTACATTATTCCTCATGAGAAAAAATTATTTGGTACCTGGAACCAATGAAGGACGAGTACTGAGGCACTACCTTACTTTATTTTCAGTATATTTAGGAATAATGTTGAAAAACCCTGCAAAAACCAGCATTTTGCTGTCAAGTTTCAGGACAAATTTAGAGGGCCTTTGGGAGCTCCCAGAAAAAGTGGGATACGGATGCTCAGGTAGCTTGTAGCTTGCCCACCCTTGTTAGAACTAGTAGAGGTAGAACAAGAGGTGGGCCAACTCACAAACCATGAAAGACCTTCCTTACTGGATTAGGATGAAGGCCATAACTCATTTAAAGTACCAGGCCCCACCTAATTCCAAACTTGTCTTAATTACTTTCCTCAAGTTCAACACCAATTCTATTAACTTCCTTGCTTGATCCTGGCCACCTACCTGTCCTGGCTGTCCCGTTTGCGACTCTTCTTACACCGGCGGGCCATCCGTGTCTTGGAACTATTCTTGCGAGCAGGGCCCACTCTGATGCTAGTGTTCTCAAGGGCAGTTGTTCTCAGTGACACCTTGTTTCCACTCTGCAAGAGGGACACAATCAAGAGCTGCTGGGCCCCCAAAAAGGGCAGTATTTCAAAGGATAGCTCCCCACCATTCACAGAAATGCTACAGACATTTATGGATATAACGTGTCACATTACAGGTAGTTCTCGAGTTACAACCATTTGTTTAGCGACTGTCTGAAGTTATATCAGCACTGAAAAAAGGGATTTACAACCGGTCGACACATTTTATGACTATTGCCAGCCTGTCTATGGAAATAGGATCAAAGTTTGGGCACTTGGCAACCAGCATGTATTTATGATGGTTGTAACGTCCCGGGGATGTGGGATAGCCACCTGCAACCTTCCTGGCCAGCACCTGACAAAGGCAAAGGTGGAGGCCAGATCTGCTTAATGACTTGTGTGGTTTACTTAACTGCAGTGATGTCATAAAATCAGGTGCAACTCAGTTAACAACCACCTTGCTTAACAATGGAAATTCTATTCTCAGCTGTGGTTGTAAGTCGAGGACTACCTGTTTTAGACTAAGCAAAATAAGTGTGCTTGGAAATTACTACTTGGAACCCATTTCGTTTTTGAGTTTTTCATAGATAACTTTTGGAAGGCCTATTCCACCAGCTTGTATCTCTCAGTTTTTCACCATCTGTATTTCCTGTAATAGTATTGTCAAAGCCATTATTTGTCAATGTTGTGATTCTCCTGTGGCATTTACAATAAACCTTCTTTGTTTATTTATCACGATGTTGACCAGGGGTGTTATTTCCAGCTGAAGGAACATACCTTCAACAACAGCTCTACGACATCCATGTGAACCAAGCCCAGGACCGACTCCCCGTTCACATGAGTGATGAGATCTCCCGCTCGGAGTCCTGCATCATGAGCTGGGCTCCCATCCTCTACATTCTATGACAGAAATGAAAAGATAGATCATCATCCTTGAAAATGTGTGTGAAAATTTACTTATGAATGTTTGAAAATATATGCTCATACAGGCAGATGGAGAATTAAGTATGCAAGTAGCTTTCTCTTTCATAGACTTCTCCGGTCATCTCTACCCCCCATCTTCACTTCACTTGCTCCCAATCCAGCAGCACACCCAGTAAAAATCACGTTTCAGAATTTAGTCGTGCTACTTCCAACTTGGAAAAAAGTGAATCTAGGATTCTCCCTTGGTGCGCAAACTATGCACTGTTCAGCCACTGCTTTGATTTTTTTTGATTGTCTTTATTGAAGTTTTATTATTATTTGGTAAACCACTTTAGAGAATGGGGAGATTTGAATTTTTTAAAAAATGCATGTCTGTTATGGGTGAAATTATAGCCCAGGATCAAAATTTCTGCTTTAGATGTATGTTATATTATATTAAAACCAGGTTTATAAGCATACTCGGGCCTCAGCTTTTACCAAAAGCCTGAGTTGTACACCTACTATATTTCTTCAGGTCCTCAAAAAGAAAGAGAATTAACAGAGATTCAGCAAAAGTAGAAGTATCCTAGGATGGAATCCATAGTGCCCTGGTGATTTGTAAGTATTTTCTCGCTGTTTTTCTGTTGGGATCAAGCTGGAATCTTCCTCCTTCAGCCTATTCTTCACATCCACTAGGTAGAATGCCTGGTCTCATTTTGGGAAAGGCTGAAGGAGTTGTGGCTCTGATTTTTCTGTTTTCATTTATCCTTTTGCTAAAAATTACCTGGCTAGGAATTAACGACTGTGTTTGGAAAACCTGCCAAAGATTCATGCCTTATTGTAAGCCAAAGAGCTATATTCACTCCCCATACAAACACAACACTTTATGACTTAACTTATGTCTGTTTTCTCCCACATTATTAACCGTGATTTCTGTAATTTAAATAAATTTCTAGTCCACATATAAAGCTAGGTTGGTATGAGGCATTCATACTAAGTCTGAATGCCTATCCTGTATTTAAAGTGTCATCTATAAACTATGCTGCAGTATGATTTTAAACAGCCCTGAACTAGGTGAATACGTTGTCTAGAATAGAATAGAATAGAATAGAATAGAATAGAATAGAATAGAATTTGACCCCCTCTACTTTGTGGCAACCCCTCAAATACCAGAATACTGCTATCATGTCTCCCCTGTTTCTTCTTTTCTTTAGACTAGCCAAACCCAAGTCCTGCAGCCGTTCTTCATATGTTTTAATCTCCAGGCCTTTGATCATCTTAGATGCTCTTCTCTGATTTTTTTTTTCCAAAGTCTCAACATCTTTTTTGTAGTATGGTGACCAAAATTGGTTGCAGTATTCCAGGTGTGGTCTTACTAGGGTTTTATAGTAAGATCCTATGATCCAAAATTTTTTTTCCATCACCTTCAATCAACCTGAAGGAAGTGTGTGCTTTTGGCTTACCCAAACCATGTGGTGCACAGTGTAAACATCGCTGTCACCCATGTAGACACGGATGGCCCTCAGGGAGAAGCCATACTTCTTCTCCGAGCTGTAGATGACAATGGGAGGTCGCAGACTGGTGCCACCAAGCATGGAGTCCCGACTTGGGGAAGAATCACGAGATGAAGGATTGGAAGAGAGGGAGCGGGGTGAGATGGGGCTCCTGAGAACAGCCCCACTGAAGTCATCTGTTAAAAAAAAGGAAGGGAGAGGATAATGATAAGGGTGACATAATTGAATTACTGTCAACGCTGCTAACATTGGATGTTCTTGCTTTGACAATATATGAGGATGCAGCCTTTTTCTTTCCCTCCTGCTTTACTCTTAGAATTAGATCAGCTGGCTGTGGAATTCTGGGAGTTGAAGTCCACATGCCTTAAAATTGTCAAGGTTGAGAAACACTGAATTAGATGATCCTGGGGGAGGAGGCGGAATGTGGTGGGAGTTAGTTAGACATAATAATATTGTACTAGTGTGTGAAATAAGAGCTGATAAGAATTGGCAGTAGCAGAACAGGAGGGAAAGCCTGCATTTCAAACTAATTGGACAATGTGATTTATGACTGTTAATTGAAGGAGGGAATTGCGCTTTGATACTATGTGCTCAGGGGAGGGGAATCCAGTTTTTGGCTTCAGCTGTGTTAGTGCCGAAGCTATGCAAAAAGTTTCATCTGTCGGGAACCATGACAATTACAGGACTACAAATCTCCAATGGAAAAGAATCTAAGCAAGCAGATAATGGAAAACTTTCTCTGTTTCTCTTTCTCACAGCACTTCTGTATTGCCAATATTTCCAAAACGTCCAAAAAAGAGAAGAAAAAGAAAACAACAACAACCCCCCCTCTCCCGCAACAACTCAAAGTCCGAAAGCAATCCATTACAGGTAGTTCCTGACTTATGACCACAATTGAGCCCAAAATTTCCGTCACTAAGCAAGAGAGCCGTTAAGTTAATTTTGCCCCGTTTTACGACCTTTCTTGCCACCGTCGTTAAGTGAATCGCTGAGGTTGTTAAGTTAGTAAGAAGGTTGTCAAGTGAATCTGGCTTCTTGACTTTGCTTGTCAAGAGGGTCGCAATAGGCGATGACATGATCCTGGGACATTGCAACCGTCATAAATATGAACGAGTTGCCCAGCATCCAAATTCTGATCAGGTGACCGTGGGGATGCTGCAATGGTCATTAAGTGTGAAAAACAGTCGTAAGTCGCTTTTTCTGGTGCCATTGTAACTTTCAATGGTCACTAAATGAATAGTTGTACATTGAGGACTAAGGGCATTGTCTTCATTTTGGACAACTTCAAAATGCAAAGAACACGTAGAAATTCCTAGTAGCCAAACAGTGGCCAACAGCCTTTCCCTCCAATTGACCCATGCATGCTCTGTCTGCTAAGATCTCAGCAGCTATAAACCTCTAGCCCAGGGGTCCTCAACCTTGGCAACTTTAAGACTTGTGGACTTCAACTTCCAGAATTCCTCAGCCAGCGTTGCTGGCTGAGGAATTCTGGGAGTTGAAGTCCACAAGTCTTAAAGTTGCCAAGGTTAGCCCCACTTCACCGAAAAAGAAATACAATCGTTACGATTCCTCCCCATGTAATCTTTCTAACGGTATTTTTTTAAAAACCTGACAACTTTTTTTTATGTAAGGAAGCTGCACAAAAGGCTCTCCAGCCACTCTCTGGCCATTCCTTGGTTGCATTTACAAGCTCCCATTAGGGGTTAAGGCTCTTAAAGGACTCCTAAGATATCAGGAACTCAGTGCGACTACAGTGGTGTGTTTGGCCCTGCTTATTCGCTTCTGCACTGCTAGAACCACTTGTGCTGGGAACAGACCAGGAATTATTTGTCCCACTGACCTGAATTGATGATAAGTGATAATGCGGAAACCGAAGCTGACTTTGGCACTCTGCCACTGGAAGATGCTGGCTGCTTCCCTGCAGAATCCTTGTGGGGGAGCCTTCGATAACTGCCCTCGCGATCCAAACCTCTTGAGGTAGACCTCTTAGTACCTGTGCTGTTGCTCCTGAGACGGACACAGTTCAAACTGGCCAGGTCAGCTAGAAGGAAAACAAAGGGACCGTTAGCATCCTGTAGCTTTGGGAAGAGGGTATTTGACTTTGGAAGGTCCGAAGTGCCTTGCTCTCAATTTCTATGTGGGGTTGCAGAATAATAATAATAACAACAAAAACAACAACAACAAAGTTAGAAGGGACCTTGGAGGTCATCTAGTCCAACCCCCTGCTCAGGCAGGAAACCCTATACCATTTCGGACAAATGGCTGTCCAGTCTCTTCTTAAAAACCTCCAGTGTTAGAGCATTCACCGCTTCTGGAGGCAGGTTGTTCCACTGGTTAATTGTTCTAACTGTCAGGAAGTTTCCCCTTAGTTCTAGGTTGCTGCTCTCCTTGATTAGTTTCCATCCGTTGCTTCTTGTCCTGCCTTCAGGTGCTTTGGAGAATAGCTTGACTCCCTCTTCTTTGTGGCAGCCCCTGAGATATTGGAAAACTGCTATCATGTCACCCCTCGTCCTTCTCTTCGTTAAACTAGACATTCCCAATTCCAGCAACCGTTCCTTATATGTTTTAGCCTCCAGTCCCCTAATCATCTTTGTTGCTCTTCTCTGTACTCTTTCTGAAATGCTGCAGAGCCACTACCACTATCACTGTAAACCAATGTTTCTCAACTTCAACAACTTTAAGTGGCGTAGAAGTCCATGCCTCTTAAAGTTGCCAAGATTGAGAAACACTGCTGTAGACAATGTCAAGTTTGATGGACCAAAGATCTGAGTTAGTATCTGGGTTAACACAGCATATCCCAAATTTACCCTGTGTTCACATCATACATCATTCTTAAACTGGCAAATATGTACGTAATGGCCTGGTTCTCCCCAAAATGCCAGTTTCATATTCAAGGAAGTTGGGTTGCTTGGGATTCAGCATGTTGTGGGAACCAGGCCATCACATCAGGGCATTGTATTGGGATTGCTGTTTATTTCTCTAGATTAAGAATGTTATTTGAGAATGGAAATTATATTTGGTTAATCTAGATTGGTGGTTTAGCAGGTTGTGGGAACCCTTTTGGTATAAGGCAGAATCCTGCATTTTCCCACATTTATCCTGGCCCTCCTTTTCCTCTTTTATTTCCACCGGGGCATAGAAAAGTTCTCTCATTCTTTGCAAAGTGTTACTACTCTTTAATTAAATTAATTAAATAACTAAACCAAGTAACCAAACAGAAAGCTCATGTTCAGAAGCAGTCCATCCCCACACATGCTAGTTGTAGAAGATAAAGTTTGAAGATTAGGAAAGATAAAGTTCATGGAACCAGTTTGGTCTAGTGCAGGGGTAGGCAAGGTTGCGTACCCCTGGTCTAGTGATTAAGACATCAGGCTAGAAAGTGGGAGACTATGAGTTCAAATCTCTCTTTAGCCATGAAAAACAGCTAGGTGATTTTGGGCCAGTCACTCTCTCTCAGCCCAACTCACCTCACAGAATAGTTCTTGCTAGTAAAATAGGAGGAGGAAGGTGTGTTGGATGAGTTCACTGGCCTTGAGTTATTTGTAAAAATAATACAGGCAGGATATGTGTGTGTGTATGGGCGGCGCGCGTGTGTGTGCGCGTGTGTATGCATGTATGCAATAGTAACAAATATCAAAACTTCACCCATATATACATATAGATGCATATATGCATACACATATATACATGCATACATGCATCCTAAGACAGGCTTGCTTGTGACTTTATTGGCTGTCATGAAATGCAGGAGATTGGACTAAACTTGGGCAAATGCTGCTGCCTTATTGGCGTCACCTGGGATAATATCCAGAGATACCTTGCTCTCACCTGCCAGTGCTGAGCCCTTGCTGGGTGTCCTTGGTGCTGCCATCTCAGAATCCCCAACGACAAACTTGGGGCGCTCCTTTTTGGCTGTCCCCCGGCAGGGGCTCTCATCCTCAGAGGACAAGGCAAACCTGGGCATTGCTTCTAGGCTGCAGGTGCTGCTCAGGATGCCAGGACTGCGGCTGAATTCTTGACGGAAGGAATGGACGGTGGAGCCACAGGAGGTCCAGGCACGAAGCCTGCATGAGACAGAAAAAAATGGAGGACCTCTGCAGGGAGGACAATGGAAGACTTCCTTGCAAAACAAACATATCCCCTCTATGGAGGACAGTCCACTACTTCCTTTTCCAGTTTGTTTATGTATTAATCAAATTTATATTATCTAACTGCCCCTCTCTATCTGAGATAGTAACTCATTCCAAATAATTCAGCGAACTTCGAAGACTTGAATATGTCTTTTCCCAGTCCTGCATTCTAGCTACTACAGCACAAAGCTTTCATGCAAGATGAACCATGAACAGAGTAACAAGGTCAGAACACACTTCCCCCTTTGCCTCTTCTAGTGCCAAAACCGAGCGTGCCCTTTGGAATTTTAAGGAAATCAAAGAAACTCAGGAAGTTCCCTAAGATGTGCAAAGTCCTTCCACCACTCCGTTTCGAAAAGGCCAGGTGTAATCCTGTCTGCTCACCTGGTCTCAGTCTTTGTTAGCCGGCTCTTCTCCTCATCTCCAGAGCTGTGTTCTCCCCTCTCAGCCCTGTCTTCTTTGTCCTCACCATGTCCCTGCTCAGAAGATGTGAAACTGAGGGTGGAGGAGTGAGCCAGATACTCACAACTGCTGTAAACCTGGGAAGTGGGAAAGAGAGGAGGAAGAAAAATCAGTTGGATACAGAACATACTTATTCTTGATACACAGCCAGCAGCTGGAGACTGGAGGCTAAAACATATGAAGAACAGTTGCAGGAATTGTGTATGTCGGGTTTAATGAAAAGAATGATTAGGGGTGATATGATAGCAGGGTTCCAATATCTCAGGGGCTGCCACAAAGAAGAGGGAGTCAAGCTATTTTCCAAAGCGCCTGAAGGCAGGATAAGAAGCAAGGGATGGAAACTAAGCAAGGAGAGAAGCAACCTAGAACTAAGGAGAAACTTCCTGACAGTTAAAACAATTAACCAGTGGAACAACCTGCCTCCAGAAATTGTGGGTGCTCCAATAATAATAGTAATAATAATGATGATGATGATAATGATGATGATGGAGGGACCTTGGAGGTCATCTAGTCCAAACCCCTGCTCAGGCAGGAAACCCTATACCATTTTGGACAAATGGCTGTCCAGTCTCTTCTTAAAAACTTCCAGTTTTGGAGCATTCACCGCTTCTGGAGGCAGGTTGTTCCACTGGTTAATTGTTCTAACTGTCAGGAAGTTTCTCCTTAGTTCTAGGTTGCTTCTCTCTTTGGTTAATTTTCATCCATTGCTTCTTGTCTTGCCTTCAGGCACTCTGGAGAATAGCTTGACTCCCTCTTCTTTGTGGCAGCCCCTGAGATATTGTAACACTGCTATCATGTCCCCCCTCGTCCTTCTCTTCGTTAAACTAGACATACCCAATTCCAGCAACCGTTCCTTATATGTTTTAGCCTCCAGTCCCCTAATCATCTTTGTTGCTCTTCTCTGTACTCTTTCTAGAGTCTTAACATCTTTTTTACATCGTGGTGACCAAAACTGGATGCAGTATTCCAAGTGTGGCCTTACCAAGGCATTGTAAAGTGGTATTAATACTTCACGTGATCTTTAAAACTTGAAGTTTTAGAGAAGAGATTGGACAATCGCTTGTCTGAAATGATACAGGGTTTCCTGCTTGAGCAGGGGGTTGGATTAGAAGACCTCCAAGGTCCCACCCAACTCTGTTATTCAGTGCTTAAGTAGTTCTCTGTGCAGTTCAAATAACCCCCATATTCACCAGCAATGTAGCCAGAGCTTTTCTGGCAAACCTCCCTAAAGAAGCCCCTTCCCAACCTTGCTGAAACGATGGGAGCAGGAAGAAAACTGACGAATCTCCGCACAGGATTCCTCATCCTGGGTTTTCTCATCATCAGAACCCAAATGCCGATAGCGCTCTGAGCGAGCTGAAGGAAAGACAAGGTTAAAGAAAAAGAATTCAGATCTCTACCAAAGTTGGCCTCCTTAGGAACTGCTAAAGGCGTATGGTGCCCTTCCTCAAATCCATAGTTTCTAGGGGCATTGGGGCTCTACCCAGAATCCCCTAGCTAGCCAACCAGTCAGCCAGTCTATAGTTATGCTGTTTGGAAATAATGGGAACACCAATCTAGAGCACGGGTCTCCAACCTTGGCAACTTAAGACATGTGGACTTCAACTCCCAGAATTCCTCAGCCAGCCCTCAGGGCTGGCTGAGGAATTCTGGGAGTTAAAGTCCACAAGTCTTAAAGTTGCCAAGGCTGAGGACCCCTGATCTCTAAAGAGCACCAAGTTGTAGAAGACTGATATAAGCAGTGAAATAGTCTCAAGGGCAGCCCCCCCATCCCAATCCTTCAGGATACCTTTAAGGGGCCCTTCTGGGATTCAGGGTTGCAACTCTGTCATCCAACCAGTACAGCCCTCCCCATCCTTTCTCTCTTCATCTGGGAGGCCTTACTATCAAAGTAACTGGTGTCATCTTCCGCCTCCAGTTGGGGGATAAACTCAGCTTTCTGCCGCAACAGGCCATTCCAATCCAGATGGCGGAAAAAGGGATGGTGCTTCACCTCATGAGCGCCTCCTAGAGGTTGAGATGGGAAAGAAAAGAAAATCCCTCCACTGAGAGCTGATCACTGGGGCTGGGTAGCCACAACATCTCAACTTGCACCATGGCTTCAAGTCCAGGTAGTCCTTGACTTACAGCTACAACCCAGACCAGAATTTCTAAGATGGTTGTTAAGTGAGTCATGCTTGTTGACATGACCTTGGCTGCTAAGCGAATCACTGTAATTGTTAGGTGAATCATGCGCTTGTTAAGCGAATCCGGTTTCTTCCATTGACTTTGCCTGTCAAGAGACAGCCAGAAAACTTGCAAAAGGGGATCACATGACCCCAGGATGCTACAAACATCGTAACTATGTGCAGGTTGCAAAGTGCCCAAATTTTGACTGTGGGAATGCTGCAATGGTTGTAAGTATGAGGACTAGTTTTTTCAGCGTTGTTCTAACTTCAAGTGGCTGCTAAGTGACTCACATCGTTATGTCAGTGACTATCTGTCAAGGATTACGTGCACTGGCGCTGTTGTGATACCTGTGCCCAGCCGCTCCAGTGGGCAGTGACGCAGGAGTTGTGTGATCAAATCTTGGGCGTCAGCAGGAAGAGCTTCATCCCCCTCGGGCCAAATGATTTCGTCTGAAATTAAGGAAAACCAAACCAGTTTTGGAGGGGGCTTCTTGCTGCCATATTTTCCCTACCCCAAAACTTTTCAGAAACTTTGAGGGGACAAGGAAATGGGATAGAGCTATTGGAGAAAGTCAAGGAAGAAGAAGAAAACTGTCTCCAAAGTTTTTATTGTGTGGCCCGAGTGGAACCTCCCTGCATGGAGGCAGAAAGATCAACATCACGTAAGGGAAACTCCTGTTTGGACAACCTTTCCGTCCTTAATGTTCCTGGAAAAGATAATCAAACAACGAATCAACGAACATCTAGAGGCAAACAAAGTCATTACTAAAAGCCAACATGGGTTTGTCAAAAATAGATCATGCCAGACAAATCTTATTGCATTCTTTGACCAAGTGACAAAATTAGTGGATCAGAGGAATGCTGTAGACATAATTTACTTGGACTTCAGTAAGGCATTTGATAAAGTAGATCACAACCTACTACTTGACAAGATAGAAAAATGTGGGGTAGACAGAACCACCACCAGATGGATCCGTAGCTGGCTGACCGGCCGTACTCAGCGAGTGGTCCTCAATGGAACTGCATCTATATGGAGGGAAATGTGTAGTGGGGTGCCCCAGGGCTCTGTTCTGGGCCCAGTACTCTTCAACATCTTCATCAACGATTTGGATGAAGGGATAGATGGGGAACTCATCAAATTTGCAGACGACACCAAGCTGGCAGGAATAGCCAACACTCCAGAAGACAGGCTTAAGATACAGAAGGATCTGGACAGACTTGAACACTGGGCACTAACTAACAAAATGAAATTCAATGGTGAAAAAAGCAAGGTTCTACATTTAGGCAAGAAAAACCAAATGCACAAGTACAGCATAGGTGGCACCATGCTCAATAGTAGTAACTATGAGAGGGACCTCGGAGTCCTAGTAGACAATCACTTAAATATGAGCCAGCAGTGTGCGGCAGCTGCCAAAAAGGCCAACACAGTGCTAGGCTGCATTAACAGAGGAATAGAATCAAGATCACGTGAAGTATTAATGCCACTCTACAATGCCTTGGTAAGGCTACACTTGGAATACTGCATCCAGTTTTGGTCACCACGATGTAAAAAAGATGTTGAGACTCTAGAACAGCGGTTCTCAACCTATGGGTCGCAACCCCATTTGGGGTCGATCGACCATTTCTCGGGGGTCGCCAAACAAGGCAATCCGCCATTTTCCCCCCTCAGGGGGTGCCGCCGCCGCGCATGTGCGCCGCGCATGGGGGCGCCGCCACGCATGGGCACCGCGCCGTGCATGCGCAGCACGTTTGTGTGACGGGGGTCGCCGTCACACAAACGTTGAGAACCACTGCTCTAGAAAGAGTACAGAGAAGAGCAACAAAGATGATTAGGGGACTGGAGGCTAAAACATATAAGGAACGGTTGCTAGAATTGGGTATGTCTAGTTTAACGAAGAGAAGGACAAGGGGGGACATGATAGCAGTATTCCAATATCTCAGGGGCTGCCATAAAGAAGAGGGAATCAAGCTATTTTCCAAAGCACCTGAAGGCAGGACAAGAAGCAACGGGTGGAAACTAATCAAGGAGAGAAGCAACCTAGAACTAAGGAGAAACTTCCTGACAGTGAGAACAATTAATCAGTGGAACAGCCTGCCTCCAGAAGCAGTAAATGCTCCAACACTGGAAGTTTTTAAGAAGAGACTGGACAGCCATTTGTCTGAAATGGTGTAGGGTTTCCTGCCTGAGCAGGGGGTTGGACTAGATGACCTCCAAGGTCCCTTTACTACTACTACTACTACTACTACTACTACTACTACTACTACTACTACTACTACTACTACTATTATTATTCTCAGAATTTAGCTTGCCCTCACACTTTCCCTCACAGGTGAGTTCTGAGAACTGAAAAAGCTTCCTAGAGGAGAAGTAAAACATCTTCAAGGAAAAACAAAGTCCAGATGCCTTTTTTTAAAAAAAGCATCTTTAGGACAACCATGACCTGGATCTCCATAGACAGATACATAAAAGTTCCACTCTTAATTCTTAGCCTAGCATAAACATATCTAGTAAAAATCTTATGAAGAGTGAGCACAGAGTAAATTTTACTCTTACTTTTCTTGAGATCAACCATGCTAGTCAGAAATTCAGGAGATTCCCGAATAAATCTACTTAAGGTTTGACTCTGAAACATATGATTTTTACTAATACAGGAGAATATTTCTAACTCAGGGTTGAAATGAGGGGTCCTTAGTGCTCTGTGAGTTTGGTTAGGGTTTTTTTTTTCATTTCCCAAATTAGGTACCATCATCAGTGCTAGTAAGGAGTAGAGTTTGCTCTGTTTATATGTTACTGGCTTGCTCTGTCGGTATCAGTAGGAGTGTCCTTGGTGGTTGTTTGGTTGGGCTGCTTACTATTAGCTTGTTTGGCAGTTGCTTGATTGGGGTATTCTTTATTTCTTGATTGTTGGTCTGATGTTAATCTTGGAGTTAATTTATGCTCATCTGGGTGTTGATTGTTGGTGGGGAGGTGTTTTGGTCTTTTTTGTTCCTTTTTTGGTTTGCTGATTGTCTCTTTTGCACACTATGTAGATATTGCTTATGTCTGTATGTCTATTGAAGGTTAATTTGTCCGAGTGCCAGGCTTCTAGAAGAAATTCTCTAGCACCAAGTCCAAAAACCCCTTTCACAAGTCCTTGCGAAAAAATTGATACAGGGATGCCATTTGCATAGTTGGGTAAGACCACCAGAGTTCTGACTTCCTGCTTCATTGAGCTCTTGGCATGTTTGGGGAAATCCTGTTTGTGAGAGAAAGGCAACTCCTTCATCACTCTTCTCAGCTCCCAGAGTTCCATCTTCTATAATGGAAATGGGGACGAAGCTCAGTTATCAGCCTCTTCCCTATTCCCTCATCGCTACTGTGATTGATGGGAACTTTCACACCGGTGGTGAGGCTCAAAATCTTCACATATTCTGAAGGTGCCTAACCAGGACATTGCTATGCAGCAGTGTGTCAGAAGACAGCCAAAAAGGGGGTGGGGGTTTAGCAAAGTGGCAAATTTTACATTGGCATAATATTCTTTCCGTTCAAGGACAAGCAGAGAGCACTTCAACTCAGCCCTGAGGAAAGAGCTCTATGAAGTGGGAAGACAAACCCCTCCTCCCCCCTCGGTCCTCTCCGGGAAAACATCACATGCTGAATGAAGGTCACTTTTGTCTTGCCCAGTTCACTGAGTTTATCTAGTGGATTTCTCAAAGGTTCTTTTGTTCAGCCAGGCCTCTGGGACTGGCACTGGCTTGACTTCTGCAATAAATGGGGCCCTTATGGCTTCATTGTTGAATTTCTCTAGCCCTGTCTTTCATCTCCCTTCATTAAGGAAAAGCAAACCTACCACTTATCACTTGCCCAAAGAGTTCCTCTGGGGTGTCACCGAAGAATGGGACGCAGCCGACCAGGAATTCGTAGAGTATGATACCCATGGCCCACCAGTCTACTGGCTTGCCATAGCCTTGGATCAGGATGACTTCTGGAGCAATATACTCAGGAGTACCACAGACCTGCAAAGAGATAGAAAACAGCATTCTGCCTGTTTCTGTGAACAAGGAGGTTTCTTCTTAGGGATGGATGGGATCACTGTCTCCCCTTTAAATCCAGAATGGGCAAAATCAAGAGAGTGAGGACTCCTTCAGATAGGTTCGTGGCTTCTGATGTTAGGAGGCACTTTCCTTTGTACCCAGCAAAACAATCTAGTAGTTTTCATTAGAAGACATGGATGCTCCTTGCCGTAAACTTCATACCTGTTTATCTACAAACTCTCGTGTGTCCTTCTCAATGTGGCCCTCATAGAGATTTGTGGTCATGTTCATCAAGCCAATCTTGGACAAGCCAAAGTCAGTCAGCTTGATGTGTCCCATAGATGTGATGAGCAAGCTGTGAAAGAAAGAAAGTAAAAAAAAAGAAAGAGAGAGAGAGAGCGAAAGAAGGAAGGAAGGAAGGAAGGAAGGAAGGAAGGGAGTTTGTACCATGAAAGCAATCAACCAAATAGTTCAAAACGTGTAAACTTTTTGTTGTATACTGCCCAGAATCACTCACTTATAATGGGCAGCTGTATAAATTAGATAAATAAATTAACAATCTTTTTTAACCATTTGGGACACTGGCTTCTAATTCTAAAAGTAGGATACAATTTAAGTGAATTTAGTTGTCACAAATGGGTAGGTGTTACTACTCAGACAACCCACACAGCCAGTCAGCATTCTAGGCTATAGCAGACAAACCTATTAGAAGATGACTCCCTAACAACAATTTTTGAAATAAATGCATCCCACCCACCTCCCTGCCATTTCGCAATCTAACTTGTACCCCATCCTCACTTGTCTGGTTTGAGATCCCGGTGAACAATGCCGTAATTGTGAAGGTACTCAAGGGCAAGGACTGTCTCAGCAAAATACATCCGGGCCATGTCCACAGGCAAAGGTCCCATGTTCTTCAGCAGTGTGGCACAGTCCCCGCCTAAAGGATAAGCAATGTCAGAGAGTCCATTACATGTAAAACCCCAGGGACATTTGACAAGCCCAGCTTTGATTATTTGATATCTAAACCAGGGTTGTCCAACCTTGGCAACTTTAAGACCTCCGGCCTTCAACTCCCAGAATGGGATTCTGGGAGCTGAAGTCCACAAATCTTAAGGTTGCCAAGGTTAGACATCCTTGAACTAAACTTATTTTCAACTTGCCAGGCTGACTAACTGTCTTTTAGGCATCAAGTAAGCAGATTTTATTTAATTTTGTCTTTTATGTTGTTTTTTTAAATCTCTTCATCAAAATGCTTGTTTTAATGGCACTGCTATTTATTGTCCAGGACAGCGATCCTTTAATGTTCTTAAAAAGATTCCAGTGCTTTTTAAACATTTTAAAATGGAAAACATTTTACATATGCTTTTTAAAAGTATCCTGCAGAAATCAAAGAGAAAATCTTTCACCCTCTTCCCCCTAATTTAGAAAAGCCAAAAGCGCTTCTCATCGTGCCAAATAAGCATATTTGGCAATACTTCATTCTTTTATTTAATTTTCCAAAAGGAGGTTTTTAAAGTCTCTGACAGAGATTTCTTTGGCAGAGGCCACTAGGAAAACTTTTAAGATCAAGAAGCAAATTTTAGGCAAACTGAGAAGGGTTTGGGGAAGGGGGACGAAAATGCCAAGCACTTCAAAATCCCATTTCCCAACCATGAGAAGATCCAACACAAAGTCTAAAACACCAATGATGCTTTTGAGGCTTTGGCAGGCATCGTACAACATATTTTGCAGACTTCCTTTGGCAGCTGTTCGATAGGGAGATAAATGTTGCTTTTCAAAGTTCGCCAATCTCGGGATTCCAAACTCTGTAGCCTTTTAGGAATTTAGCACGTACAATATGAAACCGCAGAACTGTGGGATGCTCCCTGCTCTTCTGGAAATGGATATTAAATTCAAGCCAAAGCCAGATTTTGCCAGGATGAAGTTCTTTCTCTTTGAAGCAAAGGATACCAGAAACTGCCCGATACCAAGTCAAACCCCTGATATATCTACCCCAGGTCCATCTCCATTAACTGACATTAGCAATCCATCCCTGGAAAAAAGCCTCTTCCAAGTTTTGCCACCCATGCATCCCTTGACGAAAGATGCTGCCTTAGACAGACTCAGGATTTCTTCCCTGCAGAGCAGCTGCTCTTTCAATGACCTGGAGTTTTTTGTTGCCAGGTTGCTCCACCTCCACCCGTGCAAATCAAGACGTGTCCTTCTGCAACCTCACCTTCCACGTACTCCATGACCATGCAGAGGTGACACCTGGTTTCAAAGGAGCAGAACATGCTGACCACAAAAGGGTTCTCTGCAAAGGTCAGGATGTCGCGTTCCACAAAGACTTGCTGGATCTGGTTCCGTAACACCAGGTTCTGCTTGTTAATCTTCTTGATGGCAAACCGTTGGCGAGTCTCCTTGTGCCGCACCAGATACACAGCCCTAAAGGAACATGAGAACTGTTGGGCAGTTTGGGAAGAATGGAACAGCTGATGTTTTCCACCCATTGTTTAGCCATCTTGGCAAATCCTTAAGGTAGACGAGGCTGATAGATAGCGATTACTCCAGTTCTGCCTAGCCGTAACGAGGACTCAGGATTAATTCAAGTACAGGTTGTCCTAACCTTACAACCATTAATTTGGCCACCATTTGAAATTATAACAGCATTGAAAAACATGGCTTACAAATGGTCCTCATCCTTAGCAACCATTGTAGCCTCCCCACAGTCGCATTATTAAAATCTGTGTGCTTGGCAACTGCCATGTATTTAAGACAGTTGCAGTATCCCGGGATCACGTGATAGCCATTGGTGACCTTCCCAGTTGTCTTCCAATGAGCAAAGTGAATGGAGAAGATGGTTTCATTTAACGGCTGTGTGATTCACTTAACAACCGCAGTGATTTGTTTAGCCACAATGGCAAAAAGGTTGTAAAATCAGATGTGATGGCTCACTTAACAACTGCCTTACTTAGCAATGGAAATTCTGGTTCCAATTGTGGCTATAAGTTGAGGACTACCTTTACATTTATTTTTTTTTTGCACTAGATATCCTTTTAACAAAGAGGAAAGTCACCTAACCTTCTCACTAGTACAATTCTTTGTCATTTTGCTTTTTGCACAATGTTTTTTTAAAGAATTTTGGTCTTATAGCAAAAGGGGAAGAACACTACTTGCTAAGCCTACTCACCCATAAGCCCCATTGCTGATCAACTTGATAGTTTCAAAATCACTTTCACAGGGCTTCTTCCGAGTAATATGGGTAGAAGACTGGTTCTGCAAGAGACAAGGAAAGTGAAGGGGAATATATGTTACTTGCAGTCTATAGAAAGAATGACATCTGTTGACTTATTAACAAGAATTGTTGTTTGCTTTTCTGAAATAAGTAGAACAAGAGTTAATTGGGAAGCCTAAAAAAGAGCTCAAAAATCTATCTCATGGTGGGGGGGATTAGAACCAGTCTGGGGATCAAACCCAGCTCCCCACCAGCCCTAGGAGGATGTAGGAGAAGAGCAGACAGAAGTGTGTGGGGGGCCGCAGAATTAAATGCATCATTGGTTTAGAGTCCTTGCGTTCCCACAAGTGCTCCAAATCCAACTCTCTTCTGAATCCCGCTGACCCTTATCTGGCTCCAGCGTTGAATATTAGTTGACCAGGTTCTTGGTTATAGACTTGAATAAATTTTCTATGCTACAATGTTCCTGATCTGTGCCTGACAGAGGCAGAATGATCTCAAAGAAGACCTTACTATTAATATTTCAATGAATGATTACTGAACTATTTTAAATAGCAGTGGAGAATATTTTGGAAATTGATGCCCAGCTTCACCTGGCAAGTTGAACTGGATAACCAAATGATAAGTAGATTTATTGTAGGAAAGCTGAAGAAGTGCCATGAAAGAATTCCAGTGACTAATACACATCAGATACCAGCCCTATTTATACTGAAATCAAAGTTCAAACTCCTGTGCTTTTTCCCCCCACCCACATGATAGAATGAAGTAGAAGCCACTTCGGAAGATAATTTGTGTAGCTCAGGGTGGAGACCTTGGTTTTCTTACAGATTTTTCATTACTCAACTAGGTAATTATACAAGTAGGTAAAGGGGCCAACTAGTAATCCACTTTCTTGGGTAGATTGCTTCTATGTCTCTTGTTTTGCTAACAAGAGATAAATCTAATATCATGAAGTTTGCTTGTGACAATGAGTCCTTAATGTTAAACATTTTTAATGAGAAAAAAATAGTAAATTAACAATAAATGAAATAAAATATTAATCCTGAATACATATGGTCCTTTACAAATTTCAGTCTAGAATAGTGTTTTTCAACCTTGGGAACTTTTTAACTCCCAGGATTCCCCAGTCAGGTGGCTGGGGAATTCTTGGAGCTGATGTCCATGCATCTTAAAGCTGCCCAGATTGAGAAACATACAGCTTCAGAGAAATGCCTTCCCACAGACTAGAAAGGGGGGGGAGAGAATATAGCTTTACCTCAGAAGGTTCATCTTGCTGCTCTGGGCCTGCTGGGGAAGGGCAGTCAACTTGATCAAACTGCACAATTTCTGGGGAAGAAACAGAAGCACAACTGAAAGCAATGACAAATAGGACACTTGATCTGTTTCTCATCTGCCTTCCCTGCCTTTGTGTTCTTCTTTTTGATGGCCACAACAATCTTGCCTTCTCGGATTGGCAGAATTCTCTCCATTATCTGTACATAAATCAACTCTGGGGTCTTTGGTGCTCTCTGGGGTTGGCTATTTTCTTGCAGACATTTCATTACCAAACTAGGTAACATCATCAGTGATAGAAGGGAGCAGGGGTTGGTCTCAGTTTATATACAAGTGAGAGTGTTCTTAGTGGTTCTTTGATTAGGCTATTGCTTACATTGACTTATTGTTTGTCTGAGTTGATAGAGCCTTGAAAGGGGTATTGTTTACTGCTTGATTGCTGGTCTAGTATTTAGATCAAATTAGAGATGTTGCCTGCAGCAAAGTCCAAGTGATGCATGCAAAGCAGATACTGCTGTACTATTTATTTAATCCAATTTTTATATACCGCTGTGCTCCAAAACTGATTCTAAGTGATTTACATATAAATTCTGCATAGCCCTATTCAAACTAGAAAACCTCTTTTTTTCCTTACCCTCCAGAGGGTCTTTGGCGAGTCCCAGCTGACTGATAATGTAACGTGGAATGTCTGTTTTAATGCCTTGTCCCACTTTCGCATGACCTTCAGCAGCCTCCAGGAGGTGATAAAATTCCTCTGGGTCAAACTCCTGGAAGTCAGAAAAGGGAGAAGAAATGGGGAAAAATAGAAAAAAAAAATGAGCTTTTTCACAATAAGGTTTAGCAACTTAAAGTATTAAAAACGAATGAAATTAAACAAAAGTCTTCCTCTACAACAGTATTTCCCAAACTTGACAATTTTAAGGCATGTGGACTTCAACTCCCAGAATTCCACAGCCAGCAATGCTGGCTGTGGAATTCTGGGAGTTGAAGTCCACATGCCTTAAAATTGTCAAGTTTGGGAAACACTGCTCTACAACAATCCAAACACTATGGAAACGAATGGGCCTAAAATAAATCACCAGAGTTCTTCTTCTCTGCCTGGACCTCTCACATTTAGGGACTGTTAGTGTAACAACCCAGGGTGGCTCCTTTTCATGAAACCCAATAAATTGTGAAATCTAGTCTGTAATAATGTTGTGCACTCTGAGAAGACCAAAACATTTTTTTCTCTTGCACTCAGTTCTGGGATGCACAGCTAAGCAGGAACAATGCCACAGTACAGGAAGCAACAGCTTCCTTGGCTCAGAAATCAGAACACAAAAGCTTATCTATAAATACCAAAGATTAAAGTTTCCCTCTCTCTGTTGCATAAACCCTGCCTACAACCATCACTCATCTCAACTCTGAGCCATCTGGAAAACTCAAGCTATCGTCTCCTGGTGCCATCACGAAAAACGGAGGTATTTTCAGTTCCAAGAAAAGCTTCCTTTCCCATATTTCAGACTGTTTGTAATTATGTACTGGCCCCAATGACTTCTCACCAAGGATCCATCTTGCACACATTGTCTTGCAAACATTGCCAGCAGCAAAAAGCGTTCCAAAAGTAGACATGAGGGCTTCATTAGCTATTATTGTTAATAGCCAGTGAGAGCCTCTCCATCTTAGTATGTATGTCTCATCTTTTTTACTAAAAAAAAAAGTTAAAACAACAGTGCAGGCTGGATCAAACTAAGATAATGCATCTACTGTAAATTTAGCACTGTTTTTAAGGATAGTTAGCCAGAGTATGTTAATTCAGGAAGGCTAAGCAGTGCTCAAAATTTAAATTTTAGAAAAATGGCTGGAACTAGGCATATTTAATTTTAGCTCAGTTTCAGAAGACTCCAGGAACTGTTTAAGGGACATGCTGGCAGCGGGGGGGGGGGGGGGTAAGACTTGTGGACTTCAGCTTCCAGAATTCCCCAGCAAGCATGGCTGGCTGAGGAATTCTGAAAGCTGAAATCCACAAGTCTTAAAGTTAATGAGTTTGGAGACCCCTGTTCTAGGGGGATCTGGCTGGCCACTGTAAAGTGATCTTCAATCTGACCCACAAGGACCAAGAGGAAGCTTCAGCTGACATTCACTCTAGGCCTTACCATTTGGTTTACAGGCAGCCACATCTACTGTTCCACACAGAGCTTAGGGAGCTACATGAGAGCTTCAGAAGAAACATTATCTCTCAAAAATTGTTCTTGCTCCAGATTATGACTGCGATCCTGTAACCCTTTGTCCCTTTCCAGCCAGCTTATTGCCTGAGCATAGCAGATAAGTCAGCTCCATCCTTACCAAGCACTCCAGCAGCCGAGCTGGCCGGGAAATGATGATCAGTAATTTGCGGACCAGCTGTTCAATGAAGTGCAGCTCCTCACTCTCCGAGCGCTCTTGAGCCTGGCAGAGAGCATGATGAAGAACTCATGAGCATTATTGAGAAAGGCTCCCTAGAGAAGTCTGGGTCAGTGGGGAAACAAAAGAGATACTCACATCTCTTAGCATTTTCTCCAGCTTCTCCTGAAGTTCAATGAAATAGCGGGAGGTAATGAGAGCCCCTTGGGACTTGTTGAGACAGTCACGGGCCAGTTCAATGATCTGGTGGTGGATGAATCCCAGTACACCATTAGCCAAAGGCAGAATGCTACTGGGTGAGAAAGCAGCAATTGTCTCTGCCAGGCGCTCTTCCATCTGGGCAGTAGCCTTTGAAAGGAGGGAAAAGAGGGAGAAAAGCAGAGAGTGACTGTGCGATCCAGAAGCTTCAGCTGGGCTCGACATATACGATTTTCAGTGTTAAGATGACCCCGTCTCAGAACTAAAAGGCTCATGATTCAATCTCTGCTCCATCTTTCATTTTTACTGCATCCTTCCAACATTCACGCAAGCTACTTGTGAAAATAAACATGAACTGCAAGAGAAGGGAACGAAGCGCCGAGGATTTCTTCTGAAATGTGTCGCCGGAAGCACCGAAACAGTGAAATGTCTTTTGTTTGGACGGTTTTCATTCACCTTTCTACAACACAGGAAAAGCGATGAAAGCCACAGAAGCATAGTACTATGACTATTGTACACGATGCTTTTAAAATATAATTTAAATATAATTTATTTCCTTTCAGCGCCATAGGATGTGGAGCCACAGTGCTGGGTCTAGATTTTAGCAAGGTTTACAGATTATACTTAACTAACTCTATGAGTCTATGGTTTATTAATTCTAATGCTCAGTTCTTAACAGAGTCTTACCTTTGGGAATCTCTCCTTGTATACATGATTCATCATTACCACCTCATTGTCAAAGGTTCCAGTTGTCCGCCCAGGGCTGTGAAAAGAAGAGGCAACTGCTGAGGACATATCCTAAGAACTCAAGCAAGGCAAGAATCGGGAAGTAGAAGAGAGCTTTAGTAATGCTCAAGATTTCACATTTACCCAAGATTTATTGCTTTACCCATGGTTCTTATCCTTCTGAATGTGTCAGGGCTGTAGACTGACAATAAACTAGCTAATAAGTCAGAGAATCTTTATGTCGTGACTAGCTTAAGCTTTTCTTAAACCACTGAAATCAGGAGGAAAACAGTGTTAACCTGATTTTGTTTCCTCCTTCCCTAAAATGCACCCCAATGGCTCAGCATTGGAGTCTAGCCAAGCCATGACTAAAAAAGAATCCAAGGATGATTCTTCCAAAGGGATGTGATTTACAGTTGTTCAAACAGCAGAGTTGCTGTTAATTAAAGAAGTCAGTTGTGGATTGTAAGAAGCACAAGGGAAATTAGTTCTGCATGAGAAACATCCCTGGCTCAATCTTTGGTAAAATAAAGCAGGCAAGGTGAGAACCAGCGGTGTTCAGGGCAGAGATGCCCATCATATAATAGTACCACTCAGCTTCAAGGCTACCAAAACACTATGACATTACATAAGAATTTCAGCAGCTACTGGGTATCAAATGCAAGCTGTATCTATATTGAAATCCAGGTACAAATGTTTGCCCCTACTGTCTTTGGACAACAGTTTCCACCTATCTCTTATTTTGAGAGGAAGACAGCCTCCACTTTAAACACCAGAAACTGAGCCTTCTCCATTTTTGCACTAGCAGTGGGCCACCCACTCTAGGTAAGGCTTTACTGTATTCTTGTTTAAGAGATTCTAATCTAGTGCAACCCTGTCTGAGAGTTTTCAGCCAAGTCAAGCGGAGAGTCAAGTTATGTCATGAATTGCCCAATCAGTCATTATTGCTCAGTCTAGGTGAGGAAGTGTCTCAAATTTAAAAAAAAACCTCTTACGAAGCGAGTGATGAAGAAGGGATTGTTCTCCTTCTGCCACACTGGAGCAGGAGAGAAAAAAGTGCACTTCAAGACAGGTTCACTTTTTTTTAAAATTCAGGATTAGAGTTAAGGTGCAAAATGGATGCCTTGTAAGGGGCTAAATGAGTGAACATTTAAGATGTTCGCTAAGAATGGATATGTACTCCTGCATAAATTCCTTCCTGTGCAATCCGCTTAATACAGATAGTCCTCGACTTACATCCGCAACAAAGCCCAGAATTTCTGTCGTAAGTTATGATGGTCTTAAGTTGAGGCATCCATGGTCCAATTTTATTACCTTTTTTGCTGCAATTGTAAAATGAACACAGTGGTTGTAAAGCGAAAGGGGCAGCTGTTAAGCAAACACCATGATTTTTAAGAGAATCAGTGCATACCTATTGGCATTTTTTGCTGTAAAAATCATCATAAATCATGTCATGTAACTATGGAACGCTGCACCCAGCAGCAAAGATGAGCTGGTTGGCAAATGCAGACATGTGATCGTGGGAGGGCGTGTGCATGTGCTGCCACTGGAACTCGGCAATCAAGTCATAAGTACCTTTTCGTACCCGTCCATTGTAACTTTGAACAGTTGCTAAGTGACCAGACATTAAGTGAGGACCACCTGTACAGCCTTCTCCTACTTTCATTAGAGGTTTCATTGTGAACCATCTGAAGAAGAGACGCTCATCCAAAGCCAATAATACCTCAAGCTGCGGGACCGAGGACGAAAATATGGCGAGTGGCGCCCGTCTTCTCCTGGAACGCTTTCAGTGCTGCGGAAGTGCTTTGAAAGGAAGTGCAATTCGTCAGGCGTAGGTTGGTAGGGCAGTTGGTGGAGACGCTCCTGAGAGGAGGAAGACGATGACTGGAGAGGAGAAGGAGAAAAAGATGATAGACCAGAATGAGAAGGAAGGTGAGTAACCCTTGTTCTGACGCACTATCATGGAATATTTTAATATCTGCAGAGGAACCAGTTGCCTCAGAATAAACAGACAGCTGGAAAAACTGAGGGAGGGGGAAATGTGGTATTTAAGAAATAAAATGAAAAAAAAACCCCACTTCCTTTCATAGGAAGATAAGCTCCTGCTATGTCAACTCTGGCAACTGTAGAGTTTACATACATCTAAACCTTGGTTTTCATGGGGCCTCTTTATCTCGACCAACAGCACTTCTGCAAGCAACTTCTAGGCCTCTCTCAATATCCTCTTAGCCTGTTAGTGTTTCTTTAAAAAGCCAATGAGAGCTTGAATTACAAGACTGAATTCCTATTAAATTTCCCAACAGTGACCAAGCAACAGAACCAAGTTTTCCTTGGAATTACATGTTTAGTCAGACTTTGATGATGATAAGTTGATACATTTCTAGTAAATACTTGAGACAGCTAGTGAAACCAGAAATAAGAACAATTCAACAGCACCAACCTAAAAAATTCTAGCAAACTTGGTTAAGGGAAGTAGGTAGGAAATGAATATTTCCAGGAAAATAAGATGGAAAACAGGTTATTGCTAGGTGCCATTCACCCTGTCTCTAAAGAAAGGTCTGTCTTAATGGACTTCATGTAGCTCACCATTTCTAAGTCACGGGCTTTCTATATGAGCTACAATAATTCTTAGATTTCCTAGACTAGAAAATAAGAATCTGACTCACTTTAGCACAGAATCTGCATATAATAAAATGCCAGATTTACTCCACGCTACTTACTGAAACAGTAGAGCTGGGGGTGTTGGTCCCATAGCCGGATGAGGGCAATGACGCCAGGGACCACCTTCGGCCATCAGCCCTGCAAAAACAGAGGTAAATATTATGACATCAAGTCTTGAAGAAAAGAGGACAGCACTATCAAACTGATGAAAACAACTGGGAAAGACTAACGTGACTGCTCAAATATCATCTATAATAGAGATCCCCAACACCTGGGCTATGGACTGGTATTGGTCCGTGTCTGTTAGGAACTGGGCCGTACAGCTGGAGATGGGTGATGGGCGAGCAAGCAAAGCTTCATCTGTAGTATTATTATTATTATTATTATTATTATTATTATTATTATTATTATTATTATTATTATTTGCAGCCGCTCTCCAGCGCTAGCATCTCTGCCTCGGCTCCACCTCAGATCAGCAGGCATCAGATTCTCATAGGAGTGTGAACTACTGTAAACTGCGCATGTGAGGGATCTATGTTGCACTCTACTCCTCCCCACCTCCGTCTATTGAAAAATTGTCTCCCATGAAATTGGTCCCTGGTGCCAAAAAGGTTGGGGATGGCTGATCTATTACACTGGGGGAAGGAAGGGACTTTTTCCCTATTCACATCAAAGCTCCTCTCTATCCCCATCCTTCTCTCTTTCAAACTCAGTCAAAATACACTGTATATTCCAAACCAAGCATAGATTTTTTTGGATGACTTTTCCAAAACCCAACTCTTTATGTGAATGAGGTATTTCTAACTACAAGCTCTCATCTTCTCCCCAAACTGCCAATGTAACAATGCTGGAGTAAGAGGAACCATATTCTAGCAGCAGCACCACCCTTGCCCTCCAGTTCCCTGTTTTGCCCTCTCGGTAGCTTCTTTAAAAGATTTATAAAAACAAGAGAACAGGTCTTCCAGCATATTTCAGGCTCTTTGGTCTTACATACCTGGCAGACTTCCTAAGAGAGTTAAAGATGGTTGCCAGGGTTAGAGAATTATGAGGTTCTATTTTGTTAGTGACTATGCTAGGAGACTCTCTCCTTCAACCAATCCTAATTCTTTTCAGGGTCTCAATCAGTAATGTCCAGTTCTGAAAGATTCTTTTTTTGATAACTGCAAAATGTCTATTCTCAACAGAACCCCCAACAGTAGCAACATATTGCAATCAAGAGAATCAAAATTAAAGCTTTATTTTGCTCAGCAATTAGGGAAACCAAAGAAGTTTCATTTTCTTTTTATTTACTTCTGACCCAGCAGGCAAAGTTCTATCATCTGCAAATTCCAAGCCTGAAAAATTGTTCTTCTTTTAACTAGGGGCAATGGATTTTATTTAAATATACACGCCATCTTTTCTCCCCCCAAAATCAAGGCGATTAGCCGAGAGCCAGACTGTCTGTTCTGAACGGCCTGGGTGATGGTTTTCTTATGGGTCATGATTCAGTGTGAAGTTTTTGCCCACAAAAAAAGTAGTGGTCATCTTTTATTTTTCATTGTCAACTGTATATACAAGGCCACTCTATAAGAAAGTATTTAGCACAGCCCCTAACAAAATAGAACAACTCAATAGATTTAAGAATCCTACATGATTTCTTCCCATTGCTGAGATTACCTGTCAGTTCGAGGAACATGGCTTTTTCCGAGGCATCATTGATCAAACAGGAGAAGTAGAAAAGCAAAAGGAAACAGGGAAAGAAAAGGGTGGGGGAGGAGATACAATTAGGAATCACAGAAATACACCTTCCCCAGGCCTGGGGGCATTTTTCTAACCCTTCTAACCAGTGGTGGGATTCAAATATATGAACAACTGGTTCTCTGTGTCGATGCCGCTTCCGGAAGTCCATTCGGGGCCTGGGCAACAAAAAATTAGCTACCGGTTCTGCTGAAGTGGTGCGAACCGGCTGAATCCCACCACTGCTCCTAACCTGAAATTAGAAATAGTTATACTTTACTTAATTTGATTTTTTTAATGTAAAAATTGGCGAGCAAAAGAATGAAAGACCTAAGAGTTGGCTATCATTGCTCTTTGGGTGAAAAATAAATAATTTAATTCAGACAACTGTCTGATTTTTTTTTATTGCCAGCTGAGAAATCAACTTGGGAAGGAATAAAAATTCCAACAGAAGTTAGAAAGAAGGCTGAAAAAGAGCAGAATGGTGTTACTGTGTAGAAGTCAACTATGATAACGCCTAGAAGAGACTGGACAGCCACTTGTATGAAATGATATAGGGACTCCTGCTTGAGCAGGGGGCTGGATTAGGAGACCTCCAAGGTCCTTTCCAGCTCTATTCTGATTGAGTTTATTGAATTATACACAGAAATGCACTCTGTACATGATTAGTGATATGTCAGGTGCAATCAGGGCTATTCGTAAGGTTGCAGCATAGATTTATTCAAGCCTACATACAAGAATCTGGTCAACCAAAGTTCAACACTAAAATAGAGCCAGATAAGGGTCAACAGAATTCAGGAGGGGTTGGACTTACAGCGTTTATAGGAATGCAAATACACTAAGCTGATGGCACACTTAGCTCCTCCCCCTAGGTCTGTCTGCTCTTCTCCTATATCATACTTTTATTTTGGTATGCGTGATCCAAGGCAAAGCCTGTCATGAGAGAGAAGTCTTTTCCTCCCAAAACTCACACAGTAATGTTACTTGGCAAGGAAGAAGACCTGTGGTTGACAAACCAGAAAGGGCTGCCAGTTTTTCCTCTCTGGGCTTCTTTATTCATTTTGCTATTATGTTTTGCTTTGATTTTTTTTTAACAAAACAGAAAACAACAGGTCTTCTTTATTACCTGGGAACCATCTTCAAAACACACTTTTTCTTGAAATACATTATATGGCTTGAAGGAAGGAAAACTTGCTGACACTTAGCAAAACTGGATCTAAATCTGGAGAGGAGATTATCCTGCACAAATACCTGCCTTCAATTCCACAATGGAAAAAGAAGGGAGAAATACAAATTTCCACTTCTAGGCAAAAATGGAGATATCCAAGGCTTTTATATAATAATAATAAGAACATAAACATCAGGAGTAAGTAAAATGACTCAACTTTTCCAATTTGTGAGGACCTAGGGTTTAGTGGTAGAATCTCTACTGATTTCTCCACCCCCCCCCCCCACCAAACCTTGAAATCTTCTTTCAGCCTAGATACACTTCCTTCCATCCTTCCCTGGTCCCAAGCAGCTTCTATGGTCCCTTATAGCAGGTTCCCTTGATTCTTTCCACAAGCTCAGCCAAGGTGAATCACCAGATGGGATCACCTAAGAACTGTGGTCTCTTACCTGCGAGCAAATGGAAAGCTGGCAGAGGCACCAGTGGAGAAGTTACGAGGACTATCAACTGGACTGCTACTGGCTGCAGAGAGAGAGGAGGGGATTGGAGAGAGAGAGGACAAAAAAAATGGACTTTTGTAAAAGATTCAAAAGAATCCTTTGAAGAAACCAAGAGATCTTGAACAACACCCAAAAGCTTAAACTTGGGTAGGAATGGGTGCTTTAAAATCAAAAACTTCTATTCTAGGAAATGCACAGCTTCCTTAAGCAGTTCAAGTGCTGGTTTCTATTAGAAAGTCCTACATAGCTCAAGGCCTGATTATCTCTGAGACTGCCTACTCCAATGTGAATATGCCAATCAGGTAGATCTTAGAGAGAGGTCATGTGAAGGTTCCATCCCATGAGATTTCCATCTACAGAGAGCCTGTCTCGGGTCTTCTCGCTGTGGCCACCTCTATTGTGAAACAGCTTGCCCTGGTGTAGAAGAACATTCTTGATAAAGAACACTTTGTTAGGGAAACTCTTTAATGAGTGTCCACAAAAAAGTAAAAACATGGCTCTAGGAAAGAGCATATGGGGGATGTTAGATGTTGGTATCTACGTTGCTCAGTGCTATTATAATATTAAATATTATTTTGCTATATTAATCTTCTCAGATTATTTTTCTATATATGCCACTGTGAGTACAGATTAGGTGAAACCTGGCTCAAAAACAGTAACTGTGAGAGGGACCTTGGAGTCCTAGTGGATGATCACTTAATCATGAGCCAGCAGTGTGCAGCAGCAACCAAAAAGCTAATACAATCCTCGGTTGTATAAACAGAGGCATAGAATCAAGATCATACAAAGTATTAGTACTGCTTTATAAAACCCTAGTGAGACCACAACAGGAATATTGCAACCAATTTTGGTCACCATATTACAAAAAAAATGTTGAGACTTTGGAAAAAGTTCAGAGAAGAGCAACTAAAATGATCAAAGGCCTGGAGACTAAAACATATGAAGAACTGCTGCAGGACTTGGGTTTGGCTAGTCTAAAGAAAAGAAGAAACACAGGTGACGTGATAGCAGTATTCCAATATTTGGGGGGCTGCCACAAAGAAGAGGGAGTCAAATTATTCTCCAAAGCATCAGAGGGCAGGACAAGAAACAATGGTTAGAAACTGACCAAAGAGAAGCAACCTGGAAACTTCCTAATAGTGAGGACAATTAACCAGTGGAACAACTTGCCTTCAAAAATCATGGGTGCTCCATCACTGGAGGTTTTTAAAAAGAGGCTACACAGTCACTTGTCTGAGATGGTATAGGTTCTCCTGTTTGAGCAGGGGCCGGACTAGAAGACCTCCAAAGTCCCTTCCAGCTCCATTCCTATTCTATTCTATTCTATTCTATTCTATTCTATTCTATTCTATTCTATTCTATTCTATTCTATTCTATTCTATTCTATTCTATTCTATTCTATTCTAATTCTATTTCTATTTCTATTTCTAATTCTAATGAAACATTGGGAGTATTCATTTACTGCCAGTAAGTAAATGAACAAAAAAGTGGTTAGTCTCTGATTCTATTGGATACACACACATATTAATTTTCTCACTCAAAAAAACATCCATCATTCAGAATGAAGCAGAAGAATCAAGTATCTCACTGAAAATCCATTAATTAATTAAGAACATTTATGTCAACCCAACTCACTCACGGTGACTTCAGGTGGCTTATAGAAATAAAACCCCAATACAGAACCCAATAAACCTCTAACCCCCTGGTGACAACAAACAAATCAACCACTCTAGGGGCTCCATATCATCCTGAGATCTCCAGGCCCGCTGGCAAAACCATGTCTTCTGAGTCTTTCAAAAGTGTCAAGGTGGGAGCCAATCTTATTTCTGCAAGGATGATGTTCCACAGGGACAGAGCCACTCTGGAGATGGCCCTTCTTGGTTGCATTAGATGGACCTGCTTAAGAGAGGGGACCCATAACATACCCTCTCCCAGCAATGGTGGTTGGGTAGATATAAACAGGGAAAAGATGGTCCTTCAAATAACCTGGCCCCAGGCTACATGATGTTGGCCATCATATTTAAAATAATACAAGAGACTACTTCACTAGGATTCTCTTCCCACAATTTAGAATGCAGTACCAAGATATTCTTCACCAGAGACCTAAGTCCAGCCTACTGCTTTCCATGTCTTGTTAAGGATGTCTGTCCTCACCCCAAAAGGAAAGCTTTCCTAATTTGGCATGTTCTTACCTGTTGGCACAGAGAGGGGTGACAAAGGACGTGAGAGGGTAGGCGAAGGAGTCCCAACCACTAGGCTCTTCCTGTTGCTGCTTCGACAGCTGCAAAAGCAGACGAACAGATGATATTATGCGAGGGACAAGGTTTCATGGGCAACAAGTATCACCCAGAATTCTGGGCAGCCAGGGTAGGAGAAATTCAGAATATTATGGGTGTCAATGATATATTCATAATTTCCAAGGCTAATGGAAAATGGAAGGAAAATTTAAAGGCATGCAGGCTGGGGAATTCTGGGAGTTGAAGTCCACACATCTTAACATTGCTGAGGTTGAAAAGCAATATTATAAAGGCCATGGTCATAATGATAAGCAAACTGATAAAATACTTCAACGCAACAGCCACTTTTCCAGTGAATTCCATAAAAAGTTACGATCCTGGCACCAGGGTGGAAGTAAGTCTCTGTTCCATTTGTTGAAAGAAAACTAAATGGGAAGTGTGCAGACGCAGGCCATTGCCTGGAACCAGTGGCAGACAGCACATCTGCCTCCAGGACTTAAATATCAGCCAAAAGCTTTCCCCCAGGAATGGAATGGAAAGTCACAGTCAGAGGCATCAGCCACTGAACTTGAGAAAGGAAGTGATTCACTGTTGCCCTAGGCACAATTCACAATGACCTGGGATCCCTTTTCATGGCTGCTTGGCAGGATCAGGGAATAAGGAAGCTAGGAGTGCACAGCCAGGAGGAAACAAGACAGCACAACAGGCAGAGCTGATTTGCTGACCTGGATCAGTAACTGGACATTGACTGGCCATCAGGAGAGAAGTAAATAGAGGCTGTCACAGCTGGACATGGAATGTATCACCCATCCAGCAGTGAATGTGATAGCCAGAAGAAAAAAGGAAACAGAGGCATCATGGGAAAGTAAAACAACAAAAAGCAGAGATGAGGCAATCAAACCATGCACAGTAAAAGGAAGATTGTGCAGCTGTGGCCACCATCTTAACTTTTTTTTTTATCCTAAGAAACCCCTGAAGTCCACGCATCTTAAACTTGCCTGATTGGAGAAACACTGGTTTAGTTATTTTTATTTAAAATAACTATAAAACCTTTTTTTTCTTCAAAAAAATTAGCTATCGAGTAAATATATTGATAGGAGAAAAATACACGGGAAGGAATCATACTATTGTTATAATGATTTTAATCGATCAAGGGTCAGTCCCATTATTGCTAGTTAATTGGATGATTCTTAAATGAAATCTAGTTTGTTTTTGGCCAGCCATGACCCATTTCTTTAGCAGAGGACCATTATTTTCACAGTATTGGCCCAAATACAGTATGTCATTTAGCCACGTTTAGGTCTTTAGCATATATGCATGTGTCTACATGCTAAAGACCTAAACATGGCTAAATGACATACTGTACTTGGGTCAATACTGTGAAAATATTACACACACAATACACACAGGCCTGCTCACCCTTACTCATCAGTCTCTGTGTTTATGAAATTAGCTTCCCATTTTGATTCATGACTATAGTAAAAGTGTGACAGATACATGTCATGGGAACATAAGATTTACCCAGAAGCAGGTTAGACATAGTTATAAGAAGAAACTATCCCTCAACCTTGCTCAACCTCCTATCCTATCAGACTACATTTTGTTGATTTAAAAAGACAAGGATTATTATAAACAATGTTAAAAATTCATTAAAAGGTAGTGTTCAGGGCACTAACCAGTCTCCCGACTGCATGCTCCTCTGTGCTTTCCAACAACCCCACAGAGCCCAGCTTTCACTCTCTTCCAGAAGGCCAGGACAGTCGGGCCCTGGGGGGGGGGGGGAAGAGAGAGAATGCTCCACAGAGCAGAGGCAATGGCAGAGAAGACCCTGTTCCTTGACCCCACCAGTCTGAGTTCTGGACATATCATCCCTGCCTGACCAAGTGGGATGGGCCAATGTAATGGAATGTTACAACATCAATATCTTGAATTGAACCCAGATGCAGCTCTCACAGCAAAGCTGTTACATGCTGAAGAATGCCTACACGGCCACATTCTGTTATTAGCTAAACCTTCCAGATATTTTTCAAGGGTAGCCCCATGTAGAGCCCACTGCAGTATTTCAAAAGGGAGATAGTTCAAACATGGGATACAGATAGATGAGGGTGGGTGGGTGGGTGGGTGGGGGATAATGGGAATTATAATTGAAAATACAAGACATGCTAGAAAATGATCTGGGTTTTTAAAACTCTGGGTTTAATTCTCATCAATAGCAGATAATATTTGTAGCTCAAGGTTGAACTGTGCAGTCCTCGGTGCTCTCTGAGCCTGGTTGTTTTTAATTTTCATCATTTTCCATGTTTAAAAGCCAGCCCAGCTGGTAAAAAAAAATCTTTCTGCCTGAATTGCCAGAGCTGTTGCTAATCAGACCAGATTATACTGGTCTAAGCACACCAAGGCAGTTTCCGGTCTGCCTGCACTCTGCACTGCATCTGTGATCCCTGCACCAATTTGAAAGAAGTGGGCTTTTTCTAAACAAACCCCTTTCATTAGCTCTATTAAGGATGACTTTAAATACTGAGGGCCATAAAGAGCAGCATTCCACAGCCACAAAGCAATTTTAGGGAGGGAAAGGCCATCATTTCTGTGTCACACACTGACCTGGGCTCACTAAGTCAGTCCAGAGAAAAGCACATACCAAATCTTGAAGGAATCACTCAACAACTCAGGACTGAATCAAACAGCATTGCAAAATTGACAGTGGGCACTGAAAAATGCCCACATTCAAACTCTGCCCTTGTGAAATGTAGATACATCTAAACCAATTACGTAACAGGAACTGGCAGATCTTGCAGAGACGATTACAGATATGAAGATTACTGATGATGTTGCAGATGGGAAGAACGTTCTCAGATACAGGGGGGTGAAGCTGAGAGGGAAGATCAAGCAGAATTGAGGTTGCTTTATAAAAGACTGCTTAGCCACCCACCCTCCCCAGAACTGAAGTTTTCTGCCCAAAAGTACATTTCAACAACAGGAAGTGGTGACTTTTCCTCATGCACGTTGCAACCTCCTTAATCACAAAGACATAATTCCAAGCATGATGGTTATTGAGGAGATGTAACAGGCAAAAAGGGATTCCATGAATTCTTCTGCCACAGGGATGGCAGGGGGTGGAGGGAGGAAGAAGAATTGAGAGCTATTCCATTGAAAAGGATATGAACAATGGGGGTGCAGAAATAAAACGGGGATTGCTGAAGCAATTAAATAAATAAAGGTACCATCTTTGTGACTGATGTACACTAAACCATTATACAATATAATATTATTCCTGAGAAGAAAAACAGTATAGATACTATAGACCATTAAAGGAGTGAAATGACCTCAAAAAAATATAATAGCATTTGCACTTTTTTTTTTTTTTTTTAGCAAAAGAAGACATGAGATGCCTAGTCAGTAATGCATTGTATGGATAAAGTCATCCCTGATTTTATTTCCATTTGCCAGGTAGTCCCTGACATCTGCCCACTGCAGTGGAATGTTGTGATGGTTACAAAATGGTCATGTAACCCACTCAATTTTACGACCTTTTTTGCAGTAGTTGTTAAGTGAACCTAGCGGTTATAAGACAAATGTAGCAGTCATTAAGTAAAACCATTGTATCAAAGTAACTTCCAGTTTTCAGCAAAACCATCATATAATTCAGTCACATGTCCACGTGAAGCAGCAAACAACCAAAAATGTGGCCTTGTTGCTTAGTGCCCAAAGTGTGGTCACATGACAATGAGGTGGAGGACTATTGAAACTTCAGAACTGGTTGTAACTCCTTTGTTCAGGTATGTTGTAACTTTGAATGGTTGTTAAGCGCCCGATCATAAGTCAAGGACTACCTGTATAATACCTTAAGACTGACAGACAAGTAATTCAGAATAGACAGCATAACATTCATTTATGGAATTCAGTGCCTACAAGCAGCACAATTCACTGCCATGAAATGCAGTTACTCCATAGATAGCTTTGAAAGGGTAGATTAAATCACAGAACCTCCATATTTAGAAGTACTGTATCCCTGAGTTTCAGCAACTAGGATGCTACTGTAGGAGGTCTAGTTCCTTTTTGCCTATTTTTTGGACAGTTCTAAGAGGCAGCTGAAAAGGCATTGAGAAGAACAGAACGTTTTAAAGCCTGAACCCATACAGGTCTTAAAGTTCTTCCAAAGACTTAGACAAATAGCATTCACATAAATTTTGATCCTGAAAAGCTATGAATGCACCAGGTTCAGAAGTACTACTGTACTAAAATGAGTGCTCTAAGTAGGTCTGGCTATAATGCCTCTCTTGGAGGCATACAGGAGGGATCTGGCAGGTTGACCGTGTTGAAAATAGACATATCTTGTACAGCCCCACCTCATTACTTAGATTTGTTTATTTAATAACTTATATGGCTGCTGCTCATTCCAACTGATCACAACAGCAATAAAACCAATAAACAATAAAAGCAATAAAAGAAACTTGGCACCTCACCTACCTACCCTTCTCTGATGCTTCCAATAACCCTCACCAGGCTACCAATGTTTGGAAAGAGCCAGCTCTTTAGGTCCTTACAGAAGGTTAAAAGGGTTGGGGCCTGCTGAATCGTGGAAGAAGAGGCAGCTTTTCTAGGTTCTGCTAGATGGCAATATTTAAGGGGAAAAAAGTGGAACGCACCCATAATTTTCAGCCTTATGTGATAGGCAGACAGGGAAAGATAGTTCCAAAGATTATCTTATCCCATGCCACGTCAGACTTTAAAGGTGAAAAACAGCATCCTGAATTGCAACTGGGAGCCAGTGTAGTTCACAAACGCAACTGGGAGCCAGTGTAGTTCACAAACAGCAGTGTAATATGGGTGAAGCAAGGGGCAACCAACACTGCATGCTATGCCGCATTCTAAACTGGTTATAATTTCCAGGTGGTTTTCAAGAGCAGCCCCATCTAGGGTCTATTGTAGTACTCTAGGCAGGAAGTGACCAAGGCATGATTGATCATGAACCTATTGGCATGCAAGACACATATGTACACCACCACCGCCAGCATGGCTTTCCCCCCACTCCTTTGAGCAGAAGCTGCAAGTCCAGGGGAGTCATTAGATTGTGCACCAATCGGCCTGGAGTAGTGCTGGCCATTGCAAGTCAGAGATAACAAATCACTAGATCTTGGGGGGGGGGGAACAAAAACCCGAGTGGTTGTCAAGTACTGGTTCCTCCCCATCCAGACCCTCACAGCCTCTAGGCCAGAGGTCTTCAAACTTGGCCCTTTTATGACTTGTGACCAACTCCCAGAATTCCTCATTCAGCGTGCCTGGCTGAGGAATTCTGGAAGTTGAAGTCCACAAGTCATAAAAGGGCCATGCTTGAAGACCCCTGCTCTAGGCATTGGGTCCGCATTGCAGAAGCATCACCTGCTTGGCCAAGGTTGAAGACAACTGAGTATCAGGGGCATATTGATGGTACCACACTCTATATTGTTAAATGACCTCACCCAGCAGTTTTGCCTAGATGTGAAAGAGCAGCAACAAGTGATAGGAGCACTGAGGCAGTCCACACTGCAGACATCGCTCACCCCCTCCCCACAACATAGCCTGCAGTGACTGTCATGGAGGAAAGAGGAGAATCAATGAAAAACAGTGCTTCCCACTCCCAATCCCCAGAACTAGCCAGAAAGATACTCTGGTGAATGGTACCAAAATCTGCTGAGAGCCGGACGGTCAAAGTTCAGTCAGGACTGGGAACAAGGCAGATTGCCGGATTTTTATCCTAAATCTCTTGGCTCCTTTCAACGCCTGATATCCAAATGAGATCAAGTGACCTCAAATGGCCCGGCCTGGGACCAGCCATTCACATCAAGGCACGCCTGCATCGCAGCCGCTGAATATGGTCTGCAACTGATGTCCTAATCTGGACATCCCCAGCAGCAACAAAAGATGCGGGACGGGGGAGGGGAGAAAGAGAAGTTCCTCTCCTGACCAATCCTCCCGTGAAACAGAAAAGAGGCGCGGGCGCAGCAACGGCGCCCCGGCAACTCTCAAAACAGCTGCGCGGATCAAAAGAGCCTTCCCCCAAACCACGCTGGCTTAATTTGCTGCTCCCAGTCCCGCATCCAAACTCCCCGCTTCGCACAACACCCGTCCTTCAAAGTCTGGCTACTTCCCTCTCCGAGACAGCCCCGCTCGATGCGTAATTGTGGGGGGGGGGGATACCAACGCTATTGTTGCGCGCGCTTCCCTCCTTCCCTTTATCTCCTTACCTCTTGGAGCGCCGGAAGAGGGTACCCGCCAAAGTTTCCCAGCAGCTCAGATCGGACATCGCGCCCCGGCCAACTCACTCCCAGTCAATGGGAAACTACCGGCCAGCGGCCCACCGGTTTCTCTTCGCCGCCACCGCCGTCTCCGAGGTCCGCCCGTCTTGCAGCCGGAGGGATTCTGCAGCGCCCCCTTCCGATCTTTGCAAAGCTCAATCTCCCTCCTTTCTTTCGTGTGGCCCCTCTCTCCCAGCAGAGGGGGAGAATGCGCGGTGGCGCTTTCCAAAACGGGCAATTTGAAAGAAGGGTTAATTTCGACTCGCATCAACGGAAAGGCTTAAAAGCATGAGGCTCCTTGGGAGGAGGGGATGTGGCCACTGCACGATTTCCTTTCGATACTAGAATCTCCTTCTCATTTATGAGAACTAGAAACTTGTATCTTCCATTGTGAATTTAGTTATATTCCTCGGCTGAGGAATTTGCCCTTCCACACAAGGTTGGAATGTGAATGGCCTGAAATCCTGTAGCATGCATCGCAGCTAAACTAAACTTTAAATTCAAGGATCCCTGGGCACTGAAACATACAAAGTGTCCTGTCTGATCAAGCTTGGGCCTCCAGCATTTGGGGTCACCTAAAGGCCAGCCAGATGTAACAGCCCTCTCCCACTGTTGCTCCCTGGCAGTTGGTATTCAAGGAATGCAGCTTGCCAAGAAGCAGCTATCAAAACTAATTGCCATACAGACCACCCTGCTGGATTAATTTGTCTAGTCATTTAAATTGATACCCTTTGGCAATATGGCAGAGGGTTCTACAGTTTAATTCTATTTTGTGCAGAGAAATAGATCCTGTTAGGAGTCCCAAATCTACCATTCAATTTAGTGGATGATCTTAATATGAAATGTAGGCAAAAATGCTTCATTAATCCCATATTCCAGGCCATGCATTATTTAATCTTTATCTCCTTTACCTAAGATCCAAACTAGAAACATTGCAATCATTATACTTTTTTCCTTTAAGAGAATTGCTGTAGCCCTCTGCTCATTTTGAATAGGGTTGAACAGGTCTGATCATCTCATCAGTACTGCAAGCTTTAGTATCCTGAATAATCATCTCCTATTTAAGATAGTCCCGAGGAAATTTGACCCAACAATGAAGGTCCTCAGTATGGTAAAGTGTAGGTCCCACCTCAATATTCTTGCAGAAGTAGACATGGTTAGATTAAGGTTTCAGGTTTATCAATCAAGTGTTTATTTACAGCTGGCTGAAAACATACCAAACTTAACATTTGACAAAACAGGCTATTGACACAGACATGGATTAATTTACAGAACAGAATAATAACATGCTCCTTCTTACATAAACCCATTAGATATGCTAATCCGAAGTTCCTTTTATTGCACTGGCCCTCCATTATTTGTCAGACAGACATACTTTGAACTAGGATATTCCAATTATTCAATTCCAATTATTCATCACTGCTAACAGCCACAAATAGATATCTCCTTTCTTGTTTATTGATCCAATTCCTTTTGAAGCTATTTAAACCAACACTATGATCACATCATGAACTTGTACTTGTAATTGCAAATTGTGTGCAGTTATGTTGTGTCTGACCTCTTTCCGCTGTCAATCCAATTCAAGACTAAAATTGATAAAAACACTGAAGAAAAATGCAAACCAAATAATGGACAGTAAACTTGATTTTCTTCAACTTATGACTGGCCACTTAGTGACCATTCAACGTTGCAATGGACCCCCCCCCCCAAAAGCTGCACACACCCCTGCAGTCTCATGATCACATTTCAGCAACTTGGCAACTGGCTCACCTTTACGGCCACTTGCAGCATTTCACAGTCAAATAAATGCAATTCACGGCATTTTTTTTTTGCCAATTTCTGTCTTTTTCACTTGGTTTAGGAATATATTGATTTGCTTAATGACCGTGTCATGGACTTAATAACTACAGCATTCACTTAGCAACTGTGGTGTTTGCTTAATGGCAACTGCAAAAAAGGATAGAATCGGATCAGGTCACATGAGCATCTTAACTTACAACATGCTCCATGAAAGTCTTAAGTCAAGGACTACCTGCAGGAAAACTACATCAGCAAGAATAGAGGACAAACCTGTAGCCATTCTGTTTTGTTAAGATGGGAAAACTTAGGGGCCGTGAAAGGAGAAGAAATAAGTTGACAATATACTTCAGTGTGCCAATGGCATCTGCTAAAATTTAAGAGACCAATGTCCTCCAGAAACTTACACCTCAGCATGGGGAAATGGGATTTCAGCTTGGATGGATCCAATTGATCCAATCTGAATCCAGGCCAGTATCCCTTCCCATCCTGTCTGCCTTGCTGTGTGTAACAGCCACCAAACAGGCAAAGATTTAACCCTCTCAGCTTGAGGGTCAGCAGCCAAGGACAGCAGCAGAGGGTCAAAAGAGATAGCAAACAGGCAGCCAGAAGTGGATGAAGGCTCTCTGTCTCTCTCCACAGCAGGGCTGGGGACGACAATGTACAGCGCACACATGCACCAACATCCTCTTTGCAGGAAATCATGTGTCACCCTGTGGACTTCCTCTTTCTCTCTCTCTTGTTCATGGCAATGAGGTTGCCTTTTAGAACACAGCACTACGCAAAAAGGAGCCTGCAGCTCAGATAGTTGCTATCCCCTTCACAGTTGCTACATAACAGATCAGGTTGGTTTGAGAAAAATGCCACAGGACCAAACTGGAGTTGAATCATCTTACTTTAGTAAAATGTCAATCTTTGTTTCCTGGCCAAGGCTGATGAAACCTCCTTCAGCGATCTCAGGAGGGTCTTCAGCCAGCTCCTTCCCTTTGGATTTCTTTCCTTAGCTACTAGATGGTGGTGGATTTGGTGGCCAAGAACAAGCTGGCTTTTTAATTTTTTTTAATGAAAATGTCAACACTCCATATTGACATAAGCCAAAGAAGAAATCAAAGGAAGTTCCGTAATCTCCTAAACTACTAATGTAATTTTTTCCTCAGTTCCTTTTCAGATGTAATTCTATCTACATATTTGTTGTTAATGCAATTTTATATAGTTTTTAATATGTGGATTTACCGCTTGTTGTGCACCATCCACACCTTCGGTGAGTCACCAGTGAGGTGGGTAGTTATATATATATTTAATTGTATGTATGTATAATAGCAAAGACCTGATTTGAGCATGACTTGAACCTTGGGTCAGCTCCCTTACATTTTGTGAAGATCAGGGAAATCAGAAGATCCAGACAGTTCAAATGGGTATAAAGATTTATTGCAAACTTAAGCTCTCTAAAAGAATCTGAGCTACTAATGGTCCAAGCAAATTGGTGGTAAATAAGAGTCAAAGGAGTTCAAGATGGGATGGACCTTAAATCTCTTGTCAGTGCGAAGGGACTCATGCATTTGAACCCTCCCTCGGGCTCAGCCTGATCATCTCCTACACCTGGTTTAGTTTTCCTTCTTTTGGGGGGATGGGAATGAAAGTTGACAGACTACACATTATGCTAAGCCATGTTGTTTTTTTTAACTGAACTACAATTGACTGGGTTTATTGAACATGGAAAGGGGCATGCAACCTTCTGGGAGCCAAAGACTCCCAGAAATCTTGACTTACAGGTAGTCCTTGACTTAATGATCATTCATTTGAGCAACTATTCAAAATGGCACTAAAAAAAGTGACTTACTATAGGTCGTCGCATTTACGACTATTGCAGCATCCTCATGGTCCCTTGATCAAAATTCAGGCAGCAGACAACCGATGTGTATTTACAACAGGGTCCCTGAGTCATGTGATCGTCATTTGAGATCTTTCCAGCTGTTTCCAACAAGCAAAGTCAATGGGGGAAATGAGATTTACTTAATGAATGTATGATTCACTTGACAACCGTGGTAAAAAAAAAAGGTCAGAAAATTGGTCACGACTCACTTAACCACTGCCTTGCCTAGCAGCAGAAGTTCTGGTCCCAATTATAGTTGTAGATCGAGAGTATCTGTAGTTCATTTGAATGTGAGGACTATAAATGTTGAGTATTGAAGTCAAGTAGATAGGCTAAAAATTTCCATACAGAGATGGGGCCAATCTTTCTATTTTTTTCCCCTCTGGAGGGGACAAAAAAATTTTCATTGTTGATTTAAGTATGTTAAACAAACTGCAGGGTTAAAGTGCAATTTTGATATATTTTCCAGCCTGAAAATGGTTGGGAAATCACGCTGCTGTTTTTTGGCAACTATAGTCGACAGAGTACAAATAAGGAATTGGAAAAGAGGGTCTGAGGCGTTTATAAACCACAACAGCTGGGCTCACACAATGCATTAAGCTAGAAGCAAATAAACCAAATTATGACTTGGCAGGATGATATGTAAATCTAGTTGGAATGTAATGCATTTGCTGTCATTTCCTTCTTGTGGTTTGAATTTGGATGCAACGTGATTTGGCTTCCTTTGAGAAATTTGGCACCACCATTATTTCAAGGAAGACAAACATACACAAGTGGGAATGGTTTGCTCTAATTTTCTGATTAAAAACAGCAAGATAGTTGTTTCAGGCATTTTGCCTTTTGATGCTTTCTTTCAGCAGCATGTGATGCCAGCAGTTAACTGAACCTCTTCTTACAAAAAGATTTGGCCGTCGCTCTTCCCTAAGTGCTGTATATTTGGGTTGTACAGTATCCAGATTCAAGTCCAAAAAGTCATTTTGGAGCACAAGCACAATGCCTGTTTGGGACTGTAAAGTAGACATTTCTTTTCCTGGGAGCATAGGACAGTTGCAGAGATGGCCAAGCAATTTTAGGGAAAGATGCAGCTGCTTTAAAGAGTTAAAGAAAGAGGCTATAGTTGCACTTCACATACTTCAAGGTACTTTTTCAGAATTATTTCCAAAGCGCTACAGCAGGGGTATCAAACTGGCAGCTGACAGGCTGGATGCATTATGTGTAGGCCACACCCACCCTGGCTTCGCAAAGGCAAGAAACGTCACGATATGTCGTGTGATGCAATCGAGTTTGACACCCGTTAACTACAGGATGAAAAACAGCAAGGCAGTCAGTTTGCACTACCACAACCAACTGTTCCTTGTGAAATATTTGGCTACAGCCTAATTGTCTTCTCTTTGCTGAAAGCTTGTCTATTCATTTTTATAATATATATCTTTTAATATAGATTTTATATTTGTTGTTTTATTCAATTGTTGTATGCCAGGGAGGGAGGGATGGATGGATGGATGGATGGACACAAATAGATAGCCTTAACTGAGAAGATGGGAAGAGGTAAGGATTCCTATCTTGTTAATTCTTGCACTGACTTCACAGTTTGGTAAGATGACTTACAGGAGTATCAGCATAATTTTCTCTTCTTAACAGCTATACTGAAAAAAATCTCAGTTTTTTACAAAGCACACACTATTTTCCATCTCTGAGAAATAACAGGCAAGATGGGCTCATTCACAGTCTAAGAGATGCTCAAGAGAAATTTTGTTGCTCATTGGCTGTACTGTACACATTACTAGGATAGGGCACTATACTGCAGTTGATCTTAGGGCCTCCCATTCCATGGCATTTTACTAGCACTCTTAAAAATAACTTAGGTCTTTGTCAAGCTGGCCAAAAGGCACAGGGAATGGAAAGCTTTGACGTTCCATCACTTTCCACCTCATATAAAAGAAAGAAAAAGGTGCCACTAGATTAGATCAAGGTGGATGCATTCCCTCTAAAAGTTTGCTGCAGTGGAAAGCCAAGGCTTTTATGATATTAGGAAATAGGGCACAAATAATGCACAGTTGCCCTACATTTTGTCTCTACCTCCAAATATTCAATGTGCTTCTCAATAAAGAGAAAACAAGGATGAATAAAAGAACAACTGGATCAGACTCTATAGATCTTGCCTCCAGAAGCTGTGGGTGTTTCAACACTGGAAGTTTTTAAGAAGAGATTGGATAGCCACTTGTCTGAGCAGGCGGTTGGACTGGAAGACCTCCAAGGTCCCTTCCAACTTTGTTATTCTGCTATTTTTTTATAGATCTATGTAGCGCAGCATTTAGTTCCCTAATAGGTACTTCCAAGAAGGCAACAAGCAGGTTTTGAAAGTTTCTTGTCATGAACTGGTATTCAGAGGTAGATTGCTTATGAACATAGAGCTTACATAAATTAACAACCCTAGAATGTGTCTATGGTTTCACCTCACTGGAATACTGCAGGGTGCCTTATAACAAGTGAGATTCTTGGCCCACTGAAACACAGTGCAACTACCACCATTGTTCAAGATTTCAACAAGCAAACCTTTCCATCTCTAAAAAATGCTGGGACCAAAAACTCAAAGCATGTACTCAACTCAGTGGTTGATAATCCTGCATTTACAAATTGTCTAATGCAGGTGTCCCCAATCCCTGGGCCACAGATCAGCACCGGTTTGTGGTGCGCCAGAAATTGGGCCACACAAGAGTGAAGCCCCATCTGCACAGGCATGGGATGCAGGCAGTATGTGAAACCACACCACCTCCGGTCCATGGAGGTGCTTTGACAACAGATGGAGATGCAACCCTTTTCTTCTTATGTTTTACTCTTAGAGTTAGAGCTAGAGCTAAAGTTAGATGATGCTGGGGGGGGGGGGAGGAATGTGCATGAGAGTTTAGCTGTATGAACCAAAGTTATTGAAATAAGAGATAAGAATTGGTGGGCTGGAGAACTGGAGGGAAAGCCTGCATTTCAAACTAATTGGAGAATGTGATTTATGACTATTAATTGGAGGAGGGAATTGTGCTTTGATACTGTGTGCTCAGGGGAGGGGAATCCAGTTTTTGGCTTTGATTATGTTAGTGCCGATGCTATGCTTCTCAAATAAAGATTCTTTAAGGTAAACAATGCCTCTAAGTTCTTTGAAGACTTTCATCTGTTGGAACCATGACACCTCTTTCCAGGGGGCCACTGTTCTAATGGTTTGGTATAGTAGTTAAGTTACCAGATTAGAAACCAGGAGACTGAGTTTTAGTCTCACCTTAGGCCCAAAACCAGCTGGGTGTCCTTGCACTAATTACTTTCTCTAAGCCTAGGAAGGAGGCAATGGTAAACCACTTCCAAAATGTTGCCAAGAAAACTGCAAAGACTTGTACCAGGAGTCAATACTGACTTGAAAGCACACAAAAAAGTATTTTATAGCAACTTATTCCAAAATTACTTCTCCAATTGATGATGAACAGCAGTGCAAGTGAGACGCATTGCATTCATGATGAAACATATGAGCACCCCATAAATTCCATACCTGCAGTCTTCTATGCTTATTGCCTCCTTATGGAAAATAGGACACTGGAATAAAAATTGCTTTGATCCATGGGGAACTTCTTATGTTAATAGAATGAAGCCAACTTCTCAGTGAGCTCCCTCATCACAGGTAAGGTAGGTGGCTGTTCAGAGTAGTGTTTGTCAACCTTGACAGCTTTAAGACTGTGGACTTCAACTCCCAGAATTTCCCAAATTGACAACATCACTTAGAATTCTGGGAGTTGAAGTCCACACATGTTAAAATTGCCAAAGTTGATAAATATTGGTTCAGAGAGAAAACATTTTCAGCACCACAAGCCTATCAATGGAACTCCTTTCCCTTTTGGCTCCAGATAGAGGATTTTCTAAATTTTCCCAGGCATTTTCTCTAACATCATCATCAACATCATCAATGCTGCATCCATTTATTTATTGATTTATAAAACCAAATATTCTCCTTCATCCTTTCTCTACAGTGCTTAGACCAGGGGTCTTCAAACTTGGCCCTTTTATGATTTGTGGACTTCAGCTCCCAGAATTCCTCAGCCAGCATGCCTGGCTGAGGAATTCTGGGAGTTGAAGTCCACAAGTCATAAAAAGGCCAAGTTTGAAGACCCCTGGCTAAGACCACCACAGTGAGAAGCATACAGAAAAACATAAAAGCACTATAAAATTTTAATAACTTTAGGCATGTTTTTTATACTTTTAATACATCATGATATATGCTGGGTTCTGGATGGCTACTTTGTACTTATTGTACATTTTGGATATCTTTGGATACTGCTATTTTTACATGTTTATGGACAATGTTTCATTATAATAAAGGTAAAAAAAATACCTGGTATTAACAGCTACCAACCACACAAGCATATAACTCTATAGCTTCCTTAGCAACAGAACTGTAGTGTGCAATTTTCTTCCTTCAGAACATCCTTTCAGCTCCCTAAATTAGCCAACCGCTCTGTGATTTTCTTGTGATCTTCCATCCGATTATTAATCAGGCTAGATTGTGTTTAGTTTCGTTGAAATAGTGAAGATTAAATAGGTTCTGCTACCTTCTATGGCATTGCATGATAAGGCTCTCCCTGAATTAAGTTACGGTGAATCCACAAAGCTTTTATAAACAAATCCATGGTGATGTTAGACATGCAAGTCAACTAAAGCAGTGAGCTGTTTGATATTGGGAAGGAGGGTGTAAATGGTGGTTTTCAGCAATTATACTGAAACTCTGCCTACGTAAGAGATGTTTGCACTCTGCATAATGATGAACAAGAGCTACAATATGTTTATTGCCGTCTAGAAAAATTACCAAGAAAAGACTTTGAACCCATATCTTCCAGAAGTATGCTCATTTCTATTAATGCTTAGATATCATACCTGAATATTACAGAAAATTGCCTAATTCCCATATATGGTTGATGCGGTCAAACATGGCCAAATAAGAGGCAGGCAGATCTGAAAAAATGTATCGCTTTCTGCTTATATGTATCACTGCTTGCCATCCGTTTTTTTCCTCTCGTATTCATGCAAATATGTGTTGTTCTCCTTTCATTCCATTCTAGCAAGGGACCCACGTGTCAGCCTTTCCAAGGGTCTTCTAGGGTACAGGACCGAACATTGGATGGAAACATGCTATTATGAAAACCCACTAGATCAGGGGTTGCCAAACTTAGCAACTTCAACTTCAACTCCCAGAATTCCTCAGCCGGCATGGGAGTTGAAGTCCACAAACAAATTTGGAGACCCCTGCACTAGATCATGCCAGCTGGGGAATTCTGGAACTTGAAGTCCATGCATCTTAAAGTTATTGAGGTTGAGAAACATTACACTCGCCTATGGTTGATCAACTCTCTGCTTTCTTCCTGAGTACATGGAAGTATATCCCATAAGACAATTTGTACCACAATTCACAAATCAGCAACCTCCTATTTTTTTTTATTTGCTCAATTCAAGTAGTGAAAATTTGGGGGAATCTGTTATCAGAGAGTTGTTCCATCCCTGCAGAATGGCAGAGCTGCCTCTGCAATTACCTTTCTCCTATAGATGAGAAGTCACTTCCACACAGCCGCCAACATCACCAAGGTTGACACCGTCATGCTAGCGTTGCCAATAGTATGTTCATCAACCCAGCCAATGTTTCTTTCCGAAAACTAAACCCAGCACTTCACCCCCATTTTTCTTCTTCCCCTACACATTTTCTTTTTGAAGCAAGGAAAAGGAAAAGGGAAGTGTTCAATCAGGTACTGTTGGAGAAGGCAGCTCTCCAGGGCAACTTGAAAAAAAGGGGGGGGGGAAGGGCATGATGGTGGCAAGTTGCCATTCTCCCTTGGTTATCAGAGAGAGACAGACAGGATATAGGATGAAGTGGAAATTCTAATGGGAAAATGCCTGCTGCACAGCTTCAGAGGAAATACTGTAGTACAAAAATATCTCCTCCAAAAGAGTCGATAGGAATCAGCTCTATTTTCCAAAGTGTTATGCAAGTTCTGAACTTGTAGGGCTATAGAGGCATGACACTGATTTTAGATGTGCATGGAAGAACTTAGAATTTCTTGCGGGTGTTCAGTGGCCAGAAGCATAGATCTGGGTGCTTAGCTTTGATTTCCGAAAATACATTTTCTTAGAGATTTCTGTTTCACTTGAAAGAGCTCCATAGAGACAACAAGGGTCCAGGAGCCTCTGACAATAAGCTGACCGTACTCCTTCGTTCCTAGAACCTAGGTGTCAGATGGGACAGTGACTAAAGTGACTCCCTTATTTTGATCTACAGTTTATAGGGTCATTAAATAACATGAGAGGGGCAGGTTCGCACAGAGACAAAGATCAAGGTCTAAGCAGTCACTTCTAAAATGCCGCAAAAGAGCGTGTGCAGGAATCTGCCTAAAAGAATCCACATCAGACAAAAATTGCAAAATAACCCCCTACCTAATAAGACCTGTGTCTACGTGGCATCTACCACACTCAGGATGTTTGGGACAAGAAAATCATTCAAGTGAATTGTTCTGGAGTTCAGCCCATTCTCAGAATCAAACTTTATCTGCAACAAGGGAACCTGGATGTGTTGTGCTATTTGTGTTCTATAGTAATTGATACAGTAAAGGTAAAGGAATCTGTATGGATTTTATTCCACTAGTTGTTGCTGACTTTATGGGGTGGTGCTCATCTCTGTTTCAAGGCTATTGAGACAGCGCAGTCCAAAGATGTTTCTGCTGTCATATGGCCAGCATGACATCATGGGGCACTGTTATCTTCCCTCCGAAAATGGAACCTATTTATCGACTCGCATTTGCATGCTTTCAAACTGCTAAGCTGGGGTGAGGGTGGGAGCTAACCTGAGCCACGGAGCCACCAATTGATACAGTACATCAGGGGTCCCCAACCCCTGATCCGCGGCCTGATGCCAGGCCACAACCCATTCAGAACTGGACTCCAAAAGTGGTAGGTGAGCGTGCATATGCTTGTATGTGCACGAAGCTGCATTTGTGAAAGCGTGCACACAAAACCATCCCCTCTCCCCCCCCCACCGCCGCCACCGTAGCCTCCAGGAGTCCACCAAGCCAGAAAGGTTGGGGATCACTGCAGTACAGGATTATTAATCAGTAATATTTTTTCTCTGTGCCTTTAAGTCAGTCCTCATTTCTGTAGATTACATGAGCAAGTCCCTGCAGGTCTTTTTGGCAACATTTTTTGAAACAACTTTCTTAGGGCTAACAGACAATAGCTGGCTCAAAATCCTAGCTTTGTGCCTAAGGTAGGACTAGAATCTACGATCTCCTCGTTTCTAGCCCAATACCTTAACCACTGCATTCATCTGGCTCTCTAGTAATACATTTGTAACTAAGAAACAATTTAGACTTAGAATAACTTTATTGTCACTTTAAATGTACACTAATCAGCATACATTAAAATGAAATTTCGTTGCATTCAGTTGTCAAGGGGGGAACCACCTCCAATATACACTGCATAAACGTGACAAAAAATTATGCATATACCTACATACACACACATATATGACACAGAGGAACAATACAGTTTAGTTTGGATGTATACATATACATGGCGAGAAAAAAGAATCCTGCGAATTTCCAATACGGATGGCATAAGGAACAAAGCTGTTACAGAATCTGGTAGTCCTGCTAGAAATACTTCAAAACCTCCTCCCAGACGGGAGCAACAAAAACAGACTGTGCAGTGGGTGTGTGGGGTCTCTAACAATGCTCCAAGCTCTAAGCAGATATGAGCGCATATAAGCAGTATCCTGAATATAGGAAGAGAGCTTCCTATAATCTTCTCAGCTGTCCTTACCACTCTCTGTATGGACCTTCTATCTGAGGTTCTGTTACCACCAAACCAAACAGTGATGCAGTTTGTTAAAATGCTCTCAATTGTGCCTCTCTAAAAAGTGGCCAGGACAGAAGGAAAAATTTCCTTGAAAAGAAGATTTTCTTGAAGCAACTCTATGATCTATAAATAAAATATAAAACAAATACATTTTACAAAACAAAATATAAGGATATATTGCAAAAGAATTAAATGGAAATTATTGGTTGCTTCTAAGGCTCAGATTTATCCCATTTCTCACATCAAAATCCTGTGCTCATGTAATTCTGTATCAGGAATAACTAAATTCCACAACGAATATAAAATACATTTTAATGAACAACTTGGGTAAGCAAACAGTGGGGGGGGAGGCAAGCAGAAGTTGCCCTGGCAAATTAATAGATAATTCCCCATTCTTAGCTTTCATATTTAAAAAGCAAACCATAATTCATTATCCTTTATCAGTTACAAGTTAGCAGGGAAATGACAGATACTGTTTTGTCCAATTATTTGGTGAGAAACCATCTGCTCCCATCTTTCAGTATTGTTTGGTCAATGAGTAAATCAGGGCAATGATTGATATACCTATTATTTAGAGTTTCCAAATGTATTTTTAAGCCTTTTCCCCTCACTTTTCCTCTAGACTGCTATTGAGTAATCCCAAAATCCAAAATAAAAGGATTTTAGTGAACATATAATTATACTGTGCTGTTTCTACAAAAATAACAAGATAAAGGCTTCCTCTTCCCGATATAACTAACTAAAATGTCACAGGAAAAAAACCAGATTTCCTTCCCTGTTGGCAAACATTTCATTATTCCCCAATGCAATGCACCCATCATTATTCATAATATTACAGAGATAATGGATTACATTAACTTGACCAAATAACCCACAACTGTTATGACCAATATACGGAGAGTAAACAAAAGAAAATTCACTTTCCCAACCTTGTATTAAGCTAGGCCTAGGCCTTACAACCTAGACCAGGGATAGGCAACCTTGGCTCTTGGCTCCCAGAAATCCTGAGCCAACCATGCTGAGGGGAAAGGGAGAGGTTTCCAAGCTGAGCCATGCTGGCTCAGGAATTCTGGGAGTTGAAGTCCACGAGTCATAAAAGAGCCAAGGTTGCCTACCCCTGACCTAGAGCATTGACAGGAAGGAGATGCAGATTTCTGCATATGGAAAGAACAATTAAATGTAGCTAGCATTTTTTTTAATTCAGTAAATTACAAGCATTTGGGGTGGTTGTTTGCCTCTCTAGAAATCTAATGTGGGTTTGTGTATTTTATCTGTATACATCTGCCTATGATTAATCTATATATTTCTAAATACATGCAAATATTTCAAAATATTCTGTTGCCTTCTCCCCAAAGGAAACCAACTCTGTACTCAGAAAAGTGAAGTAGCTTAAACACTCTTGTAAGAGCACAGTGGCCTGGCTGCCCATAGCAGATTCAGAAAAGTCTCTTCTACTTTTTTATAGAAAACTTCCAATTTCAGAAAATATGTGTAGCTATGAGTTAAACAGTTGGGTTCTTCGTATTCTCTGAGCTTGGTTGCTTTCCTGCAGACGTTTCAGTTATAGACTAAAGTAATGTCTTCAGAGAACTCCAAAAACACAATGGAGACTTTCCTTTTGCAAGACTTTGCTTTCTTGTTAGTTCAGGCTGTCAAACAGAAATCTCATTTCCTGCTACCCATCATACAAAACATAACCCTGTTGCTTAATTTGAGCGAGCTGGGGGAAAATGTATTTCTTAGGTAGGAAAGAAGGAACAAACCAATCCGGAATGCATTTTCAGTTTTCGTAACGATAAAAACAGCTGAACTTGCAGAATCAGACCATGGCATAATTAACACAACAACCCTAGTCCAACAGCTCAGTAAACAATGTTTTCCTTTCCCCTCCCACTGCTGTTGCCCGTTCACCTTTTCCTGCTGTTTCTGGTGCTTGCCAACAGCCCCCCTCCTCAAACGTCAGAGATAATGCTATGCAGCAATGTTATTCATTAATCTTTTTAGCAATGCAACTAGAGCAGAACTTGGCCATGAATGTGAGAGGAGCAACAGAACGTGCCTCTCAGGCTTGCCTGGTGTAAATGCAGGTGGCTTTGGAGGAAATGGCAGGCTGGTTCCACCACTGCTGAAATTGGGTACGTCTAGTTTAATGAAAAGAAGGACTAGGGTGACATGATAGCTGCCACAGGGGCTAAGGGGCTGCCACAAACATGGGGGGGTCGACCTATTCTCCAAAGCACCTGAAGGCAGGACAAGAAGCAATGGATGGAAATTAATCAAGGAGAGAAGCAACCTAGAACTAAGGAGAAATTTCCTGACTGTGGAACAACCTGCCTCCAGAAGTTGTAGATGCTCCAACACTGGAAGTTTTTATGAAGAGATTGGACAACCATTTGTCTAAAATAGTATAGAGTTTCCTGCCTGAGCAGGGGGGGGGGTTGGACTAGAAGGCCTCCAAGATCCCTTCCAACTCTGTTATTCTGTGGTTTACCTCTTCTAATGAAGATTTCCTCTCAGTATCCAAAGGGACAGAAGACAGTGCCCCTCCCCGCCAGCACGTTCCCTCTTACCTCCATGGATGCAGAGTCAAAGGACTACAAGGACTGCAGGGACTGAGAAGGGTCGGGCTCTGGCTACCAGGTGACAAACTGCAAAGGAAGAGAGGCAACCAAAGGAAGGGTGAGTGAATAATGTGAAAAGGTCTCCTAGCAGTGACCCTCCTCTGACAGGGACAGGGCCCTTTTGGTCCCCCAAATTCCTTCTCAAGCTCTAAGCAACAAGGCTAGCCCCAAGCAGGTTGCTATTGAGCAGAGGACATCTGCTTCATTCTTCCTTCAAGTTCTAATACTCTTTCTACCACTCTTGAAGACAACATTTTGTGTTAGGGAGCACAGGGAAGAGGACCTGGCAGATCAGCTTTCCTTTCCTGGACTAGTTGACCCCATTCAGAATCTGTACTAGTCTGGGTAAGACTAGCTCAAAAGCCAGAAAAGGATGGGGGAAGAGAAGACTTAGATCTGTAGCTGACCATATTCATCTCCAATTCTTGGAGACTCCCTGGATAAGTCCCTGTAGTTTTCTTGGCAAGTTTTTCAGAAGTTTGCTATTGCCTCTTTCCTAGGGCTGAGAGTGAGTGACTGGTCCAAGGTCATCCAGCTGGGTTTGTGCCTAAGGTGGAATTAGAATTCACAGTCTCCCAGTTTCTAGCATGATGCCTTAACCACTACACTACACTATGTTCAGCCATACATTTTTTCTTAATGATCTGCCTTGAAAGATGCTAGTGCATTCCCAACTAGTAGGGAAATTGGGTTACCTTTGCCAAGCTTTAGAATTCGAATTCTTAACCTTGTTCTCAATTTTATTTATCTAACCTGAAATGATGCTGTATTGGAATTCCTTCATTCCTCTTATTAAATTCCTTCACAAAAAGACTTGAGACTAAACATATTCAGCTCTCTTAAGCCTATGAAAGTTGGATTCATTGGGTAGGTTTAGCCTCAAGAAGAGAAGGCCAATCAAGGGAAGATGTCCACAGCTCCTGAAGGCAGGATAAGAATCTATGCTGGAAGCTTTACACTAGATCCAAACAGTAGATTCACACTTGAAATAAGAAGGAATGGCAATTATCAAGCAGTAGAACAGTCTGCCTCCTGGAGTTGTGGGGGCTCCATCACTGAGTGTTTTCAAGTGATTTGTCAGGGATGATGTCAGAATTTCTGCACTGGACAAGGTTGGACTACATGATCTCAGAGGTCTCTTTCAGTTGGACGATCCTAAGACCAGAACTGTGTGATTCTGAAACTATGGAAATCCAACGATTACCAAAACAGCAAGAAACCAGTGGTTCTTTGTGATCAACTAACCTGGGGTAAAATTTGTGTGGGAGGGATCACAACAGAAGGTGTTGTGGGGGAGGGACTGGGGGAGATGGGCTTCCCAGGTATTGATGAGGCTGCTGAAAAAAAACCAGATTCCCGATACATAGCTACCCTGGCTGTTTAAACTAGGAAAGTCTACCAAGCCCTAACCTTGCAAGGTTTAATATTTCCCACCCCCTTCCTCCTCCATTTCCTCTTTCAGCTTCTGAACTGGGCAGGTGGACACTTCAAGAGGCAGAAGAGCAAGCGGAAATCCAACTGGTGAGGCTTTCCTTCCTCCCCCAGGATGGAGATATGAGGGAGAGAAATCTGGCCGGTCTGCACCTGCTTAATTTCTACTCTCAAGCAGCTGCTATTAAAACTATATATATTGGGATGGGGGGGGGGCAAAGAAACAGGGTGGGTGAACAGGGATGCTGGGAAGAATTGAGGTTGATGGTACCTCAGTTTTAACCAGCTGCTGCCGTGGAGGGCGAGGAGATGGGAACGATGGAGAAGGAAGGTGAACCTTTTCTTCCCTTCTCTTTAGGAACAACCCGCCCCCTTCCTTCCAACCTGGTTCCCTGGCAACCGAAACATGCGTCATTGGAGACCCCTGGATGGAAGGAAGGAGCGTGCGGGGGAGAAAGGAATCCCTAGAAGAAGGGGGAAGCGACCCCCCTCGCCCCCCGCAGCTTTGTCTCTCTTCATCTGTCCCGGGTACTTCCATCCCTCCGGTTCCCTCCAAAAAAAAAAGAAAAGAAAAGAAAAAGAAAAACCCGCTGCCTTCGTCTCAGATTCCCTCCCTCCTTCCCCTCTTCGCCACCGGCCACGGACACTCTCCCCCCCATCTCCAGCCCGTCTGCGCCCCTCCTCACTTACTCCACCAAGGTCAGCGAGGGAATCTTCAGTTTGGCCCGGCGCGCCTGCATGGTGACTGCTGCCACCGCCGCCGCCCCGACGGTGTTGAGCCCCTCTCGCCTCTCCGCCCGCCAACCCGGTCGGGCAGCGAGTGAGAGGGAACCAGCCGCAAGAAAGGAGGCGAGGCTGCTCGACGGCTTCCCCCGCTGCCCGCCCACCTGCCACTCCTCCCCCGCAGCCCTCGGAGGAGAAGGGGGAACGGCGGAAGAGCACGCCTCGCGTGCCCGCGCGCGCGCGTAGCTATCCGCGAGAGCAGCTTTCACCCGCCCCCTGCCAGCCCCGGACTTTAAAAGGGGTTTGAGCAGACGAGGGTGGGGGGAAGGAGGTGGTTAGCAGCATATGTACCCTTCTTGCCCGGGTATGTTTCTTCTGATACCAAATTTCCACGCTGGGGGTAATTTCTAGTCCTTGGCTTACCACCACAATTGAGTGACGCAATTGTTAAGTGAGTTTTGCCCCGTTTTACGATCTTTCTTGCCACAGTTGTCATGTGAATCACCGCAGTTGTTAAGCTAGTAAACGCGGTTGTTAAGTGAATCTGGCTTCCCCATTGACTCGGCTTGTCAGTAGGTCGCAAAAGGGGATTGCGTGACCCTGAGACGCTCCAACTGTCATATATATGACTCAACTGCCAAGCGTCTGAATTTTGATCAGGTGACCACGGGGATGCTGCAAAGGTCCTAAGAGTGAAAAAAAGGTTATAAGTCACTTTATTCAAGTGTGGTTGTAACTTTGAACCATCACTAAACGAACTTTTAAGTTGAGAATTGCCTTTTCCAGGGAAGAGTTTGAAGATCTCCTAGTGCTGGGGTCCCCAACCCCTAGGTTGTGGATCAGTACCGGGCCATGGCGTGCCAGCAACCAGTCCACGCAAACAAGCAAAGCCCCATCCGTGAAATGCAGGCAGCACACAAAAACACGCCCCCTCCAGTCTGCGGAAAAATCTCTCTGCGAACCGGTCCCTAATGCCCAAAAGGTCGGGGACCTCTGTCCTAGATTGCAAATCTCAACGGCCTTGAACACTTTTTAGGTAGAAAATCACAGTAGAATTCAAATAAATGATGATGATAACCAGCGGTGGGGCTTAATGCCATTTAATCAAATCAGACCATTTTTATTATGATCACAGACCAGCATGTCACACCATTTCAAAAGGCCAATAAATATTATTTTCAAAAAGCACTTCCTGCACATGTACAAAAGCCTGTTCGGTTGCAAACAGGCATTTTCTGATCCTTAGGGTGGTTTCCAGAGGGGCATAGGTCAGTTGATTTATTGAAGTCATTACAAGATGAAATAAAGAGATATGCACAGAGACACTTCATGTGCCATGACTTCTTCTCCAGATTATATGTACAGGTTGTCCTCAATCTGTTACTAAGTGAGGTGGTTAAGTGACTTATTTTACCATGTTTTTTTGCCACTGTTAGGCAATCCCTGCAGTTGTTAAGTGAATCATATGTCATTAAATGAATCCAACTTTCCCCATTGACTTTGCTTGTCGGGAGCTGACTGGGAAGGTCACAAATGGTGAACACGTGACCCCAGGACGCTGCAACCATCATAAATACATGTTGATTGTCAAGCATCCAAATTTTGTTCATGTAAACCTGTGGATGCTGTGACGATTGTTAAGTGCAAGGACCAAGTCATAAGTTACTTTTTACCATGCTATTGCACTTTGAACGGTCATTAAATGGTTATAAAACAAGGACTACCTGTACCTGTAAGCTCAAAATTAATGTTGAAGAAAGCACTCTGTACATGGATAGGGGAACTCTTTTCTTGGATATGCATTACAGCAAGTTGTCCAGGAAAACATATTCAGCGCTTTTCACACCTAAGACTGAGATGTTTGATTGTTCTGCATTTTATGAGATCATACTCTCATCCACATCTCCCACCCACAGATGTGTGTCAAAAGCCAGTTTACAAAGAAAACAGCAGCTCTGCATAATAAAAGGACGGGGAAGAGGAGCCAAGATTGTGATTTAATAAGAATGCAATGCTCAGCATGATTGGTATCCAGTCCAATAACCTTCAGAGTAGGAAATACATTTGAACTTCGAATGACAATTCTTCGTACATTATTTACAAAATCCAAAACATTCTAACAAAAGACAGAGGGACAATAGGAGAGCATTAAATGCTCTGTGAAACCAACCCATTGTTGCTGTCCTCTTTCTATGGACTTGGCCAATTCCACCGCCCCCTCCTCCGCTTAGATTTACAGAGCTACTAAAAGTAAATTGGATAGCTACAGACACAACTGCTTCACAAAGCAATTAATTAGAATAATCTGTAGCCACAAAATGCCTGCGGTGCAAGCTGGTCATTAAACAAAAGAAAAACTTCTATCAGTGACAAAGATAACATGATAGCAAAATGTTCTTAGAGGACATCCATGTCCAGCCTCAGAGCTTCCTGGCCACTTTATGTGCTACCCAAAAGTATTTGACCAGCCAATGCCAGAAATGGAACACTAATTTTTTTGTAGCCCAAGAGAGCAGGACTTCTCCACTATTCTTATAACAGAAGAGATGGACAGCAAACAAATTTAATAATTAAGTAATTAGTTAAAGAGATAGATAAAATGCAGCTGGCAGATAAACAAATACAGGTAGTCTTTAATTAACTATGGTAACTGAGTTCAGATTTTTCCATCGCTAAGCAACACGGTTATAAAGTGTCATGTGATCATGCTGCTTAGCGACAGCACTTCCGGTGCTTTCTGTGGCTGTGCACCATTGTTAAGCACAACATCATGAAGTCACATTTTGGGATCTCTTGCCGGCTTCTCCATTAACTTTGCTTGTCAAAAGCCAGCAGTGAAAGGTGCAAATGTCGATCACATGACCGTGGGATGCTTCAACATCGTAATTGTGAGCCTGTTACCAA